AGCGTAATGGAAAGAGTGAAACAGGCAATACTTTGGTCAACCAAAAAGCTTTCAAAGTTACCCGCAAAGGTGGAACACAGGAATCTGAGAAGTGCACCAACACTTTAGATGGTCTGGATGGTGTGAAAATAAAAGTAACTGTGGTTGATACTCCAGGACTTTCAGAGATGCCAAAAAAATCTGAGCTGGATGAGGTCAAGAAAGGGGCCAACATGATGACTGAGGGTGTTGATGCTGTTGTGCTAGTTTGGAACAATCAATCAGACGAAAATGAAGATAAAGAAAATGAAGTGTTTCATTCACTCCATAAGATGTTTGGTGATGATCTCTACAAGCATCTTGTGATCATTGTGACACAAATGGAGCAAGAAGAGTTACCACAGTTTCTAGAAGAACTTCCTCCTAAAATGAAAGACTTGGTCGACAAGTGTGAAGAGAGAATAGTAGCCTTTGACAACAAATCTAGAGACAAGGAAGCACTAAACCAGAAAACTGAACAGCTCTTACAAGCCATGACAAGATTTCCAACTCAAAGACTACAAATCAAGCATGAGAAGAAGACCACCAATGTTGAAGATATAAACCTCCTGTTGATTGGATGCAAATGCAATGGGAAGAGTAGCACAGCCAACACAATCTTAGGAGAGGATATATTTGTATCTAAGAGTGGAACAAAGGAAAGTGAAAGGAAACAGACTTCCTACATACCACCACGGTGTGATGACTTGGAGGTACAGATTCGAGTGACTGACACACCAGGAGTTTCTAAAGAAATGACTGAGTCAGAATTTGATCAACTGGAGGAAGCAGTGCATTTGAACCCTGGAGGCATTGATGCTATTGTGCTTGTCTGGTCTGACAGGATGTCTGAAGATATTGCTGAATTGGAAAATAAAGCATTTCAGTCCCTACATCGAATGTTTGGTGATGAAATGAAAAAGCGTCTTTTGATTGCAGTGACCAACACCATGCACAATTCAATTGAAGGGTTTTGTCAAGAGCTTCCTGAATCATTGAAGTCAATCCAACAAAACAGTCAGGGCACTTTTGGCTTTGACAACAAGTGCAAAGACAACCAAGATGCCATTCATAAACTTATTATAGCTGCACAAGATATCAAGAGAAACCATGGACGGTACACCAAAGAACATCTGTACCCGACATGTCGGATTGAGCAGGGAGAAGAGTTAAGGGTAGCAGTGATCGGAAAGACAGGGTCTGGCAAGAGCAGCACAGCAAACATGATAGTGGGGAGTGATGAGTTTGGAGTGACATGCTCAGCATCTTCACAAACCAAAGTGAGCACTTATGAGATCAGGAACAAAGGTGATCGCAAAATAGCTGTGGTTGACACACCTGGGATCTGTGATACAGATAGCAATCACGATTACATCTGTAATGAAATCTGTAAAATAGCAACAACCTTCTCAGAAGGTCTCCATGCACTCCTGTTGGTGGTAACACTCTCAAGGTTCACAAAAGAAGAGGCTAATGCGATAGATATGCTGAGATACCTATTTGGTGAAGAATTCATGAAATTTGTTGTGATAGTGCTCACACATAAAGATGATGTTGACCAAGATCCTAAATTCAATGGTGATGTACAGAAGTACATTAATGATGCTCCTAAAAACTTCAAAGAATTGTTGGAGGAATGCAAGGGGCAGTATGTCTTATTTGACAACAAAACAAAGGATGAAACCCTAAAAAGACAACAGCTTGCAACACTTGTTCACAAGATAACAGATAGAAAAGCTGGAAATCCTTTTAAGCATGAAATATTTGAAGAGGGTCAAAGGGAGAAAGACAAAATCAAAAAGCACATACCGGTAGATGTACATGTCAGTTCTCCAAGAGGGCAAAACGATCATCCTGATCACAAAAAAGGGGGCATACATGTACATGTACCTCCCCATCCAGAAGAACCCTGCAGACCAGAACATGTTCCAAAGAGTGATGATGAACTTCAAAATCCTCCCTTGGTCCAAACAGTCAGATCTCCAAGAGGGCAAAACGATCATCCTGATCACAAAAAAGGGGGCATACATGTACATGTACATGTACCTCCCCATCCAGAAGAACCCTGCAGACCAGAACATGTTCCAAAGAGTGATGATGAACTTCAAAATCCTCCCTTGGTCCAAACAGTCAGTTCTCCAAGAGGGCAAAACGATCATCCTGATGACAAAAAAGGGGGCATACCTGTACATGTACCTCCCCATCCAGAAGAACCCTGCAGACCAGAACAAGCTGCAGAACCAGCTGGACCCACAGAGCAAGTGACAGCTACATGTAAAGGGACTGGTCAAATGCAGAAGGTAAAATCTGCCATACCTGACAGTTTTGAGTCCAAAATGGCCAAGACTGTGCATTCTACAGATGAAGGGAAGTGTGAAAAGATGGTAAAGCGAAAGAGCCACTCCCAAGCCACAGGCCCTGTTACGAGGCGGAAAGTTGCACCTTGGTCAAGAGAGGAAATAATAGAAGACAAAGCACGAAGGAAAGCTATTAAAAGTTCCTACAAAGACACTAAGCTGTACAGGATGATATCAAAAAAACTAAAAAGGATTAAAGAAACGTTTACAAGCTGCCTGCCCTGGCATAAGGGGAAACCTAAAAGAACATATTAGGTAGCATTCAATGTCACATCTTTAACAGTCTTAGAATCTGATGTACATGTACCTTGTTCAACTCTTTCCCCAGTTTAGTTTTTTTCACCTTGTTCAACTTCAATCCCAGTTGAATAGTATTTCATCTTGTTCAACCCTAAGCCCAGTTCAATGGTCATGTATAGCCCCAATACCAGTTTAGCAATCTTTTATTATGCCCATGGATAAAGGGACAGCTACCTTATTACCTCACCAACTTTTGTCAACTTCTGCCTAGATTCAGTACATTGTAGCAGAAAATCCTTAAAATTGTGTGACTGGGTCCTCAGGAGTTATTATCAATCACAAGAATCATAATACAAAGTTAAGAAGAAATTTTTCAGTTGATGGACAGCTGGTTTTTCATAATGTGTCTAACAAATATTACTACTACACCTGATCCAATATTATGTACAATCATATAATGTTAAACACAACATGATGTTACTGAGGGTAGGTAGTAATGTTTAGAAATCTATACAATGTATAGATTTTACTTTGCTGCATTGTATGCAGAATACATGACTGTACATGTATAAAGTATATTATGATATGCTACATGTAGGCTTTGTAAAATCAATGTGAAGACCTAAAGAAAGTTGAAAATTTTTAAACTATTGCATTTTATTTGACAAGGCCCCTTTTAGTGACAGAGGAGAGAGACAAACTGCTTCTTATATAAGCAGTCAATAATTGAATCCTCTAGAACATGATGTAACCCCTAGGAAAAACTTTGGTAACCATAATAATTATTGAAAATGTATTTAAGTTAAGACTTCTTGAGTTAGCCTGTCATACCAAACAAGCAACAGGTATCATGCAACCAACCAACCAACCAACCAACCAACCAACCAACCAACCAACCAACCAACCAACCAACCAACCAACCAAAGAACAAGAGGAAAGAACTGCAACAACTGTAAATGAACACTCAGGTATCTATTAATAATTATTACATAGAGGTCAAGTAGTCTTAGTATCTAGTACCTAACTGTATCCATGTAAATTATTGTACGTTGGAATTTTTGGATACAGCATTCTCATTCTTTGAATAGGAAAATGGCTGTCACTGTGTTACTTTGCTATAATTAACTATTATCAGAAGACTAAAAAAAACACTGAATTGTAAAGCTTGTCTCACCCCTACCTTTCAGAGTGCTTGATGGCGGCATCAAACACAGCGAGGAACTGGTCGAAGCTGATCTGGTAGCAGGAGTTGATCTCCCTCATGTGTCGGGAGGCGTCGAACAGAACAGCAGCTCTGGTGGCGATGGTACGGAACTGTTCACAGTTCCTCCTGATGGCAGCTTCTGATACCTCGATCTTCTGCTGCCTTCAAGATAAGATTGAAAAAAAGAACTGTTAGAACTGTTATTATGAAATTATAATATTTTTAAATTCATAATATTTTTCTTCTTCAAAGTTCTAACTATGTATTAAAGAAAATTTGCAACATGACAAGTACAAAAATGCACTTTTACATTTTGTGTCAAAATGTCCCTTTGTATTGCATACTTACCTAGGCCACTTCAATTTATTTGTTGGTTCTTGGGTACGAAAGAATGATGTTGAATGAGATTTGTATTATCAATATGACAACAGTGTCTAAGGGTAAACTCTGTACCTTGACATACATTTGTAGTTTCAGGGAGACTGTGAATATAGTCAGATTTAGGTTTACTAATGAGCCTATGTTTTCATTGTGACCTCTTTGACCATTTTTTTTTACCCCAAAACATCCAGGAACCAAGGAAATAAATTGATGTGGTCTCATCTCCTGAAATTTGGAGATGATGAGGTCTATGAAATACATGACTTGTATGTATTAGTTCCTGATGACTTTAATCATTGTTGTAACATTTAGCTGTAACTCTGAGTCAGTGCCTTGTATGTAATATCAATATCAAAATTACAAACTTTAAGATGATGCAACTTACGAGTCTTGTGTCTCATCAAACTGTTTCTTCATGTCTGCCAGTTTCTTGGTGACAGCCAGGTTGTTGAGTAGCCGTGTGTCACTGGCCAGGAGGTTTAACATCTGGTCTTCCAGCAGGGCCAACCTCTCCATGTTAGCTATCTTCTCCTGGAGTGAAAAAAAAAATGTATTTTGTTGAAATTACTGTTCATTTGTAATCAAATTATGTTGTTGATTTTTCAAGTGTCAGAAACACATCACTCAACAATCAACTTTACCAAGAAGTTCATTTTATGTTTGTGAGCCTTTGTTTCTTTGTTCATTCCTGGCAAGCTTCAAATACGAAGTTACGGTAGTCAGCAGAATCAAGACAGGGGTAAGAAAAACATACTCAGCATTGAAAATAATATTATAGCAATGAAGCAAAGTCTCATAGACTTAAAGTTGAGGCACTAGAAATCCTCTCAAAAAGTAATGGCAACAAAAATAGATAGGCATTTGTTTATTTGTAAACTCAAAGAAGCCAGTCTGACCTGAGCTAGGTTTGTCCTCTCGTCCTGGACCCTGGTCTTCTCCAGCCGTATGAACCTGTCCAGCAGCTCGGCCTCGATGCCTGACCGGTCCTGGTAGAAGTTGACCATGCTGGTGTAGGCAGCGACCTCATCTGGCACCTCATGAGGCATGCAGGTGGTGTGCATGTACAGTCTGAACCCGGGGCGACACTCCACCTCATGGCTACCAACCTGTGGAGAGAGGAACAAATCTCAAGCCACTCCTACTCAATTTGTTGGTTCTCATATCAAAAATGATTTCTGAATGCTGAACTGAAATATCTACAGGCTTCAAAAAAATTCTAGAAAGTTTTTAACTTTCAAAAGATGCTGAATCAATCTAGAAATAGAACATTTTTCCTTGAATCATAATTAGTGGGTAATGTCCTTGATGCTGAAACTCAGATTTAAGAACATTCATTGATAAAATAAAAAGTTCTCTGTTTTGTATCAACATATAGGGTGGTTAACATGGTGAAACTGGTTGTTGCAGTGAATGGTAATAAAAAAAACAGGCCAAATACACTCATATAAAGTAGGCTACATCCCTAGGCATTTAAAAAAAAAAGTAGCCATAACACATAAAGCCACAACATACATGTACAAGTAAGTTTAGCTTACAATGATTTTGAAGGGAGCCTTTCCAGTCAGGAAGGACATGCGCCTGCGGAACACGTGGTTGAAGCGGTTGTCCTTGGCCAGCAGATGAAGGTCAATGTCAGTCAGGATGAGGAATAGGCCTTCTGTCAGGCAGGTCTTTAACTGGGACTTCAGGTCCTGGGAAAAAAGACAGATGAAATTTTTTTCAAGTGTTGAGTATACAATGTATCTTAACTGACAGTTTGAAAACTACCAATATGTTGAAAAAAAAATTAATATTTCACACAACTTATGACAAGTGGCAGCTGACGCGTCGACGTTTCAAACACGTGTCACTGTGACCATGTTGTAACTGGGGATGAAAAATGCCTGTAATGGTGCGTATGGGAAATATGCATGTACTGGACCAAACTGTAGTGCGGGCAACGTTGTGGCGAGAAAATGTCGAAAATATCAATTTTATGAACATACCCAATATGAAAGAAGCTTAAAGATTTCATACCAACGTCCAGTCTATGGTCTTCCTTTATCTTCGTACAAGAGCATCAGCTGTATTGGTGCAATAAAAAATATCATAAATTCTAGTCTCTTCCAAGTTCCAATAAAATCTTTAAAGCGGGATATGAATGGTGGAAACATGATATAGTCTTTGCCATTCAAATTTAGAAATTATCATCAATCCAATACAATTTAATTATGCCATAATATCCAAGACAAAACTTCAACGTACTGTAAAATACTAAAATAAGCTTTACCTTAAGCTTTACTATATAGATTTTTTTTACCAATGTTTATTAAAGACTTCAAATTTCACATTTACCTATGGGCGTGATACACAGAAGGTACATGTATGCGTACGTACCAAAAATGACGTTTGGGCCACGTGTTGCAGGGACAACCCATCCTAAAAGAAGAATTTGCAAAACAGCTGGTACAACAAAATCGTGCCAACAGTAAAAAGTCTGCATGAATCCTATGGCGCTCACAGAAAATCAGAGATACAGTACAGATCTCGGGATAAGCATCAAGTCCCGCGGGAGATCCCGCGGGAGTTTGCGGGATATCACGCGGGAGTTTGCGGGATCTTCCGCGGGAGTTTGCGGGATCTCCTGCGGGAGTTTGCGGGATCTCCTGCGGGATTTATCGGGATATCCCGCGGTACGAAATCCTCTCCCGCAACCCCGATCTTCGGTGTGAGACTTAGGTTTCCGAAGGGCCGGCGCCGCTGTTACTTGAAGTTGAACCACGTTGACTACAGATTTTTACGCAGACGATGCGTGCATGTTTTAGTATGTTTTCAATGTATGCAAATAACAGTAGAGCAAATAGTATTTTTAACCAAACATTTCTTTTTTTTTAATATCGGAAATCTGGTGGCTTAATAAGGTACAGAACGATAACAAAGTAATACAACCTTCTTGAACAAGTTTTGTGTCCGGCCTTGCGACGTGGACGGCTTTATTTTGATGTCACCCGACCTGCGCTATTTCAGATATAATTTTTAAAAAATCTAACGCATCGACGTGCCAAATCGCCACTCGAGTTCTTTATTTTTCTCCTAGATAGGGGAGGTTGACGTATGGAGTTACGGAAGAGAGATTAAACATTGTGTAAAACAAGGGGGCGAAGCATAATTCAAGAGTTCTTTACGCCTCAAACTTTGATACATTTCGTGCGCCACGCAGTGTTCAGGGCCTGCATGGGGGTTACTGATTACGAATTACGCAAAATTTTCGCTATAAAGTTAAAGTTCCATAGCTGATTATGACTTTTACGCTTTGCGGCTAATGTACTGATTACGAATTACGTTGTTTTTGGGAAGGTTGCCTTCGGTTTACGAAGACAATGAATAAAAAAACGCCTGATTACGCCTTACGAAAAAGGGCATGCAGACCCCCAGTGTTGGGCCGGGCGTTCCCACGCCGTGTCGCCATAGAAACCGCACGTCGCCAGCAGCGGCGGCGGCGCTGGCAGACTCCCCGGCGCCGACTGACCACGTGGCGTTCTGGCGCGCCAATCACAGCGCGCAGATGGGGACCCGCCCACCAGCCGGCCCGCGAATTCAAAGAGTTGAGTCAGATGCACCGCCCCACAGAAACACCGCCTGACGATTGTTATACGTACGTCGGATTGTGGCTTCTTTTTCCGCCTTGCACGGCCGGCATGCGGCATTGTAATTTTCTTATATCCCAATTTCATCCCAAAACAACGTTTTTCACATGTGAGGAGGCTAGTTCCATAGAGTGTACCGAGTGAATTTCAAGTTTTATGGTCTGAGAACGAATTAATTTCCGTAAAATTTATCATAAACACGTTTAGTTCGGGTTCTCCCGTGTTTATTTATTTTTCGGGTTCTCCCGTGTCTTGGACGTGCGCTATCGACTCCGTTTTCATCTAGTTGGCTGACCCTGCAGCTGACAGAAGTAGAATGTTTTCCTACTGAAAGAAACTTTGCCAGCCGTGTGGAAGTACTTGCTCCTTGCTTTCAGGGTGATAGTAATCTATCGAAATTAATTATGGACATGGTCGTTGTTGATGCAAGAGTTTTTGGGGAGGGGGGAGACGCACGCCCCGGGATTTTGATGGGCAGACTTTTAATTGTCGCAATTCTTAATACTAATACGGAGACCTCTTGACGCAAGCTACCATGAGAAGACAACAGCTACAAGATTATGAAACACAACAACCACAAACTACTGCCGGTACGCCTCATAATTTTTATTTCTTGGTAACAATCTTGCCGAATTTACCGGAGACGGAGGGATTACTACACGTTACATTGTATTCATTCACGGTAGTTTAGCTGAACAATAGCTTTGAAAAAAAAGTAGCAGTTTTATAATAACTATGACCGCGTGAGAAATACCTTATACACATTATTTTCGTACATTCTTATGCTTCAACACCATTAAAATTGTAGCAAAATTGTAGCAAAGTTGACTGGCGTCAGACTCCATCGGCCCAGCACAGATCGCCCGGCAGGACGTAAAAATAAACATTTGGCACGCCGCCATCGCCGTTCCGAGCCGCGGTAGACTTCGGGGTCTCGCACCAAGTTTTTTCGCTACGCGGTACGCGGGACACGACAGGCCTCCCGAAAGAATACCGCGGGATATCCCGCAATCTCCCGCGTGATATCCCGCAAACTCCCGCGGGATATCCCGCAGTCTCCCGCGTGATATCCCGCAAACTCCCGCGGGATATCCCGCAAAATCCCGAATCCCGATGATGCTTATCCCGCGATCTGTACTGTACATGTATATACAACAATATGCTGTTTTACAGTGGAATATTATATATAGTAAATGGTTGCTATATACTCAATGACGCTGGCTACTCATGAGAAGATGAGAAGACCTTAACAAGTACAACTGAGTATAATAGTTGATAGAAAATGATAACTAATGTTTGGTACTAAGCAGAAAATACATTTCAACATAACAAGTTAGGCAGCAGTAAGAAGGTTAATATCACAGGAAAAACTGAGTAATAGAGCAAGAAATACATCATTGTATTAAAAAAAGAAAATAAACTGGACGTTTCTCAATAACCTCATACATTTTAATTTCAACTGTTACATTAACATAAGCCTTATAACAAAATTTACCTTTACAAAAATGTAGTATTCTAGCAGCCCATTGCAAAAACAAAGCATTCCTGATATAAAACTTTCTAAGAAATTCTGAACACCAACATATACAAACTTCCAAATCAATATTATACACACTATAAAGCCCATAAATGCATGCAATACGAACAGATTAATCTCATTAAACATACTGCCATTGCATAGTCAATACACCACGAAAATCATTATAATAATGAAATGTTGGATACAAAATGCAATGGGCAATAACACTCAACAGTTATCACTATAATCTTGAAAGTTTCAAATATGCAAATTTTTATTAGTCTCGAATATGCAATAATACATATCATACACATTTCACTTGAATGTTGATACAGCTTGTACAAAGTTTCTACCATATCTTGGCTGAAAGCAATAAGGTACAAATCTCATACAAGTAGGACGGCTGAATTACTAATAACTTTGGATGGAATTTTAAAGCGGTATGTCAAGGACAGGACGGATTAGCTAAACCTGGCAAATGATTGTCATCTGAATTTTAACAAAGTGCACATTTTGTACAAAAAACATCTGACAGTAAGTACACACATGTATCAGTTGGCATTCTGACTTGAGGACGGAAAAGAACAGTCATGTAATATTATAATATGATTGTACGTTTACCAGGACGGATATAGCTCAGTGCATAGAACTTTTATTGTAACTTTGGCTTACAGGAAACATATTTTCTGCAAACATTTGGCAGTTGAATTGTCAGAGAGTATCTAATAATTCAAGATTTGAATAATGTCTTTGAATGTACAACACAAGCAGCACATATCTTGCTGTAACTTCCAACAAAACTATATTAACCAGACACAAGGTTTTCCAAACACTCTTGACTAATAGATTGTTCCTTCAAAATTTAGCTTAAAGTTTACACTTACGGTACATGTTACAGTAGTATACATGTGTAATACATAACATATATGCATAGTAAGAGCTTAGGAATAAAATCTCTTCAAACAAAACTTACTAGACTGTTTCAAACAATTTTGTTTATTAACTATCTTTATTTCTATATTGTTGTTATGTGGACAAAGTTTGGCTGATATTACTGAATGTAAATTTAGAATGTTTAAAATCTTTGCGTTCCCATGCTGGAAGTGCGTTATATTGACAAAACTGCCATGTTGCTCTGCATTAGCATAAAGCCACAGATAGGGGGCGCTAGAAAGGTCTGAGCGTTCCCGCCAGCCCCCGCAGAGACCAACGAGTAGCAGTGATGCCATCATGACGCACGTCCAGCGTGAGAACCGGCTCCCTGCAGTTGGTACGGGAGATGTAACACGGGCACTGGTACGTCTCCGCCGCCTTGACGGGGTCGGTGAGTTTGTCGGACTGCGGGACGCACGTGACGTGGATGACGGGGAGGGTGGAGGGGCCGGACTTGGGCGGCGTGTCCAGGAGCTCACTGGTGGTCTTCTCCCACGTACAGCCCCACAGGTACAGCCCAAATACAAACATGCCCTCGTTGGGGGGATCTCTCAGCTAGGGGAAGAAATATGGAAACACTTCTTTGAGCCTACAAATGTAATTCAGAACAACCAAATATGTACAAATGAACCAGTTGATATTTGTGAGCAACTATGACTGTCACAGTACTTTCTATTGTTTACAAAACCCTTAGCACCAACTAAATTTGAAGGTCAATACGGACATTTTTACTGCAATATTATTGATAATAATTATCATTTATCATTATTATAAGTAATTAGAGTACAATCACTGACATGTTTCATTGTTATGACTACTCACATGATCCTTGTCCCTTGCAGTGATCTCAGTCTGGAACATGAGAGGCTCCACATATCCATACTTGTCTGTGAAGTTCTTGACTGACTCAGACTTGAGCAGGCCAAACAGGGCACGGGGCTGGAAAAACGCTCCTGGCCAGTAGGCAGGGAACTTCTCTCTCCCCTGTAAATTAATCAAAGAGAGTTTAAGATTTCCAATATGGAACCATGATTATTATACTTTAGAAAACAGTAATAATGTGAAAGTTCATGTATGCCCTACTTGGCACCTGAAGCTCCAAAAAAGTCTGAAATCTTACAACTGACTTATGTAGCAGTTGCTGTAGCTATAATTTGTAAAAACCATCAAAACGATGTTAATTATTCTCAAAAGCTACCTTTTGCAACCTAATTTTCTAGTAGTTAAGTTTCAGCATCTCCCAAAAAATTGTGATATGATAGCACTCTTTGGCTACATTCTTAAAAGACATGTATTGTGTAAGTTTTAAATCAATGATTGACATCTGTCCATCTTACTTGAGACAAGAGCTTCTCAAAGTGAGCGTGTCTGTTGGTGAGGTCAGTCAGCCATTGAGCAGGGTTCCATGTTGGCGGTGGGACGGCGTCCCCGCCCAGACGACACCACAGCTCGGGCGTACGGTAGTGGTACAGGTCATCCGCCACCGTCAGGTAATCCTCCGACAACTGGTCACCCAGGGGGAGGCCTTCAACCGTGTCAGCTGCTGACTTGATGGCCTGAAGATTCAAATGAGGTAAAACATGCCGTTTTAAATTTGAAAGTAATATCCTTCGCTTACACCAAAATTTTCTCCCATGAGTGATTCAATGATGCACTGTTTAAAGCCTGACAGGGGCTTATAAAGTTCACAGTGGGCTCACACAGGCAGTGCATTGCTGACCAGAAAAAACAGACTCTGAGTATATTTGATTGCCTGCACTGCCTAGATTTTGCGGCAGAGATGTTGAGCAAATGATCAGTGCACCTTATAACACTAAGAATTGAAAACTCACGTGTGCCACTCTCAATCAATGAAATTCTGGTCAATGAAACACTGTAGGTGTCAATGCAGGATGTGCAAAAAAGTATGTGTCACACAATTTACACCATCGTACAGACTTACCAACCAGTTAAGACCTGTAGCATGAAGGAAAGGGAAAAAACAACAGCCACAACAATTATCAAACAGGTTGTAACTGGGGTAATATTGTATGAAATTGTCAGAAATTTGTTTATCCTGCCAACTACATGTAATTCCTTGAATGTCTTTTCTGCTTTATGCACAAATCCACAGTAAACTTAAATCTGGCATGAATCTAAAATGAAATCTGACATTGGCAACATTACTATAACTACAACTAACATGAACAAGTTGACACAACTTGGCTATTGTCTCATTTGAATATCAGTGTAACAGTTACTTACATTGAGTGACCTGCGAACTTCACCAATGAGCTTCATCAGTGCTTCTACCTCTCTTTGGATGAACACGTTGAAGGCTGTAGCTCCTCCCAGTTTCTTGATACGGTCTGCAATGTACTCCTGAAACAGACAGTCCAATCATTATCACATAGAATAGTCATGTAGTTGCCAAGCCATGCTGCTGTAAAGTTTAAAAATACTTTGAGCCCATAATGTAATGTTACTAGTACCAGTTTAATAATTAATGATAGAATGAATAATGCATTCCAAAGTCAGCTTGTGCCATGCAATTTTCGTTTCTGAGACTGTTACAGTAATTTACGGGAGTTTTATTTTAATTTCAATATGAAGTATTTTTTCAGAAAAGAATGATTTCACACTGACCTTTCCCCATGCCCTGGGTACTTTAGTGAGCAGAGTGGTGGAGAGTTCGTACAGCTCCTGCTCCTTCCTGTTCTTCAGTGCAGCGTAAGTCTGGGTGGCAAACACCCCCCGATTCACCACCAGGGGGAGGCTACTGGTCGCACTGATGGTCGTCAGGGGGGGACCTGGAGAAAGGGGGGTTGGGGGGGATCACAATATATTTAGGTTAAAACTTTGTTGGCATTGTGAAAAGTGTAACAAAATGTTACAACATAATCATGATGATAACAATTGAGAAAGATAAGACTCTTTTTAGCAGATGTTGGACTGTACCACATACCTGCATATGGAGTGGGGGGTCTGGGAGATACCACATGACTGAGGGTGGGGGAGGATGGCATGATGTCATACACACTGTTGAGTCTGGTGAAGATATACTGGTCATCCCCCAGTAGGGTCTGTACAAAACACAGAGAAATTATGTCACAACATGAAACTGTCCAAATCTGATTATGAAAAACTAAGGTAAAATGAGGTAAGTCTAAGATGTGTATACACTACTTTCTAAATAAAAATATTGTTACAGTAGCAGTTTTCTATTTTCCACTGGTTACAATATGTTATATTTCATGTCAGGTCATATTGTTGTGGGCAAAATATAATACTCTGAAGGGAAGATTGTGTGTTGAAAGCCCAATTCTATACCTCAGTGAATGAGTGCATGTTGCAGGCTTCAGGCACGTCCAGGAAGAAGTTGGGGATCTGTTCCAGAGCCTGCACCAGGGAGTTGTACCGGATGTAGTTGGCAAAGAAGGCAGCAGGGATCTTGTGTTTCACTGTGGGTAGAATACACAGTCAGTTATTTTGTTTGAAACAAATTAACACACACAACCATTGATTGTTCAGGTATTGCAGTCTTAGGATCTATGAAATATTGTTTGTTTATTGTATCCTTGTGATAAGATTTGTGTACAACTCACATCTGGGGACTTCAAACTCCTTCTTCATTGCGTTGGGTCCCATCCAGTAGTCCACCATGGCTGACAGGGTCTGCTGGTCATACTCATCACTCACATAGCTGCCGTAGATTACCTGGGAAAACACAAGAAAACATTCAGGAAACCAATCCAGGGATGATTGGCAACTAATAGTATCTATCATTTTCTGCTACTAGTAGATGAACTGGACAATTGGTATTTCAATGCAAAAAACGTCTAGTAAGACATTTAAGGATGACATTGTCAGAGTGCCTTTTAAAATATTGAGAATTCATTGTATTTCGATGGTGCTGCACATACAAATGTGTCATATATTTGTGACTCATGAGTGCAAAATCATATTATTGATCATCATAAAGGATGCCCGTACCTCTGTCAGCATGTATCTGAGTGCAGTCCATGCGATGCCTTTCCCAGGTGTACCAGGCATGTCAGTAGAAGTGGTGTCACTGAACTCATCTAACACCAGCCTCAGGCCCTCCTGCAATACAATACAACACAACTTCAATATGACAAGAACAAGTATGCAAGATTAGAAAATGTGCATTCTGAAAATTTATTTCATAATTGTTACAATCAAAATACACAAGACAACATGTACCTGAAGTTCATTGTTGCCAAAGATCATGTCCCCTGGCCTGTTCCAACCTCCCCTGCCAAACCTGGCCCTGAGGCGCAGAGCTCCGTGCACCATGAACAGGTTATGTAGGACGGCAGGCCACTCAGGGCGTGTGCTGGTCTTCAGAGTCTCTGGCTCGATCCACTGCATGGACCTCACCATGTGGTCCCTCATCATCTGTGGAAATGATGAAGCAAAAAGATCATTAAGTATATTTTACTTTAATATACATTTAAGACTTCCTCCACAATCATTGTTTTATTTGCATTTTAATACTGTACAGTAACATTTCCCATTGGCTCCAATAAGGATTGAAACAGACATGCATACTGCAGAAAAGTGAAGACTGGAAACGACTCAGAGATAACTTTTTCTGGGACCTTTGACCTAACTTTCTGTGAATGTCCCTAATGTGTCTACCATGTGGAAGTACAAAAAAAAAGCAAATGCACAAACAGACACACCAAAAACACAACCTCTTTACACTGAGGTAACAAATAACCTAGAATCAGTTCTCACCATGGGAGTGTCCACCACCACTTTGATGGCATGTTGCAGCAGGTGGATGGGGAGTTTAGGGTGGGGCTGGGCCGACACCCACAGGCGGAAGTTGGAGTCAGAGGGCAGCTTCTTCTCCTGCAAGGTGGTGTCCAGGGTTTGCAGGAAGTGCAGGGCATTGTGGGCATTGTGCAACAGCAGCCAATGACCCTGGAGACAGGTGACAAAAATGTTACACTGAGTCTCACAATAATCATACAATCCAATAAAGGGTTAATGCCCCACCCCGAGGTGTATATGGTGAGATAATCACTGGTCAGGTGGTCACTTATTCTAATTAAAAGTGATTCTAATAACTGACCACTTTAACATTATTCACCACTTATGATGTTACAGCCTGATAACCAATGGGAAATGGAGGCTTCTCATAGGTTGACGTTGCTATATGATAATATGAATTATGACGTTAGCTCAAGGCAGTATTTACATAAAGCTCAGACAGTACTTCAGAGTTTTATCTAAAACAATTGTCATAGTTTTCTTCCTTGGCAGTGAAGTAAGAACAAAACGAAATGAGAAGAAAAAACTACCAGACAGAGAAGGCTCCGCCCCTGAGGTGTTGCCAAAAATGGTACACACTACTAGATATTAGGCTTGTACCTCTTCTGCAGCCTTTGCCATGGCCCTGCGGACCCTCCTCTCCTCCTGCGGACTGCCGCTGCTCAGGTACACCACCTGACACGCCTCCTGCTTCTTGGCGGCGAACTCCGTGAACAACGTCTCCGCCAGGTCACTCTCCGAGGTGTACAGGAGGATGATGGGAGTCTGCGGGGTGGACTGTCTCAGCACACCTGGCAGGTCCAGTGGGATCTCCCCTGAATACCTGTTTTAAAAAGGTTGTTTAGAAAGTCATGAAATTGTAATGACTGGTTTCCATTGTGAGAAAGACTGATTTTCATTGTTGTTCATTGTAATTAAGAATGTTGAGCTCCAATTGCTAGTTCTAGGAATGGGAATGGTTCTCTAGAGTAAGGGGCATCTGTCTACAAGCTCTCAGGGAAGAGGACCCATTAGCCGAACAGTGAAGTGAGGTGAGAGTGAGAGATTCAGCAGGAAACCAGGAATTCAGCACCAAGGACAGGACAGGTTTGAAAGTTCCTGTCTAGGGTAAAAAAATATATTATTTCATGTCAAAGCTGAATGGAATTTTAAATGAATTTCTGCAGTAAGAATTGGCCCAGGAATGGGTTAAGTTGAGTTGATGCTATACAGTCATATTTTCTGTTGTTTCATCCCTTTTGCAGATGTTGGATATACGGTACTCACTTTTTACCCAAAACCTTGGACACAAAGTTGGAGCTGGCATGCATGATGCGGTCGCTTCTTAGGGCCCGAATGACACAGTAGCGCTGCATGGGTGTGTAGTAGTCATCCATCTTGTCTGGCAGGGCGGCCAGTTCTGGCTTGTCGTTCTCACAGAGTGTCCTCCACGGCATCTCACGGCCGTCTTTTGGTAGTTTGTCAAAGGCGTCTTGAAACCACTGGTAGTATACTGCCAGGACCTACATTCAGGAAAAAAATACATTTTACAATATCTACAAAAAACAAGCAAAATGCAAGAAATCACACTGTAGACATACATGTACTGAATTTCAAGGTCATCCCCCTCCCACATAGTATTTCAATGCACTAAAGTCTTATTTAAATTAGATATGATGCTACTAAGTACTCAATTACATTGCAGACAATGATTATTATAAGAGTGCTTCACGTACTTGAAGGTTATGGTATTGGTCGTCCAGCATCCAATCAAATGGCTTCCTGGCATTAGCGCGGGCATCAGAGCCAACACCGTACCCCATGGTCGACATGACAGTTGAAGCGAAGGTCGGAGAGATGATGAACTCCCTCTCACCTGGCCCCAGTCTGCCTTCTGAGTCCTCAAGCTGGGGAAGAAGTGAAAAATATCATTGAATGAAGACATGTGACAATTGATCTATAGAGTAACAATTTTATTTAAGAAATTTATTGATTGATTAGTGATGTGTTATACTTCAAAATAAATGATACATAATATATCATTTAGAGCTTTCTATAATTTCCGTCAACAGCATTAAGTTTTTAATTGTCTTCACCAAAACCATTAACAGGTACACATATATGTAATCTGCCTGGTTCTGCTACATGACTTTGTATTTTTAAGAACAGTGTGTTTATGACCTGAGTAACCCCCCTCCGCATGGCAGGGTATTGATTTTTTTTCACAGTTTAGACATTATACATGGGAATGTTGCTTTGAAGATACATGTATCTTCAGACCTTTTTTCATTGTGGTTGATATATGTACGATGTATATGTGACCTGGATGAATTATGTTACTGGGGCTAAAATGAGTAATAATATTGATACTAGAAGACACATGACTTTTTATGTGTCTGATACAATATCCTTACCTCCATGGACACCAGCAGTGCAAACAGAAGCTTGTCCCTCTCAAACAGGGAGCGTGCTGTGGTCATGTAGGCAGAGTAGGTCAGCCGGTCAACCACAGTGTCTGTTGAGGCTCTGTCATGAGGAAAAATACAGCTGTTTTAAAATTGTATATTAATTAACAATTAACAATGTTCACAAACCTGCCCAGCTACAATGTACCTCGAGTGACCATCACAGGAACAATCTAAACCTAAAAACTGTCTAAACATAGCCTGACTGTGTTTAAATAGAGGTACTGCATGCCCCTAAGCTTTTGGATATGAATTTAGGCTTTGACATTTACGTGTGCATTGTGTATGTAGGAGGCAGCTTTTCAAAAATAGCAAAACTGGCAAACTGTCACAATCAGTCACAATAGACTTTTACTAATTACTGTTTTGTATATTGTTCATCCATTTATGATTTAGTATACAAAGGAAATTAAATAATTTAAGACTGGCCGAGGAACATCTTTCAACTCGTGGTGTGGGTGGCATGACCTTGGTAAACAGTTCAGATGACTTAATTGGTGTAAGTGCTAATACCTCAAAACGACCTACAATTATTTGATACTTATGAAAACTTTAATCTCCAAGCACGTCTTAGGGTGGCAAAAGACAGTTACTGTATCAAATTGGCCAGGCATGTATTGGATCCTCTCAGACAGGCCATTGGTCTCAGAGGATCCAATACGTGGCTGCTTGGAGATTATGAAAAGTTTACATTTTCAGTTACTGTGCCAACCATCATGCTTTCTACGTTACCACCTAACAGTTCATTCTAATCTGATTGGAATTGACCTTTACTCCTTATACTATTACAACTATGATTGAAAAACAACTCAAAGTCCATAGTACCTTGTGCAAAGGTGCAAAGCCAAAAGGGAGAGGATTGGTTAAATTTGAAATTGTTCAAACAGAACACCAAAGGCCAGGTCACGAGACTAGCAAAAACTGTTACAACAGTTCTAACAGTTACATTGTTCACACCGTAGTCTGAGTCAACTGCTACATTCAGCACAAGCTTAACATCTGCTAAGTCATCTTCCATTAAAGCACACGGTAAGTCCATTTTCTTGAAAAATATTATATGATAGAAACTGGAGGACATTTAAAATAAAATGTGACTATTGGTTGCTGTTTTATTCAGGGAGATTTCCTTGGATAAATCATAGAGTTTAACCTTCTTGGATAAATACGGCTATACTTTAGGAATTAGAGGTACACATAGTAAGAGAAGAAAAATGGTTAATATGTAAAAGATCCTTTTCTCAGCAAGTCAAAATATGCAATGATTATGTTATGATTCCGAATTTTAGGTTGATGTCAAATATGAAAATTCATAGTCAATATGTTAAATCTTTCTTGCAGTCCAATGTTATGCACATGTTTGACTCATTTTTTTCTTTTATGTGATTAGAGACATACAATCATGTAAAGTATTCCTTCAATTTAAGACCAACGCCCAGCTAACTCAGTTTGATTGTTACTAGTAGTAACTTTTGCCTCTTTAAGTGATACATGTACATACTAAGTAAATAATAATGTATCAAAGATATATTGAAGGATTGTGTGTACGTGACCAGATATACGTGACTGCATGAGTTAGTTATTTCCTCCCACAATTCCAAGCAAAACTCATGAGCAAGCATAAAAAAGACCATACTTTGGTAAACAAAATGGACCTTTGATAAAAATGCCAGCCTTGTAGGGCTGACAACTTTTACTGATGAAATTTAATTGAAAATCATACAGCTTTGTTTTATGATAATTTTACCTACCTTATGCAGTGTATAAATTACTATATATTACGATGTATGATATTAATTGTAGAATTTTTGTACCTGTTAACACTGAGAATTTGCATAATTAATGAGGAAAGTTCATAAATTAGTCAGTCAGTATATAGTTGTCTGTTCCCTATTACTGTATTGTATGGTTACAGTTAGTATCTTTGACTGCTGTTAAAAGCAATTAGCCTTCGGGCATGATTTTGCAAATAATGACTGAGAGGGCTATTAAACATGTGACTGTCAACTAAAAAAAGGGAGAAACATCACATTCCCTAGATACTGTAACAATTATGCCCAATGATTTACAGGGTTCACAGCAAATTTTGAGTTTAAGTGACTTTTTTCTATATCGTTGAAGAGATTCATCAGTCACGTATAGTACAAGTTCAGTAAGATAATTCTTTCAATCAGTGACTATTAAATCCTAAGGTACATACCTCCGAATTTTCGACGACTAGTCAGTTCGTCTTGGTCACGGAATGATCCTAGTCTCGCAAGATAACGCGAGACTAGGACGAGACTTGCGTGGATCTTCTGCCCCCCTCTGCGTTATCTTGCGAGACTAGGATCATTCCGTGACCAAGACGAACTGACTAGTCGTCGAAAATTCGGAGGTATGTACCTTAGGATTTAATAGTCACTGATTGAAAGAATTATCTTACTGAACTTTTTTCTATCCTTTTCAACAGTGCCCAGTCCCATGGATGAACATGGATGACCAGGGTGACTCAAAAACAACTACGGTTGAACTTTCCTCTCGTAATAAGCTATACAGAAGGATTAGTGATAATTTTTCTGAAATTGAAGTGGAAAGCTTGCGAGAGTTGATGATTACTGATGGGCTTATTGCTAGAGGAAGAGTTCAGAATGCAAGTCCGCACGAAATCTTTAACATGTTGGAAGATGATCACAAGATTGGTAAGGGGGATCTTGGATTGCTGAAGCAACTACTGAAAGTCCTTGGAAAAAGAAAGCTTTCAAAGGAAGCAGAAGATGTGGAGAAGGAGGAGGGTAAGTTCATGTACATCTCATGTTATGAGAGGTGAAAGTTGCTCTTGCTGATCAGGAATACTGACAGAGGCTTTTGTACAATAAGAGACGAATTGAGATCTCCCAAGTAAAAAGTATGTAAAATTAATTAATTAATATGATTATTGTGATAAAGCACAGTTCTGATATCCAGTATTTGGTTTTGCAGATTATATCAAGAGCATGTTAGAAATGACAATGTGCAATCATGTACAACTGTTGTTTTACTTAATCAATCTACCTTCTCCTTACTGCCTAACCCTTGCTGTAAACAATAAAATCTGGTGCCAAAGGGCTTCTTTAATAGGTAGAAGGCTATTAGTAAGTATCTTCAAGTTTGACACCTTAACACGCAATGAAGGAGATACAAGATAAAGGCCGTCATAGAAATCACGTACAATGTTATGTACATGCTTCTCTACTATATATGACTTGTAAATATATTCTACTGTTCCTAAAAATTAAGTACTCAGCCTCACTTGGACATTACAACTTGTTTGTATTGGCTACTTAGTAATAAAAGATACTTTTAAATTAATAGCTCAAATTTGCCAACAATATGATATGTCTCTAGGTAGTCAGTAAATTCAGAGATGATACAAGATAGTAAGATATCATGGTAGAAATCATTCTTTTCATATTTAAGATTCAGGCAATATGTAAGAGTGTACATTAAATTTTGTCTATTTGGTGTATTCCTTTGATATAGGCATGAAAGTGTCAAATGTGAACGAAAGGAATGCCTCAGACGACATGCAGTTTAGCAGTGATGAAGAAGGATCAAGTCACTCTGACAACTCTGTAGAAAGTGACACAGGATATGCTACACCTCCAGAGGACATGGACATACAGGGTACAGAGAGTGGTAGGTCCTTCTCAATGTTTTAAATGAATTTTAATTGATCACTGGTGCAATTATCATGATTGTATGGATTCTGTAATTATTTGGGAGACAGTACAAAACAAAAACACAAATTTAACATAAACACAACACACAAACAGACTCACAGACAACACACAGTTTCAGTAACAAGAATGCCTCAAGTAAGAGGCAAAATACATTCCTAAAGTATATGATTATGGAAAATTATAAATGAATGTTGTTGTTACTCACGTCAAGAAGTCTTATTCATTGAGTCATAGAGAGTAAAGGCCTACAAGATTATTATGGGTCATACCTAATATGTCATTGATTTTTCTTATTTGCTCATTTTGTTAGCTGTTTTTTCTTGTTGTTGTTGAATCAGAAGCGACTCAACCCAACCAACCAAATGCTAAGCCCAAACCGACCAATACAGAGCCAAAAACTCATGTGTCTGAACTGGAATCAGAAGAGACTCAACCCAAACTACCAGACTCTGAACCGGAATCTGAAGAGACTCAACCCAAACCAGCTGTAGCAACATCTGAACTGGACACAGAAGAGACTCAACCCAAACCACCAGACTCTGAACTGGAGTCAGAGGAGACTCAACCCAAACTACCAGACTCTGAACTGGAATCTGAAGAGACTCAACCCAAACCAGCTGTAGCAAAATCTGAACTGGACACAGAAGAGACTCAACCCAAACCACCAGACTCTGAACTGAAATCAGAAGAGACTCAACCCAAATCTCCAGACTCTGAACTGGAATCAGAAGAGACTCAACCCAAACCACCAGACTCTAAACTGGAGTCAGAAGAGACTCAGCCCAAACCACCAGACTCTGAACTGGGATCAGAGGAGACTCAACCCAAACCAGCAGACTCTGAACTGGGATCAGAGGAGACTCAACCCAAACCAGCAGACTCTGAACTGGGATCAGAAGAGACTCTGCCCAAACCAGCAGACTCTGAACTGGGATCAGAAGAGACTCAACCCAAACCACCAGACTCTGAACTGGGATCAGAAGAGACTCAGCCCAAACCACAGCATGTAGAGCTCAAACCACAAGACTGTCATCCAGAATCAGAAGAGACTCAACCCACACCATCAGATGTACAACCCAAAGCACCAGGCTTTGATCCTAAGTCAGAACAGACTCTACCCAAACCACTATGTGTAGATGTGCAGCCCAAACCACCAGACACAAATCTGGAGAAAGAAGAGACTCAACCCAAACCATCAGAGGCAGAGTCAAAATTACCAGAACTGGAATCAGAAGAAACTCGACTCAAACAGCAACAGAAAAGACCACCAAAAGACATTCTAAAGTCCTGCAGAAAAGATATCATAAGTAGTATTGGTCCAGTACTTCATCCCATATTGAATCAGCTGATCCAAGATAATGTTATTGAAGATGGGAAGTATGAAGATATCAAACTACTAACACCTCGAAGAGGTGCAACAGAACTTGTGGACTATCTTTGCACACTTGGACAAAGTGCTTATAACTCATTCAAAAAAGCTCTAAAAGATGCAAAACTTCCTCATCTTGTCAAGAAACTGGAAGAGGCTGAAACATGTTCTTCGAGTCAACTCAGTCACTCATTCACTCCATTGAGCTCACTTCATGATGATCCTGACCAGTTATCTCTAACAGAAGACACATTGAAGCCCCTAACAGACCCATATACAGATTCCAACAAACAGGGACAAAGACCAACTATCATACAACACATAACAAATGTACATGCACATAATGTCCATATTGACCATGCCGCAAGTTTGCCAACCAAGTTAACACAAAGTAATACCGGTAGTAATAAATTGTGGGGCAGCTTTTCAATGGACACAGGTACCAGGACTAAGAGTAGCGCCCCATTACTTGCAAGAGGAGGCCTTAGGATGTCTTCTCCAGGCTATGTCAGCCAAGACCTATTCTCAAAAGATACCTGTGTGAAGCAAGCGACAGTGAGAGAGGAGCGTCAAACATCTGATGATGCACATGTACCATCAGATAGTGCAGTGAACATACTTCTTGTGGGATGCAAGTGTAATGGAAAGAGTGAAACGGGAAATACTTTGCTCAACACGAAGGCTTTCAAAGTTACCCGCAAAGGTGGAACACAGGAATCTATGAAGTGTACCCACACTTTAGATGGTCTGGATGGTATCAGAAGAAAAGTAACTGTAGTGGATACTCCAGGACTTTCAGAGACGCCAAAAAAGTCTGAGCTGGATGAGATCAAGAAAGGGGCCAACATGATGACTGAGGGTGTTGATGCTGTTGTGCTAGTTTGGAGGGATCAATCAGACGAAAATGCAAATAAAGAAATTGAAGTGTTTCATTCACTCCATAAGATGTTTGGTGATGATCTCTACAAGCATCTTGTGATCATTGTGACACACATGGAGCAAGAAGAGTTACCACTGTTTCTAGAAGAACTTCCTCCTGCTATGAAAAAGTTGGTCGACGGGTGTGGAGAGAGAATAGTAGCCTTTGACAACAAATCTAGAGACAAGGAAGCACTAAACCAGAAAACTGAACAGCTCTTACAAGCCATGAAAATATTGCCAAGAACTCAAAGACTACAAATCAAGCATCATAATGAAAAGAAGACGAGCAATGTTGAAGATATAAACCTCCTGTTGATTGGATGCAAATGCAATGGGAAGAGTAGCACAGCCAACACAATCTTAGGAGAGAACATAATGATTGTTTCTAAGAGTGGAACAACGGAAAGTCAAAGGGAAATGACTTCCTACATACCACCATGGTGTGATGACTTGGAGGTACAGATTGGAGTGACTGATACACCAGGAGTTTCTAAAGAAATGACTGAGTCAGAATTTGATCAACTGGAGAAAGCAGTGCATTTGAACCCTGGGGGCATTGATGCTATTGTGCTAGTCTGGCCTGAAAGGATGTCTGAAGATATTGCTGAAGTGGAAAATAAAGCATTTCAGTCCCTACATCGAATGTTTGGTGATAAAATGAAAAAGCGTCTTTTGATTGCAGTGACCAGCACCATGCACAATTCAATTGAAGAGTATTGTCAAGAGCTTCCTGAATCATTGCAGTCAATCCAACAAAACAGTCAAGGCATCTTTGGCTTCAACAACAAGTACAAAGACAACCAAGATGCCATTCATCAACTTATTAAAGCTGCACAAGACATCAAGAAGAACCATGGACGGTACACTGAAAAACATCTGTATCCGACATGTCGGATTGAGCAGGGTGATGAGTTAAGGGTAGCAGTGATCGAAAAGACAGGGTCTGGCAAGAGCAGCACAGCAAACATGATAGTGGGGAGTGACGAGTTTGGAGTGACCTGCTCAGCTTCTTCAGAAACCAAAGTGAGCACTTATGAGGTCAGAGACAAAGGTGATCGCAAAATAGCTGTGATTGACACACCTGGGATCTGTGATACAGATACCAATCATAATTACGTCTGTAATGAAATCTGTAAAATAGCAACAACCTTCTCAAAAGGTCTCCATGCACTCCTGTTGGTGGTATCACTTGCAAGGTTCACACAAGAAGAGGTTGATGCAATAGAAATGCTGAGAAAGCTATTTGGTGAAGAATTCATGAAGTATGTTGTAATAGTGCTCACACATAAAGATGATGTTGACCAAGATCCTAAATTCATGGGTGATGTACAGAAGTACATTGATGATGCTCCTAAAAACTTCAAAAAATTGTTGGAGGAATGCAAGGGGCAGTATGTCTTATTTGACAACAAAACAAAGGATGAAACCCTAAAAAGACAGCAGCTTGCAAAACTTGTTAACTTGATAACAGATAGAATAGCTGTACATCCTTTTACACATGAAATATTTGAAGAGGGTCAAAGGGAGAAAGACAAAATCATAGAGGAGATAACTGTACCAAAGAGTGATGATGATGGAGTTCAAAATCCTCCCTTGGTCCAAACAGTCAGTTCTCCAAGGGGGCAAAACGATAATCCTGATGACAAAGAAGGGGGCATACATGTATCTCCCCATCCAGAAGAACACTGCAGACCAAAACAAGCTGCAGGACCAGCTGGACCCACAGAGCAAGTGACAGCTAAACAACATCGACGTGTAAGATTAAGTACTCCTCAGCAGATAAAATCTGCTAGACGTACATACAGATATTCGTTAAGAGAGGAACAAATAGAAGACAGAGCACGAAGGAGAGCTATTAACCGTGAATCCTTCAAAGACACTAAGCTGTACAAGATGATAGCAAAAAGACTAAAATCGAAAAAGAAAGTGTTCACAAGCTGCCTGCCCTGGCATAAGTGAGACATTTTGAAGACTCAGAAGCAAAAGCATGAAATAGACTATAACTGTTAAAGATGTTCAATGTCACAAAAAAGTTTTGTTTTTTTTTACATCTCACAAAAAAGATATTTTGTACATCTTTTTCAACATACCGATAAGCCCAGTTTAACAGTCTTCTATTTAATGTACCATCAAGTTGTTAAAGTCTTTTATCAGTTTAAGTTTTTTTTACCTTGTTCAACTTCAATCCCAGTTAAACAGTCTTTCATCTTGTTCGACCCTAATCCCAGTTTATTGGTCCTTTACCTTGACATGTATAATTATATATAACCCCAATACCAGTTTAGCATGTCTTTTACTTTTTGCGACAGTTATTGCAAACTCAATTTAACGTTTTCCTTCATATGTAGTTCAATGCTAGATGTTGCCCTGCTTAACAGACTGGGTCTTTTAGTTTTACATGGTTCATCAGCAAGCCCAGTTTCAAGTGTTTTTTTTCCTTCTTCAATGACAAGCCCCATTTTACAGTTCACATTTTATATTTGAGTTTTTTGACAGTTATTTGTGTTTTCAATGAAAAGTGATCAATCTAACTACACAATATAGATTTCCAAGCTCATGTTACAAAACAGCCCCAACCCTCTGTCAAGAAATGTACAGTGAGAACAGACCAAGCCTTGGTCACACGAATCATCTATGAAATACATTGCAGCCTCTCACACTCTTGACAAAATCCCAATGTGCCCACTAACATGTACTGTGTACATATTGTTCTTTGAATCAATTTGAATTATGCCCATGGATAAAGGGACAGCTACAAATTTTACCTCACAAACTGTTGTCAATGTCTGCCTAGATTGAATACATTGTAACAGAAAATCCCTGTGTTACATTTTAAAAATTGTGTGATTACAATGTAGGTCCTTAGGAGTTATTAATTAAGTTAAGTTAAGTTACTAATCACAAGAAATCATAGTACAAACTTAAGACAATTTTTAGTTGATGGCGTGCAGGTTTTTCATATTGTATCTAACAAATACTACCATACTGCACCAATTTTATGTACAATCATGCAATGTTAAACACTGCATGACTGATTGTATGTTACTGAGGATAGGTAGTAAGGTTTGAAAATATGAATGTGTATGACATTGTATAGACTTTACTTTGCTATGCAGAAATACTGTGTAACATTGTTCATGTATAATGTATAGTATTTCTGATAGGCTAAATGTAGGCTTTGCAAAGTCATTGTCAATGTCAAGACCTATAGACAGTTGAGAAACCATTGCATTTTATTTGACAAGGCTCCTTTCAGTGACAGATGAAAAAGAATTAGAAATAACATTGAAGAGACAGAAAACTGCTTCTAGTACATTGTAAGCAGTCCATAATGGAATCCTCTAGAAAAAGATGTAAGAAAAACTACTGTAACCATAATCATTGAAAAAGATTTCTTGAGTTAGCCTGTCAAACCAACCAAGCAACAGGTATCATGCAACCAACCTGCTTGTCCAACCAACCAACCAACCAACCAACCAACCAACCAACCAAGAACAACTTCAAAGAGAAGAGAACTGTAACAACTGTGAAAAGAACAGGTATCTATAAAATAATTATTATATACACTCAGGTAGTCTAGTATCTACCTAATTGAATCCATGTAAATTATTGTACATTTGGAAGTTTTGGATACAGCATTTTCACTTTGAGTTGGAAAATGACAGATAATTTAGCTATCATGAATAGACTGAAAAACATCGAATTCTAAGTTTGTTTCATCCCTACCTTTCAGAATGCTTGATGGCAGCATCGAACACAGCGAGGAACTGGTCGAAGCTGATCTGGTAGCAGGAGTTGACCTCCCTCATGTGTCGGGAGGCATCGAACAGGACAGCAGCTCTAGTGGCGATGGTACGGAACTGTTCACAGTTCCTCCTGATCGCAGCTTCTGATACCTCAATCTTCTGCTGCCTTTGAGTACAAATTGGAAAAAATCAAAGATTGCTTAGGACAGAACTGTTAAAAAACTAGTCATGCTATTTGTTTCATAACTTGTTGCTGTTGCAAGATCTAACTATAAGAGAAAGTTTGCAACATGAACTATGATAAGTACTTGTTTACATTTTGTGTCAAAATCTTATTTTGCAGTGCATACTTCTCTAGGCCACTCCAATTTATTTTGTTGGTTCTCGGATCAGAAGAATAATTCTGAATCAGATTTGTTGTATTCTCAACATGAGAACTGAGTCTGAAGGTAAATTCTTAACATTGGCATGCACAGTTTTAGAGAGTAAACATGGGTTCAAGTTTTCCTCCAACCCGTATGTTCTTATTGTGACCTCTTTGGCCAGTTTTGCACACAAAAAATTTGAGAACCAAGAAAATATATTGGTGGGGCTTCATCTCCTGATATTTGATATTTGGAGATGATGAAGTCTATGAAGTACATGTATTAGTTCCTGATTATCTTCATTATTGTCATAACATTTAGCTGTAACTCAGTTTGAAACAGGTTTCTTCCTGTTTTACTTGTATGTCTGTAGTGTTTTTGTATTATTTTAATGATGTATTGTACATGTTATATGGGTTTTTTACCTGAAATAAAGAATGAAATGAAATGAAATGAGTTCCTTGCATGTAATATCAGTATCATCAGAATTACAATGATGAAATGACTTACGAGTCTTGAGTCTCATCAAACTGTTTCTTCATGTCTGCCAGTTTCTTGGTGACAGCCAGGTTGTTGAGTAGCCGTGTGTCACTGGCCAGGAGGTTTAACATCTGGTCTTCCAGCAGGGCCAACCTCTCCATGTTAGCTATCTTCTCCTGGAGTGAGGGAAAATGAAAAATATAATTATTCCAAGGTTTGTTCTTCTTCTTTCTTTGAAAATTTTCTAACAGGAAACTTCCAGAAGATTCTGAACTGTTCATAAATACTAGACTAAGTCTTTTTAGAAACATTTTACTGGTTTAATTTTTCATGAACCAAAATATAAGTGATGACAGGTAGAACAGTTTAAAACTTTTGCAAGGATTTATTTTGCATTTTCTTGCCTAATGATGATGGAGAGGTTATATTCATACAGAGGTCTCCCTTAAAATTATTAGGGGAGAGGTGCTTCCTAATTGATTTATGAAAAATCATCGAATTTCATGAAAATACTAACGAGAAAACCCGAAAATTGAACATTTTGGGAGAGGTGCTAGAAGTTTAGGGAGAGTGGAGCACCCTTACTTCATTGCTTGGGGAGAGCCCTGTCATAGTAAAAACCCAGTATACAGGAAGTCAGCCTGACCTGAGCCAGGTTTGTCCTCTCGTCCTGGACCCTGGTCTTCTCCAGCCGTATGAACCTGTCCAGCAGCTCGGCCTCGATGCCTGACCGGTCCTGGAAGAAGTTGACCATGCTGGTGTAGGCGGCAACCTCGTCTGGCACCTCATGAGGCATGCAGGTGGTGTGCATGTACAGTCTGAACCCGGGGCGGCACTCCACCTCATGGCTACCAACCTGCAGGGAGATGAAGCAACCTTAGACCTCTCCTATGCAATTTGTTGGTTCCTAGATTTTTAAAAAAATTATGCTGATCTACAATGTAGAATGTTAACATGAGAGCAGCAAGTCTTTTCTCAAGCTCATACATTTCCAGGGAGAGGACATAGTCAGATTCAAGTTTTCCTCATCAAAAATGAAATAACTTTGTACAAGATTGTAATGATGCCTACATCAATCTTCTTTTTTTATATCATATTTACACTTAATCTAACAGAAATTCACAGAAATGTCAATATTGTTGCAAAATTTCATTAAAAAAACACTATTAGTATCATTAAACCATTGTTTTCCATTGACTCATTTTTAGGTGATGTCCTTGGTGCTGAACACCAGGTTTTAGAACACTCAAAGGCAGAATTGAGGCTTTAGTGTGAAAATTTAATCTGTCATGTATAATTACAACTGCAACATTAAGAAGAGCCTCATGAATAAAAAGTACTCTCTATGCTGTATCCACATACAGGGGTATGACAACTGGTTGTTCCAGTGGACAGTAAAAAACAAGCCCAATACACATAAAGTAGGTTACATCCCTAAGGAATTGCCAAAAAAGAACAAAGTAGCCATAACACATAAAACTACAACATACATGTACAAGTAAGTTGAGCTTACAATGATTTTGAAGGGAGCCTTTCCAGTCAGGAAGGACATGCGCCTGCGGAACACGTGGTTGAAGCGGTTGTCCTTGGCCAGCAGATGAAGGTCAATGTCAGTCAGGATGAGGAACAGGCCCTCCGTCAGGCAGGTCTCTAACTGGGACTTCAGGTCCTGGAAAAAGAGACAGATGAAATGAGATTTTTTGCAAGTATATCTTTGCTGAAGATTTGAAAACTACCAATACATTGAACATGAAATTGAATATTTCAGACTTCTATGAAATATTAAGTAGTCAAGAATTACTCCCTGAAGTTTATTCAGTATTGTAAATTTCTCACTGATTCTGTATAATTATGCACTTTCCCACTGTCTACCATAAGAAAACAGACATGAATGTAGCAGAAACATAAAATTAGGTAACCCATGCTTCCTCCCAGCTTGCAGGGATGCCATTTTGACCTTCCTGTCAGTCCATGGTTACAACATTCTCCCTTCACTTCATGTCACTATTCTGTATTCAAAATAACTATAGATCCACATTCTAACAAACACACAGAGCCAGCAAAAACAAAACCTCCATACAATGGAGGTAAGAATCCTTACATGGTATTTAGCAATGATGAATCCATCCTTCAGATAGTCGATGAGCCAGGGGATGGCTCGACTGGTGGGGTCACACAGCAGCACCCAGGAGTTGTTACTCAGGGTCTCCGTCACAAAACAAGACGAGTCCAACGCCACAGGGTTGGTGGGCAGGCCCTGCAGTTCCAGCTGCTTGATTTGGACCTGTGGGAGATGAAAATGAATGTTGTGATGGTTCAGATTCAGTGTTCATCTAAAATATCTGACACACACATAATCATACCCGTAGTGAGTTACAAAAGAAAGGCAGATGATGAAACACTGTAAATTCTAGAGATCCAGATATAATCGTCTTGAACAATATGTCTTTCTGCTCAGCTTATTCCATTGTTTGATAAAAAATTTAGCATGAGCCAATAGAGCAACAAGTCATGATGTCAAGGGTTTTTTTCCCTCTGAGGCTTTTGCTTACATCAGTGTAGAGGAAGTTGACAAGTGGGATGTCCCTGTACAGCATCTTGTTGGGAATGGGCAGGCCGTAGTGCTCACACACATGTAGGAAGAACTCATACATACTGTTCCTGATTAAAGACATGGAAAAGGCTTAGCAATATACACACAACATTAACTACTCAGTTCATACACTTCTGACCATTCAACAATTCAATGGAATTTTTAACGAAATAACAGTTTCAACAAACACTGTCACCTAATATATATTAACAATTATTCATAGTAGTCAGGTGAAGAGTAGAATATGTAATATCACAGCTTTCAAAGTGCTGACTAACAAATGTCAAGATGGTCATATCAACAAGTGTAGTTGGATCTTACCTGCCATCCAGGCTCATGGGACCACAGTATGTCAGGAAGGCAGATGCTGCGATACAGTTGGACAGGAGCAGGTCATTGGACGAGTTCTCCTCTACTGACTGTTGCCATAGCAACTCCTGCTCACGCAAGCTGAGGAAAGTACAAAATGCAATGTTACACAACAACAACATAGTGACAATGTTTTCTATAATTGAAACGTTTAGAAAACTGTTTAAGTCACATAATTGTGGGACAGAATTCCATTCATCCATCAATCTATCATTTATTCTTACATGTATCTCTATTCCTCCAATGAAGACCATTACATTAAAGAAGCTACAATCACACAATTTTTATGCAGCCATCTATTTTTCATTAATTCATTCATTCATTCATTGAACAGAGCTTTTTTCTCACAGAGGGCTACATTCCACCTTCAGTTGAAACATTTCAGCTTAGCTTCTAACTGTTCAACAGTATATACAAGCTGTCTCCTGAAAGAAAACAATGAATCTGGCAAATACAATACATGTAATCATTGATCAATCTAACCTTTTGATAGTCTCTGTGGCAGCCCTGAGTCTCTCATGACAGTTGTGCAGCTCGTTCTCCAGCCTGTGTTTCTCCATGACTGCTTCATCAAACTCCTCCTGCAGCCTGTCCACCTCCCCCTGGACAATGGGCAGGTCGTTAGGTCCTAACTCTTCCTCCTCCTCCTCTACATGGTCCAACAGGCTGATCTGGGGGTCCTCAGGCTCCTGGCAGGGATGTACAGATTAGTCAGAGTAATCAAATTATGATTGCCTATAATAAGTATTGGACAATGACAATTTCTTAGTGTGCCTACATATCGAATTCCTTCCATAGGTTAATAATTAAAAGAATTTTGACTGACTGCTGTTTCAGCTACAATTATAGTGACAGTTATAAGTACCAATTGGAGAGTCAAACATACACATGTATGGTACCACATGGTATAAGCCATTTGCTTGACAGTGCTCCCAAAAAAAGATATCAAGAAAACATCTTGACTGTTTTCAACAGACATCATAAACAATGTTGGACTTAACATTTGCTGTGAAACTTGCTATGTGCGTTATGCACAATAAAAAGTCATGTACAACAATTTAACATGAAAACAACTAGTACAAATAATGAAAAACATGTCATGTGTGTGTATAAATGCAACATGGTCAATGAACGTATTGGCTGTATTTGTGTGCAAATTAACTCTTGGGTTATTTGGGTGGAAAAGAAAAGGTAACATAAGTTCAGAATCAACATTGTTGATAATGGTAACATGAAAACATAATTAACATCTGTCGCTAAACCTGTCAACTTTCCACCTAACCTGCACTCTCATAATCTTGTTCACTCGAAGCTTCAACTTTCCAGTCCATGCCTCTAGCTGTTTGCATGAAAGATTAATAAGACAAAATGTAACATCCCATCAAAATATTCAGTAAAAGACTACCTTTTGTGATGTTCCTTGTAAAAAAATATATCTGTAATATACATGGCCTCCTTCCATCACTTATCTAGCTGACTTAGTACTAGACTAACCTCTACTTCCTGCTCCTTCTCCAGCCTCTCTGACTCCTCTATCTCATCCTGCAGGTTCTGTAGCCGTTCCTTGGCTATCTGCAGGGGTCCACACAGCTGGGTGTACTCCACAATAGCTGCAGACACAAGCAGTGTGTTAAGGAGGGTGTAACACACATTCCAGGACCCACCATACCTTTTGGAAAATAGTAGGGGCATGCCCTGGTGTGCAATAGTCCAAATACTACTTTCTGGTGATTCATTGTGGACCCCAGAAAGTAGTGTAATTTACACTAACAGAGATCCCAATAAAGCAACAAAACAACCAGACAAAACAAAATACAAACTATATTTATTCGGCCTAATGTGATTCATTGAGATTTTTTTTCAACCCTGGTGTGTTTTAATATTATTGACATAACTTAAAGGAGTACTACAGTTGGGGGAGCATGCTATTTTCCAACTTATCAAACTGCAGAATTTGAGCTGCAGCATACTCACCAATTGTGTACTGCAGTAGGACTGCTGCGTCCTCAGAACTGTACCGCACACCTGCGATGGTAAGACCTGGGGGAGACGCACCTCCGGACCGACGGGGGGACACTAAGGTTGAGGCACTCATACCTGTGGAGGGTAGGGACAAGCATTGTGAAAGAATTACAGAATTACAACAAAGTCTCTGTCAGTTGTTATGGAGATCTATGTCTAAAGGCTAGTTTGTGTGAGGTATATGGGGGGGGGGCATATAACATAACAGAAATGGTGCAGCATAAGTCAAGGAGTCACTTATGACAGTAATGTTGTGAAGTGAAGGCATTCAGCACCAAGGACAGCATAAGGACAGCAATGCCGTACAGTGAAAGCAATCAATACTAAGAACAGCATCAGAAAAACAGCAGAATTGTGAAGTAAAGACACTCAGCAGCAAGGACAGCAGGAGGACAGGCATGTTGTGCAGTGAAGGCATTCAGCACAAAGGACAGACCCAAGGACAGCCCTAGCACAGCAATGTTAGAACTACCAATAGTACAGAGGAAGCAATATTAGTTAGTAAAGGCATCAGCTTAAGGACAGCAATACTATACAGTGAAGGCATTCAGCACCAAGGACAGCGTCAGAATAACCTGTTCTACTACATAGGAAGCCAACATTAAACCTACCAGCCTCCAGCAGACTGCCTTCTCCTGTAGGACCTGCATCTCCATTCTTCCCTGATGCAAGGTAACCCTGCACAGCTGCAAAGCAGGAAGAAAACATTGATTAAATAATTGTCTGATTAATTGAAAGTCAATAAATGAATGACTCAATGAAGACTGAATCATATAGATGAATGAATCACAATTAAATATACAGTATATATTAAAAGATATGTTCTCCAATCTTGATACACATAATATAGTATTACTAACAATAATCTATAATCATAACTACAGCTTTTATGATATTTAACCTTCTCCCTGCTGCCTAACTTTGTAACCAATAGAGACTTGGTAACCAAACATCTACTTCAGTGTGCTAAAGGTTGATTCACTGTTGAGAATCCCACCTGCTAGTACGTCAGGGTGAAGGCCATCTTGCCACGGCACGCGGTGAACCATCTCTACAAACTTGACAGAGTCACTCATGGCATGTTGGAGCTTCTTCCACTCATTACGGTCGACCTTATCACCATCTTTGGTACCTGATAGAGGTCGAGGATTCAAGGTCATTTAGATTATAGACTCAAGGTCAACCCATGATTTGGATGCAGAAATGCAACAAAGACATGCAGCTAGATATAACATGTTTCATTGGTTGATACAAGAGAATTAGGCAATACTATAAACATTGTGACAATAAAACATGCAGTGTAAAAAAACAAATAGTGTACATAAACACAATCACCACCACCAGCCTTGTTTTCTATGCAGGGATTCCTATTTTGGCCAGGGAAAATGTTAACTACACCATGCTTGATACATGCATGACACGCGTGCAAGTGCAGGAAAAATACAGGGTGCAGACTGTGCCTATAAGTCAGTTCATGGTTTGAACTGTGCAAGATCAAAGGTGAAGGCCCCTTACTTGTAAACAATCATCTGGACATTCAATGCTTTATACATGTCCAGATTTGTTTATGTTTCAAGGACCTTCGTCTTTGACATATTTGCCACAAGACACCACAATGCAGTACTATGCATGTGCAGTTTAAACCATGAACCAGCTGAGGAGACCAACCACCATCTACAACATTTATTTAATCATTTACCAGTGGAACCACGTCGTGAAGAATCCATCTGCCTCTTAGTTTCTTTGGGAAACAAAAGTCAGTTGACATTAGTCTCAAAGCGGCAAGTTAGATCATTTTCAATACACACATCAACAGCTACTACTACGTAATGCACAATTTACTTACAAGTAAAATAATCAACTTGCTTAAATATTGTTAGTAATAGTTAGGTTGTAGGTTTTAGTAGGTTAAACTTCAATCAATGTGAACAAGACTATAAGATAAAATACCTCGCTTCACTAGAGGTTTGAAGGACAGACTAGAGGCACTTGATGTCCTGTCAGTCTGTGAGTTCTTCCCTTCCTTCTCCTCCCCCGTGTCTTGTTTTGGTATCTTCCGACGACCCAGCAGGGTCATCATCATGTCCATGACCAGTGCCACGAGGACGGGAGGGTTCTGGAAGGCTCGGATCCGTTCCACGCACTGTCGGCTTACGCTGTCACGCCACTGTAACACCTGGGATGAGAGACAATCAGCAGTTAAAAAACTGAACAAAACAATCGCTTGATATGTTTAATATGTGATTTCTGGTGTCTTATAAGCCCATATGGGCTGGGCGACAAAGAAAAGTCGCAAGACACGATAATAAAATTTCATTCATTGAATGATTCCATCATTCATTCATTCATAACTTAAAGATTTTCATTTGATTTGAATTGTGCTATGTCATAATCATAATGAAAGGGCTTAGAATTTGAGTATAAGAACTTAGACTTATCTCTGTTAGTAGTATTTACAGCAAAGACAAAGAAATAAGACTTCTTGAGTTCCTCCACAGTGTGTACAATGTAGTGATGTAAAGAATCTAATAAGGCAAAAAGAGTGTCTTGGAATCTTTACCTTCTTCCTGGACCCCTCCAAGGCTTTCTTAGCATCCTCCACCGCCTTCTTGGCAGCAGCAAGTTCCTCCACAACCTGCAGTTTCCTGGACTTCATGTTCTCCTTCCGCATCCGATCAAACTCATCATCATACTCATCTCTGTCGTCTGTTGAAATAAGTTTTAAAAATTGTTAAATGTTAAAAAAATGAGTTTGAGTCCCTGCCACAAGCAGTTACAGCTTAAAGTGATTATCTTTAATATTCCTTTTATTCCAACAAAGCAAATTATGGGGCTCTAAATACTTTTTCTTTTTTGTTACCTGCAATGTGTGATTCATAAATTTCAGCAGCCTGATTTTTCTTTCACCCAGCAAAGTTGCAAGCTGTCTATTTTTGTGTGTTTTTTTTTTGCTTTAAAATGTTGATGATTTTCCCCGCAATTTGCACTTAACCGGTATTTTGAGCCCTGTAAGATGACCATTTATGATGATTTCTCTTAACACCATAATCATTGTTAACATGCTTCATGCAGTGCCCTTCACCACATGCAATTTTGCGCGTGAAACGTTTGTTCGTTTGTTTTGGCTTACGAGACTTCCAGTGGGCGCGGAACTGTCTGTGCTTGATGGTGCTGTACTCCTCCATAACCCGAGTGGACCGTATGTACGATGCCATCAGCATCTCTATAGCATCACTGTCCTCCCCTATGTCATCTGGACATTACATGTACATGTAGGTGGCATGTTTAGCTATAAACTCTTGTGGTAACAATTTACTGTGGTAAAGATCAATGGTTCAATGTTATTGAATATTTGATAAAATATTATGTCAATTTAAGAAGCAGCTGATTTTAATGTTGAAAGTTCTGTGCCATATGGTTTTTCATATTAATCAAATTTCTGAACAAACCAAAAGCTTAATTTGATTTTACATAATCATATTAAGTTTATAGACTATGAATACTGGCTCAAGCATATTTTAGGTGTATATGACATATATTGTAATTAAGGAATCCAATTGTCATCTTTTAGCAAAGAAAAAATGAGATCTTTGCAGTACACATTTTACTGGGTCTTTCCTTACAGCTTTTTTTACTTTATTCTGGGCTTTGGCATGCACAATATGATACCTCATACATATGCATGAGACTGGTGTAATCTTAACAGTACCTTGTTTGAGCAGATCATCTTCCTCCTCGTCTTCACTGGACACCTCGTTCAGCTGTAGGTAAGCCCCCAGACTCCCCTCTCCTCCCAGCTGGGCCTTCAGCTTCTCCAGGGTGGTGGCCTGGGGGTCAGGGTACAAGATGACGTTACACAAACATGCATTTCACACGTCAATATGTAGGGAGCAGAAAGTTGGAAAAAATTGAAAGTTTTGAAAAGTTGAGCGATGAAATTTTTTGTAATTATTGATGAGATTTGATCTGGCCCCAAACCATGATGCCATGATCATGTCTCTCATTTGGTCTTTGGTTTTGAGGAGTTTCTAGTTTTCTTTGAATAAAAAACATTTACTTCCTATAAACTGCCTCTGCCAATTATATGGCTCCACTCAAAATAGTAGTTTTAACCAGAGACTGCAATTACCTGACATGTTGTCATCAAGATGGTGTGGCAAAAATAGATTTCATCAGCATCAGTTCTAAAATGGCTCCATCCTTGGGATGTTGCCAAAATGAGACCTACAAGAGTGCGTTACCTTTCCTGTCAGCTGCCTGAGCAGCCCAGCAGTCTTCTTCTGAGCCTCCTCATAGTCAGCCTGCACAACCTTGATCTTCTCCTCCATCAGCTTGGCATCTTCCCTGGTCTGGGACAGGGTGGACAGGGCTTTCCTAGGATGAGTAGAAGTGATACAGCCTTTTAATCTTAAGCACAGTCAAGTGGCTACTATTTTTGTATTGGTTCTGGGATTAGGCAGCAAGGAGGTGGTACATGCATTGACGGATACACAGGTCTATGAGGGATATCTTTCTTTCTTTCCTTCTTTCTTTCTACAACATTCTAATGTATGGTTAATACTCACAACAGAGTCAGTTCCTAAACATGAAGCTTTAAATATCACTCAGTCTGCTGCAATACCCCCTCCCCCAACTTGGCATCACACGTTTAATGTGTACTGATTAGTGATCAGGACAAATGCCATTTATACTTATACAAAGAGGATACAAACTTACTTGAGCCTTGTGATGTTAGCGTTCTGCTGTGCCGTCTTGGTGGATAGAACGTAAAGGAAACACTCCATGAAGCGTCTGTAGAGGGTGGGACCCATGGGGATACTGCGGTGGCTGACCTTACCAACACCCTTGTGCTGCAGCAGGATCCTTTCATGCATGATGGACTTGGAATATGGCAGGTTGGGCAGCTGTATAGAAAACAAAACAATTGCAGGTACAATGAAATACATATACCACAGAAATAGTGCTGCATTGTGTTTTTGACTTAATATACACTTAGTCTACTTGCATAGTAAACTTGTAGCTCATGTGCTTTATACCATAGGCCTCAATTTTACCTCCATGATCTGTGTCTTGTACTGGTCCTTCTTGTTGTCCCGTTTACACATGGTGAGACTGACTGTCTCCTCCACGTTACCTGCCCAGGGGATCTGTCGACAGTCCTGCAGGACGTAGCTGTGGATGTTTGCCATCACTGTCACCAGCTTGTCCCTGCAACAGCAAATTTAAAAAACAACAGTTATTGATCTAAAAATTTGAAGATACATGTAAACTACAATGAATAAGAGTTAAGGTCAGTTTCGTATTTAAAACAAATTCCCAACCAACAGTTTGGTCTTCATGAGGTATCCTGACCCACTGCCATTTCAAAAACATGACATCAGGAGTATGTCATAGATGCGTAGGAGTCTGTACTTATCCATTTTGTATTCCATTTTGTCTGTCTTTAAAAGCCTAAAGATTGTATAAAAGCCTTTCTCGTGTCTACAATTTCTTAAAGCAAATGCAACGGCTAGAAATTAATGATGGTATATCTTTTAAAGGTGGAATACAATTAATGTAAAACACTTTTTTTTTAAAATACCTCATCTCTGGATTATCAGCCACCAGGTTGTACTTCTCCACGAAGTAGTTTGCCTTGTCCAGCAGACACTCCTGTGTCCAGGCACACACCCAGTTCACCTGGCAACTGGTCAGCAGGCCTGGGTACTGGCTGTGGGACAAGGTTTTAAACCATTACAAATGAGAAACTGATATTACAGCTGTACATGTGGTACACGTATGTATCCAAGAACTATGATAATCATAGATTGAGTAGAACTTGCTGTGTAGCTTCAAATAATGCTTGAAGCTAGATGTGCAAAACGTAGGTGCAACAGGTCCTTCAGTGTAATATAAAAAGCTGCTGCAGTGCTCAGGTTTTGAGGTACAATATTCAGTAAGATGTATGTAAATCTTATGTATGCTGAGTAGTTGAATATGCGTAGGGCATTCTCCATGTGCATTTTTTACAATTCATTTTGTATCATGAAAGTATGCACACACACACACACACACAACACACACACACATACCTGGCAGCTACCCGGAGTAACCAGTGCTTGGGCGGTAGACAGATGACGATCTTCAAGTTGGACTTGACTCGAGACACAAAGAACTTCATAGGGTTGGACATGAGGTGTGCGTATGCCTTCTTCATGACTGGACCAAGCACCTGGAACAAAACATCAGATTTCAGACCTCCTGGAATGTTTCATGAATGTATTGAAACTTGGGTATTACGAACAGTCAACCACTTCCTGACTACCAACTTACTCCCACCCAGTGCATGCAGGGTCACTGTAAATAAGTATAATCTCCCTGTCTATCAAGTAATCAAATATCCACCCACTGTTCCTGCAACCAAGAAAATTAAATTTAATTTTTAACCTCCTTGTGGCAACCATCTCTGTCAGACAAGCATGCACATAAACCCTGGGACAAACCCACCAAAAACAACCTTCATACCTGAAAGTACAACATACATGTATTACCGTGTTATGTGTTTTAACATAAAAATATGACCTATCCCACATGCATTGTATTTGTATTCATTTTGGTGCTTTTACCCCAACAACCTGGATTTCAGCACCTTTGACAGCACTTATAGTTGGCTGAAAAAACAGTTTCATTTTGAATATTGGTCACTGTGACTAACCTATCTTATATAATCTAATTTCAGCATAATCTAACTAGTAGCCAGTTGAGATATCTACATTATATTATGTTTCACAGTATCTAGTATGTAAGACCTTGAAAAAGTCAAGTTACTCATAATTCTTACAATTCCTGCTTTTTGATTGGTTGCATTGATTTTTCTCAAGTCAGTAGTTAATAATATACATAATACACCAATCCTATAAAGGTGCTGCAACTTGCATCAAAGTCTTTACACAAAACTAAAACATCCTGATGATTCTGGTTGTCTAACTGACCTGTAGTAACCCCTCCAGTTCATCATTACTGAAGAGTGGTGGGTACTCCCCACACACCAGCAGACTGTTGATCGCATCCAGGTAGGATTCATCATGAAGGTCTTTGGCCTGTGGAAAGGAAAAATAAAAAATTCAAAGACTCAAGACTAAAAAATAAAATCGGATTCTATAACAATGACATGCAAGTGGTATTTTTTATTTCTTCTGTTTTGCAATATTCCTACTATTCAAAGTCTGTTTGTCATAAAATAAATTTGTTTTGTATATTTAATACTAAAACATTCAGTGATATTCATATTCATACCCTATCATAAACATTTTTTTGGACATATTATTGTACTACTTATAGATTGGAATTCATAATTTTAGTATTTTTTTCTTTTTGATAATGAAGAGTCTGCACTTTAGATTTTGTAAAACATTTACTTGATACTTGATAAATATGACAAAATACAACAAACTCACTGTAAAGAGAAGCGTCAACATCTTCCCCTCACTGCCCGTCATTCTGACTGCTGACCGCAGGCCGTCAAAGAACGTGTTTGCACGCGAACAGTCCACGTGGTACATGTCCACGTCAGCGATGTGGAGGGCGAGCTTCACCATGGTAACCAGATGGCTACCAATGGCTCCAATCATCAGCAGGTTACCCCTGCAATATGGAACAAAAGGGACTGTTGTGTTAACTGGTGATAAACTTTTGAATTCACAATGCTGCAACTAGTAAGTTTTTAAACACTCCATGCCAGAGGGTAAAGTTTTGTTTTTGGCACGTTTGTGTTAGTTTGTATATTCTGACTGTATGTTTCTGATTTTGTTGATTGTCAGACTAGAAAGGTTGCAAAGCAATTACATTTGGGAGTTGAAGTCTGCCATCTCAGATTGCCTAACTTTTGAGAAGTAAAAACGTTTCCTTTTATTTTCAAGATTAAAAAGTCTGTTTTGTTACTTGTGACACAGAGAAGAGATAATCATGAATAATTCATTCAGACATCCATTTATTCAATCACTCATTGTACAAAATGCCTGCAGTATAAGGCCCATTATAGTGTAGGATATAAATTCGATTAGCAGAACTGACCCATTCTGGAAGCTGAGGACCCTGTGCACGCGAGCGATGTGCTGGAACACGTATTCACACAGCAGCACGTCCAGCTGCTCGTTACGGAACCGCTCGTTGTAGGACACCAGATGGGAGGCTAGCGTCTCCTGTACCTCCTTCATGCTGACAATGGGCTGCAGCGCCACCTGTTGGAGGAGTATATTATGACAGTTACTGACAGTACTGGTGCCATCCTGTATGATTGTAGTCACTGGCAATATATATAAATAATTATATAAAGTTGAAAAGAGCCTTTTTTTTGTCATGAACTGTACAGGACTATAGTCAAGCTCTTTTGGTACAGTGTTGAACCAGAATGCCAGAATTTTTGTTTTAAAACAAAAAAAGGTTTCCAAAACACAAAATTCAGAATTTCACTTCTTGAACTTGCTTTCCAGTGAAGCTAATTTTCACAAGGGTTCACAAGTAAGAATCTTATCCCATTCATATTTACTGTAGTTACAGTAACATAGGTATAGAATATGATACATATATTCATTGCTAAAGAATCTCACCCTTATTTTCTTGTCTGTAGACATGGTGGTGACAGGTCGCTGGTAGGCCCGGCCATCAATAGGGAAAGTCACAAAGTGGGGAGGGAGGGTCTCCTCTTCAATGTCTGGAAAATGCTGAAATAAAAAAAAGACATTGTGTTAGATATTTGTGTTACTGGTATATTAAAAAAGCATATTACAATGTTTGATTATACTGCAATATGAAGACAATTCTCCTTCTGAAAGGATTAAAAAAAGTCAGTGTTACCTTCTTGAGTATTTCCTGGAGGTTGTGGTTGAACCAGTTCTGGTCAGACTTCCTACAGATGGAGTTCTCCATGATGTGCCAGACCTCGTGTCTCCACAGTCCCACCACCATCTTCTCATCTGCACGGCTCTCTGACGTCAGACGCTTCATACACTACACAACAACAGTAAAACATGGTACTCTTACACCAAGTCCAATGGAATTGACATGCAATGCATAATTTTATGTATCAAGAAAAATCTGTGCCTGTCGTCAGAATTTGTGAATGATTTTGATCTCTAATTGCAACCTTTTGTCTTGATAAACACAAAATCAAAACATTTCTTCCTTCAGCATTTCAAAAAAAATTTCCAGGCACTTATAATGTAGAATGGCACCAAGTCTCTCACACTTCACAAGATAAAATGCACAACATTCCCTTATTTAGAAAGTTGTTTATGCCATGAATGCCCGTTTTGCTGGGCATTCATGGAGGAACAAGGAAGAGATCGTTAGTGATGTGCTCCTCTGGGCACCCAAACATGGGCATGCCAGTGTAGGCAGACCTTGCAAAACATACATACAACAACTGTGTGAGGATGCAGGCTGCAGACCGGAAGACCTGCCCAGGGCTATGGGGGATAGGGAGGGCTGGCAGAAAAGAATCACGAGCATCCGTGAAACTCTCACAACCAGATGATGATGATTAGGCCAACGGTTACAATGGTCAGATTTAACCACAATGGCCAGATTTTTTGGTTTAACTATCTGCTGTTGACAGCAATGCTGATTCAGAAGTTTTAAAGCACTCAATGCACTTTCAAATATCAATTGCCAAGTATCAACATTTCCACCTTCAACTTACTTTTCCTCTTTCAATGCTTTCCAACTAGTCTAAAAAGAGGGTATTAAAGATGAAGACTACCCACCTGGAAGGCCTTGGCGATGTTCCTGAGAGTGAACATGTAGTGCTGTCTGCCAGGCATGGGTGATGGCCTCAGGACGTCCTGAACACTTGTCAGTAACTCACAGGATGCTGCTGTCAGACTGGTGTGCAGCTCTGTGTCTAAACCTTGGCCGTCAAAACTCATGTTGGCCTAGGAGACAAACAGAAATGTTTTGTTACAAAGTACAGTAGTCTGTGGTAACTTCAATAAATAGCTTTAAAATGCTTGCAGTTGGGCAGTAGACAATTGAAAAAATTTTGACATTGTCTCATTTCTCAGCTCTATGCTGAATACGGTTCAACTTTCTGTCTAAACATTATTCAAACTGTATAATTATTGTAGATACCAGTAGAAAAATCTAATATTCTTATACCTCAAGCATGGAGTTGACCACACTCTCCAGGTCCTGTCCTTGTGGTGCTGGTAGATGAATCACAGAGAAGTGTCTCTGTTGGGAGAAAATTGCAATTCTTCTTTAGCCTACATGTATCATTACTCTGAAGAAAAAACTCAACAGTGTTTTGCTTTAGTCTAAATGATTTAAAATAACCTTGTATTCAGTTTATTCAATATTACTCTATAATTCCAAGACTTTCAATTTCTATTCTTTTTTTACTTTCAAGATTTTTAGCTTTTTCCAGTTCATTCTATTCCTTTTTTTCTACCATTGGTTCAGCTGTATCTGTACTTACGATGAGTCTCTCAGACAGCAGCTGTGTGGATGTAGAAGGGTACTCGTGCAGCGTGAGTGCAGCCAGCACAGACAGACCCTCCACAGTCCGCCATTCAAACGGCTTCTGCAGCTTCAGTAAGATGTGGTGGTCCAGGAGTTCTCTTAGATTCTGCAGAGCAAAATGAACCACAAAATTGAGCCTTCTTGTCACATTCATGTAAGACCACAAATGTGATCCAACCTTAAGACTCCATTTAAATCAAGTTTGTTTTGTTGTTTTCATTGGGTGTCTCTTTAATTAAGTTACTGCCTTTAACTGAGATTATGTAAATTATGGCATCATACTACGGCAAGGTCATTGATTATATTGTGGAATTCTCACTCTGATAGTTTGCACAACAAGACTAATGGTACATGTCACTGTATATATCAAAAAGTGTCTTCTTGAAGAATCCAAGACTGGTATGAAAAAACATATTGTTTAAAATGATAGTAAAGATGGTACCATACCTCATTCACCCTCTGCACCCCAAACTCATCCCTTGCAGGCATGTTGATGTCATCAATGAATATCTGGAAGCCTTTGTAGTCCTTTGCTCCATAGACAAACCCTGCAGAACACATGGTAGAGTCAAAACAAAGTTTTCCAGCTTGAGACCACAAGTTTTTCATACAAAAAGACAACTTAAGCTTGCTTGTTTAATTGTTTGAAGGCATACCGGTAATATCTTTCCAAGAAAAAACAAGAACTGTACATCATGCTTAAGTATTATCTGACCTTGTCTGTGATGGATGTTGGCCTCCACAAATGTCTGCAGTTGTGAGGCTTGAGAGGCAGACGACCACACCAGTCTCTTCACTATGTGTGTGGCAGGGTCTGGACATGGAACAATATTTAATATTATAAATGATATAGACTCTGCATCATTATCAAACACTGAAAATACTTCAAATTTTTTTAATGAAACACAATTCAACACATGTATCAACATCACACAACAATCTAAAAATATTTTGAATTTTTTAGGTACCTTGGGTGTCAATGAGGTCGTTAATGAGGGAAGTCTTTCCCGACCCTGGTGGCCCCACCAGGAGGACATTCTGTCCTGAGGACAGGGCATAGTCCATCAGCACCTGGCAACGGATCTGGGGAAAGCATTCAAAGTAAACAGTCAATATTCATTGTAAACACAGTACAATTTTGATGAAGTCTAGCAGCAATGGCAGATAATGTCCAATGTGAAAAAGGCTTTGAGGAGCTCTTACTGTATCAACGGTCTCCACAAACACCTCTCCAGAAATGTTGGCATTGTCGGGGTAGGTATCCTCTTGTACCCTGGGGGAAAGAATCATGTCAGCAAATTTTCGCATAAAAATCTAAGCTACATGGCTATTTTTTACAGATGACTTAATAAAAGATGATTACGTACATCGTACAAATATGCAGGATTCGTTCATTCATTGAATCATGTACACATTACCTTGATGTCCATGGGTCCCATTCTCCTGACTCATCTACATAGTAGTCAAACACAGAGATCTCATGGTCATAGTCTGGCAACCTAGGAAGAAAAAAATTAGAAAGATCATGTCATAATACTGTTTATTATCAACATCCAAGAATACAATAACCATGTTGTATTGTCAAATCTATAAACCTTGGTGGTTGATACATGTGAGACTGGAATGAAAACACATGACTGAAAGCCTATGAGTACTATAATTTCATTATGCCTATATCATAAGTGTCTTCTGCAGGGCTCCATCCTGGGACCACTTTTGCCAAATTTATAAAACTGCACCAAGATAATACGAATATAACATACGCTGATGTGAGGCTGGTGAGAAGGTTACTGAAGGCCTGTCTGTCAGTTCCCTGCAGCAGCCCTCCAAACGTCCATATAAGGCAGAACAGGTACAGCCTCTCCACGTGAAGCTCCCCGCCGATCTCAACATTGTCGTCCAACATGGCCTTCAGCAGGTTCAGACAGTTCTGGAACATCCCCACCTCACACACCGGCACCTTGGTCCTACGTACAAAGGAACCATTCAGGGAGACAGCCCTGAGTGGGCGTGTTGGTTGTTATTACACCGCACACACAGCAAGTCCAAACCGTTACACCGTGTTAGGTTTAGTTAGTAAAACAGTAGGAAATATTAGCGCAGGTTCAGAAATGCAGCAGAATTTGGTAAACCAAACAACTGTAAGACTGAGATTTTAACCAATTTGACAAACTTTGTAATTGTTTCAAACAACTTTTCAATTGAATTTGATAAAGATATGTTTTCTGCTGCCAATATGAATTCAGAACTCATCAAAATTATGAAATCAGAAGTTTATGTTGCACTGCATCTTGAATGCTAAGTTTTGCTTTCCCTACAAAAAGGTGTCGTTACTGATTAAAAATGATTAAAAGTTTGATTTTTTATCATTTCATTATTTTTTACAGACTGAATCTAATGTGTGATTTAATAATGTTCCATACTGCACCTCACTGTGATACAGCACAAAGAAATCATACAAGAGATTGAATGAAAATTCTACTTTTCAATTTTCTTAGTTTGACTAATGATAAATGATACTGAATGGTTATGATCTTTGTGATTTTCTCTTCATTGATTATTGCATATCATGCGTCGTGCAAGGTATTTAATTTCACTCGGTTTGAATTAACAAAAATGATGATGTGAATGGTGATGATTTTTGTGATTTTCCCTACATCAATTAGTGCTGCATGCAAGTTAGATGGTTGCCATGCTTGTACCAGGTTGGTAAATTAAGGCATAGAAGGCGTGCATAAGGGAACACTGACACAACACATACTTTGCTTCATTGATGACAAAGTTGGAAACTGCATCCAATGTCTTGTTGAAAGCCCTCTGGAGGTTCTAAGGAGAGAAAAACAGTACATGATGATAAATAGTGTTTATCATTAAAGCAAAAATATCTAATACATTAAAGATTGAAATGTACCACCACCATACAAACCACCAAGTTTTTCTTGACCACAGCATAAGTGCGTGTGTGTTACAAGATGTTGCATCACAATATGCTACAAGATACTGGCCACAGCCTGTGCAATGAGTTTGTCTATATTATCAGTGGAATTGTATACTGAACACATCTGTCCTTGGTGCTGAACACCATCCACACTCATGGTAACCATACCTGTCCTTGGTGCTGAACACCATCCACACTCATGGTAACCATCTGTCCTTGGTGCTGAACACCATCCACACTCATAGTAACTATACCTGTCCTTGGTACTGAACACCATCCACACTCATGGTAACCATACCTGTCCTTGGTGCTGAACACCACTGAAGCATGTGTTAACAACTATCCTTGGAATGCTTCCACACAGATTAAAAAAAAAAAACATCCACGTCTTCTCATTCCTATTCAGACTTATTGCACAGGTGTAGGGCCTGAAGGATGGTTTAGAATTTGTGGCATATTTTGCAACATAACACAACATACAATCACTTCGTGATGTGGTCTGCTCTCCAACCAAGCCTGGGCAATGGGTCTCCAGCCAAGTACATTCTTGTCCATATACACGATACCCTGCAAAACACCATATAACAATCATTAACAAACTAGAAAGGCCAACATTTTAGTCAGATTAGATTATTAGGATATCGACACACCAGAAAGATTGAAATATCAATCTTATACTCACAGCCCTGGAGATGGTAGCAGGGGACGCGAACTTCAGCTCAGTTGTCTCAAAGAGAAGTCGGACATTATCTGACAGAGGCAGTCGGTCTCCGTTTGGAAGATGGAAGGTCTGAAAAATCATGAGAGCATCGTTGGTTGTCCTGTTTTATTTCACCCTTCTCATTTTCTTATGAAAGACTCTTCAAGGTTTTTTCAATGATCCTTTTTAAAAATGTAAGGTAAAAAGTTTGTTGAAGATTTCTAGAGATAACTAGACATTTAAGAAAACATCAAGGATTTTGGAAAGAATATTTTTGAATACTATAAAACTGACGTTGTCATTGTCCAGAACACTGCTGAAGTTGTCAGCCCAGCCAGCATTGAGTGGTCCATCCAAACACAGCCAGGTGGTGCTCTTGTTCTGTAAGAATGGAATACATGTCGACAGTCAAATGTTTGTCATTAGTTCAAGTTGACATGTATGCTAATGACTGCATGAGAGTACACACTATCTTTAGTTCACAGAAAATTAGTTTAAAAACTCCCTACAGGGAATGTATGTCATTGAATGATTTCTCCCAAACTTTAGCACAGCAGTATCATACTTAACCCCTGAGAAAAAAAAAAAGTCAAAATGCCAAAAAAGTCAATCTTTCTACAACAGACCAACCAAATTTGCAGCATTCAGCAGTCTGATTGAAGTGAAATGGACCATGTTGAAATCATAGTCCACTATGCTGAGAAGCGAGTATGACTGACTCCTAGCCTTACCCTACAGGTCTTGAAGCCAAGGTTTATAGTTCACTGTTCTAAGAAGCAAACATGAGTTTATCTTTCACTGTGTTAAGAAACAAACATGGGCTTATAGTTGACTATGCTGAGAAGCGAGGCTCTCTCCTAGCCTTACCCTGCAGGCCTTCTTCCATGCGTGTGTGAAGATCCCGTCCACCCAGTCATGATTCTGGTTCAGGTGGCCAAACACCAGCCCGTAGTCATCGACGACCAGCGGGTTGAGGCGCAGCAGCTTGTGTGACGTGCCCATGGCAGACTTCCCGTGGCTGTGTGTGCTGGGGGTGGGGGCGGAGATGGAGGACAGAGCCTCCACTAGGGTGGCGATACAGGACGACTTGCCCGAGGCAGGCGAGCCAGCAACTATGATACCTATGGGGGAAACATAAAATAAAGTTAACTCAACATACTTATCATAAACCCTAAATACACAAAAGCGCTGACAAAAACCGCTTTGCACAATATTTGTTTTCAAGCTAGCTATAGTTATATAGTATATAGCACAGTACATTTTTCCATGTCATATGTCCCAGGAAGACTTTGTCTTTCTCTTAATTTCTTTTAAAACTCTTTTAAGATCTGGGTATTGGATGCTAAAATACTGAAAACTGGTGCTGAGTGCCTTACATTTTGTATACGTCTTGGGCATCATTGTTACACATGTAACAATTAGGTAATCACTTTTTTTTAGTGGTTCTACAGAACATACCTTTGTGGACCTGTGACAGTGCATACAGACTCATACACTTGCTGATCCAGGGTACGTGCGGTATCAGTCCCTTCTCCTGGGCCTTCTGTACCATGGCAGGCTCCACCCCCAGGCTGAACTGTCGGGTCAGCTCCGTGTCAGGCAGGCCTGCAAACGTGTCCTTCAGGATACCGGTGAAGGTCACCAAGTCCTGGAGAAGAAAAAAAGCAAAGATACCTGTCCTTGGTGCTGAAGATCATATCAAACGTTCTTAAAACATTCAAATCAGCAAAAGTTACAGTAACTTCCTTAAAATTGAAAGATAATTTTTTTCATAATAACTATATATAGAAACAGCAGTTAGGAATAACATTCTTAAAAACTTTCATATCAGAAAAAGTTACAGTAACTATGTATAGGAATAGCAGATAGACCAACAATAACCTGAGCATATTGTATATGTACTGTACAATGCAAGATGTAGTGACAGTACTTTCTGAACTAATAAATACAACATTGTCTCTCATACCTGCCCCCTCAGCCTTGGTGCAATGCATTCCTGAAGGGCATCTGACACCATGGAATGTTCCACTTTGGCAGCAGGGGTGAGCATGTTGGGGTTCCCTGCCTTCCTGGTGCGTTCACCAATCTTCACGTTGATACTGGGAGACGGACCTGTGAATTTGAGTGGTAAAACGTCATGAAAGAACTACAAAAGGCTCTTAGAATAATTCCCTTCAAAGGCCTTTAACATTGGAAGAAGGTGTGACAGAGACAATGTGTTCTTTTGATGAGGAAATAGTCAAAAAAGCTCTTTGAAATGCATTCACAGGGAAAGGTATATAGCCACTGGCATGCAGTTATGTATGAACTGGGGTAGTCATGCCTCATGCATTGACTGTAACTTAAGTTTCATGAAGAGATTATCAAATTTTGTTCCTTGTACAAGCAACCCTTGTGACAACAACAGACAATAAACTGGACAGTGAGTGTGTGAGTGAGTAAGCAAGCTGACATGCTTTAATATCACCATCTTTTCTTCCCACCACCTTCAGTTGATACAAAGAGAGTGAAGAGTTTGGAATATTGTAGGTCTGAATGATGCCATGCAGTGAACGTATCAAATCTTACTCATGGGACTGGGATCACTGAGACCTGCTGATGCCTGCCGTTGGGGCGGGGTGGTAGCTATGGGGCCTGGAGAAATTGTGTGTCTTCTTTAATGATGTTTTATAGAATGTTATTCTCCTACTTTTACAACTTTAACCCTTCGTTACCATGTAACATTATAGCTTTATCAGGTTTGGCTAGAATTCACAAATTGTACCAGAACACTGCAATGTGCCTGTCAGTGCATGTGTGTACATGCACATGTAAGACTGTTCAAAAAGACTAAAACGTCAGTAACAGTTTGGCATAAACAGACATTGTAACAGTGTAACCCTGTTAGAATGAACAGAGTTAGTACACATTTTTTTAACCACATAGTGAAACCTACTGATCTCCCAGGAGGGGCTTGCCAGCGCTGATGTCATCTGTTGGACTGTTTTTGCCATTTTCTGGAATGTCACTGGTTCACTCTCCTTCTGTGAGACAACTACTACTGGCACATTGGCCTTTGGACCTTGTAGCACAAATAGATTTCCAGTAAATGCAATATATCTACAGTTGAGCATATCAAATAGATGACAATACTTGTCAAGTTGATATGTGAATGACCATTATATTTGATAAGGTATTGAACTGCAAAAGGGCTTCTTCAACTGCAACAGTATGACTGCTATAGACAACCTTAGAATATGAAGGAATACAAAGTTTAACATAGAATTTTCAATCAAGTTGAACAGATCTATATTTATAAGCATGGATATTGTCATTAGGGCATGGTGACATTGTAGGAACAAACTTTCAAGCATGTTTTAACAAAAGCTGCAACAGAATGAAGAAAAATTCAATCAACAACAGTTACTAGCAAAACAAGTGCAAATTAAAACAATTTCTGACTAGTGAGTCGGAAAAGACTCAGGTTGTCAACTGCTTAAAGAACAAAGCTACAAAACAAAACAGAATTTAGTACATCTTCCTTCTCTATGCCAAACCTACAGACAACACATGAATGTCGCTTTCCCGCGGCCCTAACTTGTTGCAGAGTTCCTGCAAATGCCTGGAAAGTGGAGGCTCCTCCTGCAAAGCTCATAGACCTGGTGGTCTTAGAGGGAGCTGTGGTAGATGCTATGATGTACACAAGCAGAATAGAATATGTGATACTATATAACCTGACTGTTGAAAAGAGTAACATAGCTCTGAGCAAAATCAATGTATCAAGAAAGACCTTGACGTTTGTCTTTATGTTAGGTTACTTGTATATTAGTATGCCTAAACCTACAATGTATATGTATGCCCACATAGCAGATATCGTAAATAAAGTACATCTGATTCAACGACGTCACAATTTATGCTGTTAAATCACACACAGATTTCTTACTTGTCTGGCTGAAGCCAGCCTGGGATCCGATAGCCACTGAGATGACACTGTTGGAGCGTGAGATTTGTGACATGGTCTCCATGGCCGCCTGTTTCTCCTCTTTCAGGTTCTTCTTCTTCTTGTAGGCATGGCTGATAACACCAGTCAGAGCTGCCAGGCTGAAGTGGTGATGGTGTTCCTTAGGCCTGGAAATAGTATTAAAAGACATGTCAAACAAACATCTCTGAGCTTTACAAGATACTACACAAATGTAAGTATAAAAAGAAGACAGAGCCAATGAATTCTCCACCCCTGTGGTACTGCCAAAAAGGCAAATTAATTGGAAAGCAAAAAAAAATGCTTCAAAGATGTTCAGAATAAAATAAAAAACATGACTTGCCAGCTATAGTGGCAGATAGTTTTAACTTAAAGTTATTAAATAGAAATATGTTTTGGTTTGATTGGGCTAAAAGGCATTACTCTAATGTTACACTTAAAATGAGGCATTGACATTAGAAAAATTTTCAGCAAAACTACCAGTGCAACACTATCAAAACTTCCCATTTCACAGTAACTGTTATGAAAAATCTTCAACAACTTCTTGTTCATCCAAAAGCACAAGGAAAAGACCTATAAAAACCATATAACAATATAAAAACCTACAGTTGATCCCTGCACAGGTCAGCCATCAGTTTGAGTCTGTCTGCCAGAACCTTGGGAGACTTGAAGCCCAGCCCTGCAACTTTCCCGCGGAGGATGAGGCCCAGGTCGGGCAGCACCAGCGAGACGTTACGGTACAGGGCACGGATCTCCTGCGGCAGCTGGAACCCACGCGACACGTCCTTGTTGATGGTGATGAAGGTCGCAACATATGGGTCGACTGGCACCTGTAGGGTTGGCAAAGTAAATGAAAAATTCACATAACTGTTTTTACCACAGCCAAGTGGTGAGCTGCCATCAAGCCTCAGTATTGCTGTGCAAGCACGTCTAACCCTTGGAAGTTGGGGAACAACAGAAGATAAACAGGATAGTGAGTGAGTGTTTAATTTTAAAAGTTTTTTGTAGTCATTAAATCTCAACACAAATTGAGGTGAGTATGATCATGATCATGACCATGCATCTGCAACCATCAATCAACTCAAAATTTACCACATTCACTTATTTAAGGTATTCAACTTTTAAACTCAACAACATCCTAAAATGTCTATTAGAAGAATAATTTTCTGTCCTGTACCTCTTGTCCATCAGCCAGATGACAGGTGCTCTTATTGGCCCTGAGTGCAGTGTAGATGCTCTGGGCATGCTCCAACAGGACTCCCACACCCGAGCGGTTCAGGTTATGGAAGTTATCAAACAGGCCCCAACTGCCATCCTGAAAACACAGATTGTGAAGTATACAATCATGTAACTTCAATCTCTATGTTACTCAATTTTGCTCTTAGCACTGGGAAAAGGTGTTCCATAACTGTCATAACAATGTTTAGAATTCAAATTTGTTTCAGAATTGTTTAGAAAGTCAATGCCACATGTACATTAACCATATATATCACATAAAACAGATTTTTTTTCTAAAGTTGACTTACAGCTGCCAGTCCCTGGATGATCTTGCCCAGTGCAGCAGTGTCCATCTGTGGCAGACAGGCAAACACGGCCATGTACCTGCCCAGGAGGTACGCCAAACCCTGGAAATGCAAAGAAGAATGTATCAGAGATGTCATTGTGGACTAAATACACTAAATTCTCTAAATCACAAGGTCATCGTAACGGCATGGTAACAGGACTAGTGTTCAAACAAGCTTTTGCATTTAGTAATACACTGATTCTGATATTATATACAATTCCTGAACTAATTCGGGATGTTAGGACCAAACATTTAAATGAAATGGAGACAGTGGCAAAAAAACACATACCTTGACTGTCTCAGTCTTGCCAACTCCTGTTCCACCAACCACTGCACTGCCTTTCAACTGGGTCAGGGCCTAACAGTCAAAATCAACATAATTAGGTTTTATATTTTGGTTCTTATTTACTATAACTACTATGAAGACATTACATTGAATGATTATTCAAATAACTAGAATCTATAATAATTGTCTCTGCTGATTGTTTAAACAGAATCTCTGTTACAGTACTTACCTGTGACATAGTGAGGAAGCATCTCTCAGTCAGTGCAGTCATGGCCAGCGGCAGGTGTCCACCCAGAAACTCACACCCGTACTCATAACGGCCATCCAGGATGCACAGCTGGTGGTTCCCTGAACCTTCTGTTGGCAAGAGACATAACAAGCTGTAAAAATACTGCCACAGATTGTCATACAGCCATACACTTAATGCATACAGTACAGATCGCGGGATAAGCATCATCGGGATTCGGGATTTTGCGGGATATCCCGCGGGAGTTTGCGGGATATCACGCGGGAGACTGCGGGATATCCCGCGGGAGTTTGCGGGATATCACGTCACGCGGGAGATTGCGGGATATCCCGCGGTATTCTTTCGGGAGGCCTGTCGTGTCCCGCGTACCGTGTAGCGAAAAAACTTGGTGCGAGACCCCGAAGCCTACCGCGGCTCGGAACGGCGATGGCGGCGTGCCAAATGTTTATTTTTACGTCCTGCCAGGCGATCTGTGCTGGGCCGATTGAGTCTGACGCCAGTCAACTTTGCTACAATTTTGCTACAATTTTAATGGTGTTGAAGCATAAGAATGTACGAAAATAATGTGTATAACTATAAGGTATTTCTCACGCGGTCATAGTTATTACAAAACTGCTACTTTTTTTTCAAAGCTATTGTTCAGCGCAAACTTTAAGAAACTACCGTGAATGAATACAATGTAACGTGTAGTAATCCCTCCGTCTCCGGTAAATTCGGCAAGATTGTTACCAAGAAATAAAAATTATGAGGCGTACCGGCAGTAGTTTGTGGTTGTTTCATAATCTTGTAGCTGTTGTCTTCTCATGGTAGCTTGCGTCAAGAGGTCTCCGTATTAGTATTAAGAATTGCGACAATTAAAAGTCTGCCCATCAAAATCCCGGGGCGGGCGTCTCCCCCCTCCCCCAAAAACTCTTGCATCAACAACGACCATGTCCATAATTAATTTCGATAGATTACTATCACCCTGAAAGCAAGGAGCAAGTACTCCCACATGGCTGGCAAAGTTTCTTTCGGTAGGAAAACATTCTACTTCTTTCAGCTGCGGGGTCAGCCAGCTAGATGAAGACGGAGTCGATAGCGCACGTCCAAGACACGGGAGAACCCGAAAAATAAATAAACACGGGAGAACCCGAACTAAACGTGTTTATGATAAATTTTACGGAAATTAATTCGTTCTCAGACCATAAAACTTGAAATTCACTCGGTACACTCTATGGAACTAGCCTCCTCACATGTGAAAAACGTTGTTTTGGGATGAAATTGGGATATAACTTATAAGAAAATTACAATGTCGCATCCCGGCCGTGCAAGGCGGAAAAAGAAGCCACAATCCGACGTACGTATAACAATCGTCAGGCGGTGTTTCTGTGGGGCGGTGCATCTGACTCAACTCTTTGAATTCGCGGGCCGGCTGGTGGGCGGGTCCCCATCTGCGCGCTGTGATTGGCGCGCCAGAACGCCAAGTGGTCAGTCGGCGCCAGGGAGTCTGCCAGCGCCGCCGCCGCCGCTGCTGGCGACGTGCGGTTTCTATGGCGACGCGGCGTGGGAACGCCCGGCCCAACACTGGGGGTCTGCATGCCCTTTTTCGTAAGGCGTAATCAGGCGTTTTTTTTATTCATTGTCTTCGTGAACCGAAGGCAACCTTCCCAAAAATCAACGTAATTCGCAATCAGTACATTAGCCGCAAAGCGTAAAAGTCGTAATCAGCTATGAAACTTTAACTTTATAGCGAAAATTTTGCGTAATTCGTAATCAGTAACCCTCATGCAGGCCCTGAACACTGCGTGGCGCACGAAATGTATCAAAGTTTGAGGCGTAAAGAACTCTTGAATTATGCTTCGCCCCCTTGTTTTACACGATGTTTAATCTCTCTTCCGTAACTCCATACGTCAACCTCCCCTATCTAGGGGAAAAATAAAGAACTCGAGTGGCGATTTGGCACGTCGATGCGTTAGATTTTTTAAAAATTATATCTGAAATAGCGCAGGTCGGGTGACATCAAAATAAAGCCGTCCACGTCGCAAGGCCGGACACAAAACTTGTTCAAGAAGGTTGTATTACTTTGTTATCGTTCTGTACCTTATTAAGCCATCAGATTTCCGATATAAAAAAAAAGAAATGTTTGGTTAAAAATACTATTTGCTCTACTGTTATTTGCATGCATTGAAAACATACTAAAACATGCACGCATCGTCTGCGTAAAAATCTGTAGTCAACGCGGTTCAACTTCAAGTAACAGCGGCGCCGGCCCTTCGGAAACCTAAGGTCTCACACCGAAGATCGGAGTTGCGGGAGAGAATTTCGTACCGCGGGATATCCCGATAAATCCCGCAGGAGATCCCGCAAACTCCCGCAGGAGATCCCGCAAACTCCCGCAGGAACTCCCGCAAACTCCCGCGTGATATCCCGCAAACTCCCGCGGGATCTCCCGCGGGACTTGATGCTTATCCCGAGATCTGTACTGTAGTGTATCTTGTGTCTATGTTACCTGTTCTATTAAACATCTAGTACATTACATTACACAAAGTATAATCTTTTTACCTCCTGATTCGTGCATGTAGAAGCGGATGTTCCTCCTCCACTCAAAGTCGGTCACATCTCTCAGTTTTCTGTTTCCCAGACTCTCCAGGGTGTCCCTCAGGTACAGAGAGTACTGTAGGATACAGATACGTCATTACACAAGTCCTGAATCAACACCATTCTTTGGAAATGACTCAGTTTTCCATAGACTTATTTCCTAATAGTATACATCAAAGTATACATTAGTGGTCACAAACTAAGACATCTTTAATGACAAACTTCAAGTCAACATTAAAAATTCCTCATTTCCAATTTTTTTTTCAAATGTTTTCAAAAGTTATCACAGTCCATTTACATGTACCCAACATGTGCTCAGCAAATACCCTCTATCAGCAAACACTGATTGCATGAAAATGTGAAGAAAATGCATTTTATTTTGCTAATTCAACTCCACTAAAGCTGATCTGATGCCAATCATTGTTTGGTCCTATGAACATCTATTGAGGAGGAGATATGTAGCATCTGTCTGCAAATATGGAAACTTTAAGTTGTAATGCTTACAGTGATCATGTTCTGCAGCCTGAGTTTGTGTATGGGTAGGAAAGGTTCGTCCAGGCCCTTCCAGGCTCCCCTGGTCAGGCAGGTGGGCAGACGGTTGATGACTGTGCTGAACTTCTTGCTTGCGTTGGGGATGGCCTTACGTTCATACTTCAGCTCCGACACGGCGAGCTCGCACTCCTTCGTCCAGTAGTACAGGAGACCCAGGCGAGCTACTTGGGCTGGGTACTGGAAAAAATGTCAGGTCTCATGTTAGGTGAAGATCACTGTGACAATCACTTATCAGATTCATACATTGATAGCTTATCATACATACAATCATACATATCCAGGCTTTGATTATTCTGCTGCCGGCTTCCCTGTCTCAGGGGTGGGCAGCAGTTGGCTAGACTTGACTTCATGTCTCCATGTGACCCTGTCCAGTGGGTCAATGTTGGACAATCCACACATTTAAATGTCATTTTGGATGCACTCCATCCATATCTTCTTTGGTCTACCAAGACCTCTGCTGCCTGGCAACTGTCATGTAATTCCATGATGCAGCCACTGGCACGCTTTATACGCATCATTGTTCTTATTCATTTATCATAGTTCTGTTGTACAGTAATGTCTTCTGTAATGTCTTCTTGTTTATGTACCTCATGAAATAAGTCCCAAAATAACAAATCCTTTCTCTCACCTTGAATGCCCACTCCTCCATGGCCACTCCTAACCCGATGTCCCGTACAATCCGTGAGATGCTTTTGGCGATGGTTCTGTGGATGGACTGATGGAGGCTCTGTAGCCACGTCTCCACTCCATCTGTCAGAGTCACCTAACAAAACATTTCATATCACTTATCAGTATGTGTTATTATAATAAGTACACATAGTCTACACTGTTGAACATACTGCACTTGCACAAAACCTGGATCTATGGTTTTTGTTGGATTTTTGGTCAACATTGCATTCACAGAATTTTGCCCATTGCAGACAATATCTTTTCTGGCACAACATTTGAATACTATAGAGAAATTGCAGGGCAGTGGAATTATTTTCCCCACCTCTTCGTCCAGCTCCAACTGTTCTCCCTCAGGAGACACGACTGTAGCGGCCTGCCACAGCTCACTGGTCTCATCAACGTTACTCTCAGATAGATGGATACTGCCTGAGCGCTCCTGGGCACACAAAAATTGTTATTGTAATACATGTAAAACTGCAGTGCATTTCACAGACATGCACCGTGAAGTATATTCAGGTCATTTACTAGTTAACTACACTTTACATACAATGGTTGCATATTGTCAAATGGCAGCAAATGGCTGAAATGTATGTTACAAATTGAATATAAGATAACAATTTTCACAGTGACTTTTAAACTTTGCTATAATTGTGAAATGACAAACTGCTGATAAAACCATTAAGTATGTGTGGACAGAAGTAAAATGTCCTTTAAGAAATCTACAAGGTCCAAGCAGTAGTAAGGGTTACTAACCACTATGCCACAGGACATCATTTTAATGTTAAGCATTAGCCTGCATATGTTGCTGTTTAGCATCAAATTCATATTGGAATGGGGTTAAGCAACACGGAGAGGGATAAAAACTTAAGCTGGACTTACCGATCTTTTAAAGGCTTCAGACGACATGGGTCCAGGAAACCTCTCCACGGGGGGTAGGTTAAGGCCCCGCGGGGTGGTGGCCCCTGCCCGGGGGACCGGGGCAGCCCCGGGACGTCTGTAGTCCGCGAAGGAAGGGACAGGAGTCTTCTCTCCGATAGAACTCAGCGTGTCTTCAGTCTTCTCCAGTTTTACATCACTTACATAGCTGAATATAGACCTGGGAAATAGAAGCATACATGTAATAAAGGGATTCAACAAGTGTGCCAATAAGGCCAGGTGACCTAAGAGATCGTTTATTCAGACCAGAAGAAGACTTTTACCACCAAGTAAAAATTCATTATTCAATGGAAAAAACTTACAATCAATGGTTAACTAGGCCTTGAACATAGTGATCCATACAAAAATTACAGTGGTTTGGTTCATTTTTACTTTGGTGAAATAAGTTATAGCTGTGATCATGGCTAATGCAGAAGAAATCAAATTGAATGTTTCTGGTCTAAGTAACTACATTTGTATATATATACATGTATATGAGTTAACTTTCTTCCTTCTAATGATGCGTAAACACCAATTTGTACCGTTACTAGTAGAGGAGGTTAGTGGAAAGAGGGTTATGTGATCAGACTTACTTCAAATGAGGTCTGACAGACTCCAGGTCGTACGGCCGGCTCAGCATGGACAGCAGGACAGGGTCAGACAGGAAGAAGAACCGGGGGAACGCCTTCCTCTTGTTGTCCAGGTACGACGTCAGAGACTTGAAACACACCTCCAGATCCTCACGGAAGTGTCGCAGCACGACACCCTTCGGAATCTCACCTCCGTAACAACACTGTGGAATTATTCAGGGGAATAAAAAAAAATGTAGCCAATCTTGTCAAATCCTTTTTCAGGTCAACAATTCTGTATGCTACATTCTTAATTTCTAAGAGCCTTGTATTCTAGTTGGCTCTATTTAAGATATCATTGCAATTTGTTTACAAAGAAAATATATAATGAAATCTAAACTTTGAAGAAGTAATAGTAACTAATATAATAATAGTATGTAATACTATGAATTGCCCCCAATTTGAACACTGTAATTATTATATGCTGGTTATGAAGAAAGTAAAACGGCTAAACCTTAAAAATCTTTAGGGAAAAGGCTTAATTCCTGACCTGTAGCACATTTCTGGTGTCGTAGGTTTTCCTCATGAGTTTGATCCAGCTCTTGTCGATGCGGATGAACCTCTTGGCCTCCTGTGGGAGTTCCTTGGCTGCGGCACTGTTACTGAACACAGCCTCCAGGTACTGCCACAGGTCCTGCACCTCCAGCCATGTCTCAAGGACCTCACTCACACCCTGGAGAGGGGAGGAAGAAATGAGTAAGTGGACAGATGAAGCAGTGGCACTGTTACTGAACACAGCCTCCAGATACTGCCACAGGTCCTGCACCTCCAGCCATGTCTCAAGAACCTCACTCACGCCCTGGGAAGGAAGCAAGAGTGTGTGAAATGATCAAAGGAAAGAAGCTGAACCTACAACCAGGTAATGGTTCTGTCAGATGTCGTTTCTCCCACACAATAGATTTAACAATTTTTAAAAACCAGCAGCAGGAGCCGTGTTACCTACAAGTTAGTCCATGAATATCAAATTAAAACCTATTCTGTTTTACCGTAAGCAGTAAGCATGCAGCCATCTTTTAAAGATGATTTTCTTGCGTACCTTGAGTTTCTCGGCCCATGAGGCTGCCTCCTCCCTGAGCGGCCCGATGTGTTTGGATGTGAGCATGGTGGCCAGCAGGGCCTGGGCATCCTCCAGCTGCTCCAACAGTCGCTCCGACTCGTCCTTCGCCAGGTAGATGGCTCCACGCTTCTTATAGGGTTCAAAGGTCAGGACCTACACCAGACAGTAAAAAAACAGTACTACTTGATTTTCATTTTATCACAGGCTATTCAGCACAGTGGGCAGGTACCAAGGTGCTGCTATTCAGTACCAAGGACAGGTACCAAGATAGGCAAGTATTGAATTGCTGCTATTCAGTACCATGGACAGGTACCAACTAGATAGACAGGTCGAGGTGCTTAATATATTCAGTACCATGGACAGGTACAAACGTACCATCCAAGTAATAGTTTAAGCTTTCTTTCTATGACAAGTAGTGTATACTCACCAGATTTTCAACCAATGCTTCAGCCTTACCAAAGAAGATGCACAGTATTTATGTAAAGGTGTTGATTTTGAAATGTCAAATAAGAGCTACATTGGAGGTTACAAATTGTCAATCATGATATTTTCAGACCTGTTCAGTCCACTCTTCCTCGATAGTCCTCATCTTGATCTCCAGTTCTAGTTCAATGCTGGCAGCCTTACAGATTTCATGGATCTCATCATGATGCCTGCAGAGAAACAATGGAGAGAAATTGGCACATATAAGAACTACATTGCCTCTTGCTAACACCTCATCTTTAGTCACAACAAAATGTCCACCTTTAATGCATAGCAAAGTTGTCATTTCAACTCAAGCTCAATATAATTAAACCATAGGCTACACCGATGAGGTGTCATCAAAAATAGTCTGTTTCTTTATGTGTATGCTCATTATGTAGAGCTCGCAAGGCAGAGGACACGGTGGAAAGAGATGAAGAAAGACTGAATGTGGCTACAGGACATCTCCATACGACTGTAGACGCAGAATACAGTAGATGATGATGATGTTCATTATTAGTTGTGGCACATAAAGACAGAAACGTGTAGTAAACACTTACTGTATGAGCCCAATGTCCAACAGATGGTAGAGTTTGAAGGCCTGTGCCTCCAGTGGGAAGGAGCTACCTGTTACAGACATGACCTGCAGCCAGTGGCGGTTACGGATTTCCTGGTGGGGACACGAGGGAAACAGGGTTAGAAAATATAACAACTGAAAGGGATTGACTGATCGACATTTTTATAGACTTACAGAATGATGTGGATGTTTCTTCTTGGTTACGATTATGATCTGTTGAATTACTAAGTATCATATCAAAATGAAATGTCAAATATTTTACTCAGCACTGAGACTTACTTGTACATTTGATTTAGTATGTCTTATTTTACATACATTTGGCAGCTCTGAGTTCATCGTAATTGTGATTTCTATAATAACCATGCATTTACAAAATACATGTATATATTGTACAAAAATGAGTTGGCTTGCTGGTTGTTTTAAAAACATTTGGAGGTAAAATGTACTGTAACATTATATTAACATAATGCAAATCTTACAAAATTAATTTTGCAGCAAATTATTATATATTTAATGTACATTTAAGTAGTTGATATAATACAAGTTGAAGGCAATGTACAGTATCTCCTATACTGTACCTCTTAATTACTAAAATTTTCTTGTGGAGGCGCAAAGTGAAAGTACTGAGCTAAGATGCAGTGATTGTCAACAATTTCACTGTTCAACCCTTCGGTTACTTATCACAAGGAGTAAGGCTTTATTATCAGTAAGAAATCATTCATATAGGCAAGAAAAGGCACTCTGTATTTTTTATAAGAAAAAGTGTTTTTATAAGCCTGAAGTTAGTAAATCACTCCACGTCACCATTAAAATGATTATGAGGAATTACAAGTGAAACCACCACCACACAATTACTTACTGGCACCAGAGTATCTTTGTATTGCCCCTAGAAAAGGGTAACCATGCAGTACATGGAAAATCATTAGAAAAGTAGAATTAAAGAATTAAAACTATTACAAAAAAGGATCACAAATTTTAAAGTTAAATTATCATACTTAAAGCAAATACAAGCTTCTAGATCTTAACATGCAAGCATGCAATTCACAGCATATAATCATGGAAAGTTTTACCAGTGTTTCCAAAAATTTTACAATGTAGAAAAAATTAAAAATTGAAATTCAAAATCCAAATTTGTATCATTTTGACACACTCAGTGACTAAGAAGTGTAACTACAATCAACTTTGAAAAATCCTAGTCCAAAATGATTATGAAGTCAACACACACACAGCCAGATAATCCCCTATCTATGGTACTGACCTTGGTAGCCAGCCTGTGCAGGAGTGGGAAAACATCCAGGTAGATTTTGATGGAGTTTTTCATCTCTTGATAAGCCTCCCAGTCCTTCAGCTTGTCTGGTAGGGCCAAACATTCCTCCCAATACTCCTCCACCTGTACAGAAACACATAGGGATTAGTCAGACTGGAAATATGTCCATCTTTTCCCATTTCCCCTTTTGAGCCATACCTAAGGCATTGTCAAAAATACACATAACAACTTAATTGTGTAGCATAGAGATCTAGCTCATTGTATATTATCTTACTAGCATCATTGAATTTTTTTCTATAAAAAGTTAATTATATGTAGCACCTCCTTGTTAGCCTGTTCCAGGTCCACTTCTGCCCAAAGTCGTTCTCTGAAGATGTTGTCAAAAGCAATGAACTTCTGGAACAGTCCATACAGTAGACCCAGCAGGTCCAGTTCCTGTACACAAACATTAGACCAAAACTTTTGATTGTCATCCACTTACCGGTAGTATGGATCAAGATTTTCTTGTTATTGAAAAGATGCCTCGTACTTCATTGTTGAAGTAACAGCAGAACTTCTGGTAATCATAACAAATGTTGAAGAGTTTGATTAATAGAAAAGCTCAGACACCCAAAAATAACATATCACTGACCTCTCCTGTTTTGTCCAACTCTGGGAAAGGTTTGGGCACGATACCAAACAGGCGGGACACGGAGTCCAGTGTCCGGCGTTTGGCGTCGTACAGCGCAAACCTCTCCTGGAAGTCCCGCAGTCGCATCACGGCTTCTTCTGGCCGTACCCCGGGCACGGCCGGACCCTGGGCGTCAAAACTGTTCCTGAACTGGATCACCTCAACTACAAAGTTCTGGGGAAGAGAAAGAAATTCTCAAGGTTTTCTTTAACATTTCAAAGTCTGATGAATAAAGGCTATGCTGAGTCTGTATTGTAAGCAAGAGATCAACGGAGATTTTTTAAAATGTATATTGAACACTATGCCATTACCACAAGGGTTTTACTAGAGAAGACTAACCTTGACTTGTTTGTCCAGCTCCTGCTCAAATGCTCCTCTTTGTTCTTTCAGCAGCTTATATCGAACCTGGAAAACAAGACATTCATTTTCATCACAAATAGAGATGTAAGAATGGCAGAAGGTATTTGCAAATTGAAGCACTGTTGTTGTTTTTTTCATAATATTGTCTGATGTAGTTTTGTCCTTGGTACTGAAACAAAAATAGTTAGTTTATCTTTACTGTAAAAGAAGTTATCACGACAATAGTTCAATAATCATGTAGTAAAGTAAATTTTACTCATAATTACAGTGTACTATATTTTACTTTACCTGTTCAGACAGCTCGATCAGTTCCTGCCATTTCTCTCTCAACTGTTCCACCTCCTGTACCTCATTCCTGGGTAGCCTCAGCTTGTACTCCCTGGTAAGGAAACATCAGGAATCAAGGTAAGCCTCCCATTGACATACAATGTTATCACATTCTGATAATGAACTACATGTATCTGAATTAGCCAAAAATCATTTCAGACACAAAAATATTAATCTTGACAATAGTCATAATCGTTTTATGAACCAAAGCATACGTCAAGAATTGAGACAGTGTTTTGTTACCTGAGGTTTTCATACATGGTTTCTATGGGCAGGTAGATGTCGTCTATCTTGTTCTCCATGTCCTGTAGCTCCTGTAGCAGGTTCAGGGCAGAGTTCAGCTGGTCCAGGGTCTTCACGTCCAGCGACAGGCGGTTCAGAACATTGGACCGGTACAGGATGGCGGTGTCTAGCATTTTCTGGGGAAATAATGAAGTTGTTAGGACATAAGATAAGATTCATCACTTTGTTACTGTAATAGAATAATTTGTTTCAGAAAAGTGGCTAAATTCCTTGCATTCCTGGCTAAACTTTGTGTCCTGTCCTTGTGAAATACACTGTACAGGACTTTCCTCACTCCACCCAGGTGTAAAATGAGTACCTGGCTTCAGTTGGGGAGGTAAAAAGGTAGAAGTAGAAGGATGGGTTTGCCTTCAAATACGATGCCCTAGACACATTGGATTTACAACCCACTGCATATACATGCTGTACATATACAGCAACGTTGTTCAACCTTAAGCACATCAAAGTAGCCGTTTGGCTACCAGATCTCTATCGGTTACAATGTTAGGCAGAAGGAGAAACATTAAAGAAATAACAGTGTTAAACCACTAACTTAAAGATATCAATTGATCTTGTACCATGAATGAATAAAAGAATGTTCACCTTTGCATCCTCATGCAGCACTTGAGCATACTTGGTTTTCCAGGCTATACTGAATCCATGCAGGGCATCTCTGATAGGGCAGGTCAGCAAACAGATGGGACCAACAGGCAGGACTAGGGGGATGTCCAGTACCTTCTGCTCTATGTTCAACAGCCTCTCAACCTGAAAAATATGAAATATCATATATTCATTTTTAACAAGAACTGTTAAGGTATCATTTCCTTCTAGCAGAATTGAGAATAATCATCATGCTGCAATACAACAGACAAATTATGCTGTTTTCTACAGGGGGTAAAATGTAACAGCATCAACACCATAGCACTCTGACTGTTTCAAACACTCTTTGTCCCCTCCCAATAAGGATTTAAGTATTTTCACCAATTTCTAAAGATGAAAATGGGCAATTGCCAAGATAGTATAGTTATCATTTTACCTTAATATTTTAACAGTAGCTAGTTGTAGTTTTATTGACTTAAGAAAAAGTCATATGTGACAATCTTACCTCTCTCTTGATAGCTCTGGTTCCAGGGTCAGCAGAGATGAACTCGTAGAACTGTGTGTGCATGTCGTCCTTCCACAGGAAGTCGTACAGCTTGAAGTGGAAGATGTGACGGTCCACCGCCTTCTGCAGATCTGTGTGGTAGATGTAAAAGTTGAAATGCCACAAAATACAACAGACAGTTCAAGATTACCTCAGTTCTAAAAAATACCCCAACACCTGAGGCATTGCCGACATGGACTACGGCAGTAAACAGTAAACCACTTTAAGGTTGAGCAGCCACCTATGGCACCAGCACCCCAAGGACTGAGGGACCTCTATGATATGAACTTGAATGCTCAGACTTGAGCTACTGCCAGTGATGATGAGGTCTACTTACTTTCGATGACAGAGAAGAGTTGGTGCATGAGGTCATTGAGGTATGGCTCTTCCGAGATGGTGGCGTGGAATGTCTCACTGCCTTCACTGGTCCACCAGTTTATACCTGCAGCATGCATTTTGTTTGGTTAGACACATTTTCAACTGACGAGTACCATGTGTTCTCTAAGAAAACGCTTAATTGCTAAATTCCATTTTAAAGAAAGGTCTGAGGTTTAAGTCGTCCTAAAAAAGTTGAACATTTGGCCTGACCGTTGGAGATGTCCATGATGGCACTGGCTACTTGATTGACAGCTTCCTGTGCAGCTGCCAGCGGGGGTTCGATGACTGTGTTGGGGATGTTGAACTTCACCACCACTTCAAACCTGTCAAAAATAGCAAAGTAACAACATTAAATGACTGAGAACTTGAGATGAATCTCATGATTGTCTTCCAAAAACACAAGTATATTGTCAGTAATAAATGCAATGAATATTACACTTTTGATGGCTTATCAAATGATAAAATATTAGATGTATATGTTATATAATTACACAATAAATGATTCAGAAGCTTTCTTGTTTCCTTAATAAGTAGCAACTCCTATAAAGTGCACATGAAATGATTGAAATTTCTCTAAAAATGATGAATCATAATCATTATCTTTAAACTTTACTTAGACAGTCTTAGACAGTCAGAAATAATAAAAAAAAGCATGGAAAGATATAGCTGGAAAATGTTAGAATTATGATGAAGATTTAAGGTTTTCTCACCTGAGGAAGGTGACCTCCTCTGCCTCAGGACTGGTCCATGACATGGAGAGTCCTGATCGTGAGGAAACTCCTGTGCTGGTGCGGCTGGGCGTGCTGCGGGGACTTCCCCTGGCCAGGGTCTGCTGCAGACTCTCCCCCTCACAGCCTGATGCCTCCGCCAGCGCTGCCAGCGAGCGCGATGTGGCAGACAGGACAGCGTCGTAAACCTTCTGACAGTAGTGCTCTGTGGATAAACAAATGGAGCATTTGGTAAGCCATCAGAAAAGGAATAAATCTAATCAAATTAAATCTAATCTAATTCATTCATGTACATGTACATCTTAAGTAGTTACATGTACATGTAACTACTAAAGATAAAGATTTGTTCTTGCAGTGTAAACTAGCAAAAAAGCTAAAAGTATGTAGATCCTTTGCATGCAGGCGTACATACATGTAAATCTATAGCTGAGGGGGTGAAGTCTGCAATATCTGCTGATAAGCTTTTTGATTTCACTTCAGTGGTTATTTTTACCTGAAATTGTATTACTTTTATAAAGTAAGATACTTTCACTTTTTTCTTACTTTCTGTATAGCAAGAGAAACATACTTCAAACTGCAAATATCCAGAATTATATAAATTCAGATCTATGAGAAAAAAATGTCTTACCTAGTAGTTCGTTGACCACCAGATCCTCGGTCACCTCGCTCAGCGTCTGCAGGGTCATGGGCGTGTCACGGTGACTGGCCGCCTTACTGCCCCGCCCCGGGCGATGGGAAGGTGCCGTGGACACACGCGACTCTATGGGAGACTGGGAAGGGGAGCCAACCTGGGGAAAATGTACAATGCCCTCGTGAAGTGAACTATGTAGTACATGTATAGGGAATGAATGGGTAGGGTCTACATGGGATAGTGAGGTCATGTTGAACATTTGGAAGCCCATATGATAACGAAATACAACCCCATGTGATACTGCTAGTTATCACATAGGCAGGAACACCCATATCGAACGTTATTATGGCCCATGTATGACATAACTTTTTTTATACAAAACACGTATGGCAAAGGTCAAAGTCTGTATGTATTGCAAAATATCACCCTCTTTCCAACTAAATGCTTCTCAAAAGTAGTCTTACCTTGTTGGACATGAGGAAGGAGACAATCTCAAAGATGGCGCTCTCCACTTCATTCACAAAGTCCAGCAGTTCCTGTCCCTTCTCTTCTACACTCTGTAGTATGGCTTCTCCAAACTCACCAGGGGGCTTAAAAATAGCAGGACAAAAAGGTTAGATTCTTAACACTTTTGATAAAAAAATAAGGAATGGATAAGACAGTATCCACAACACTGAATGTAAAATGTTTTGTTCTGTATATACTGGGCTCTCTCAGAAGTCAACTTTTATAAGCTGAAGGGGCTAACCCATTGTCTTAGGATGAAATAAACAAATTGTGCAACGAAACATGAGAGTATCTTTAGAGTATTATCTAAAGCTGAAGTAGACTCACCCAGGCTTTGCTGAATGCTAGCTCCATGTCAAACAGCACCATACTGCTGACAATGTCGACTGTGCCCTGCACCTTCTCCTCTACAATGTTGATGACATGCTGGACTATGCCGTCCAACCGAGCAATGGCAGAGTGAACCTAGAATATAATTAAGAAAAACACAAAAAACACTTTATTCTTCAGATAAAGAAATAAGGTACAACCAAATGGTGATGGTAGTTTGTTTGGAACTTCAATGTCAGAATGACAACACTAGCCATATCTTCAGCACTAAGGACAGCCACACCCCTGCGTATATATGTTTGTTGTGTTTGCAAATGGGCATAAAATAAAAAAAATGAAAAAAAATATGTACATTGTAGACAATTTTAAAAGGGCTAATTTACTAACTCAGTTTTTTTACAACATGACAACATGATAGGATAATGCTGTACATATATTTTTGGGTGGCTGAGCTGTGATCACAAAAAACTCACATACTTCTGCCATTTCTTGTATTCCCATGTACTTACAGTGTGTAGGAAGGCATCGATGTTCATACTGTTCCAGGTCAGAGTGGTGAGGCCAGGCTGGAAGAAGTGCAGAGTTGCCTCTGTGTGGACCAGGAACAGCTGCTTCATGGGTGGGGGGATCTTAGCACACACCTCCCTGTACTCATGCAGACACTGCTCCAGGTGCATCTTGTAGCTCTTGAACCGATGTTCCTAGTAAAAAAAAAAGATGGATAAATGAATTGACTTGTTTTTAATGGACTTTTTTGTTTTAAAAACAGGGCAAGCCTTTTCTTCATCTGGGTTGTAGCACTTGGTACCATACTGTGTACAAGTTTCCATTTTTACAAATATATGGAAATGAATAAGCCATCTCACAGTTGCTTGTGTGTATGTGGAGTTGTGACGCATACAAGGAATAGTGAAATGGCAGAAAGTAAGACCTTTACCTGTGCTACGATGTCCTGCACAGATTCAGGCATGGGGATGCCCAGCCTGACCATCCACCTGGACTCCTGGATCAGCTGCAGAATTCTGGGGACAAAATATTTGAAAAAGTCTCAAATTTACAAAATAAATGTTCGGACAATTTTTCACCTTCGAATCCTTTAACCAGCCTAAATTAAGAAATTCAGAAATTTTCAAAATTTATGCCTCAAGAAACATGAAAAGTGGCAAAATGTATAAAAAATTATTTTATCTGTTTTATGGTATGGTGTGAGGCCTATACCTTGTGTATCTAAATGAGAACTTTTACTAGCATTCAATGTGTGCTTGTGATTATGGATGATCCTCAACTATTGTTGGTCGGGTGATAAGTTACTAACTAACCTTTCATCAGCGTTAACCAGGATCTCCCCTGTCTGTGGATGGTGCACCAGCAGCATGGCCTTCAGTCCGTTCTTGGCTCCGTCAATGTAGGCTTTCCACTGCTGCAGCCACAGTGTCTCAAACGTCACCTGAAACAGTGGGAACTTTAGCATGTGCACCCTTAGCAGGTCACAAATGAACTGAAGAACTGGTGGAACTTTCTGAAAGCTGAAGATACTAGAAAAACTCCAGACTTTATTTTTCCAAACTTTTAAACACATTTAAACAAGTACAATGTCATGTAAATTTTTTTAAGTATGTAACACCCAAATTTTATTAAAAATGGTGAAAAACAAGTACTAGCGCATAATATCTTTGTGCAGGTTTGAGTTTGTTATGCAAAAGTAACCACAAAAACCACAAAAATATTCTAAGACTTACAGTATTAGAAAGAGAGAGAGTAAATGGCAAGAATATGACTGACCAGTGTGGTAGCGATCCTGTTGTACAGTTTGACCACTCTCTGGAAGTCCTTGAGATGAGTGATGGCCTTGGTATCCCGGAACACTTTCATTGGATCCTCGATGGCCGTCAGTAACTTCCGACACCAGAAAATGGACCCTGCTACAGGGGGAGCATTCCTGGGAATGGGGGGATCCTCCTACAAAAAAGAAGGATTGAAAATTGTGATTCAAGCCTGAAAGACTGCAAGCAACGTGACTGCTACTGATTTTCTTTCAACACTGGAATAGACATGATTGTAATCATAATTTTGCATGTAGCAACAAAACAGAACACTTAATTTTAAATGTTTGGCACATCGATGTCTAGACCTAAATAACTGTAATGTATAAATAACAAACCCAACAAAATCAAAATTCTAACCTTTTCTCGTTCGTACATCTGCTGAACATGCTCCAGGTCAAGTTCGTAGTGCTGGAAAGTCTCCACGTATTTCTCAGCTATGGTGGCTCGGATTCCCTGACGGGCTCCAACTGGGGAAAACCTGCAACAGATAAATGGAATTCGTGAAACAAATAAGGTAAAACTACACGTACATGACATTGTGTAATATTTACTTTCCAAAATTTCTACAAATCCTTTGAGGCAACATAATCTAGCATTTGTGATATTTCAGTCTGCTTGTGCTTACAAAAACAGGACAATATTTTCAGCAAGAAGTTTGTCAAAGACTATATGTAACACACCTCTGCAAGATGTTGATACATTCGTTAGTCTGCATCTTCCTCTGGAAGATGGCCTGTAGGTACGCACACATCATGGAGTCTAACAGCTGGGCAGTCTCCTGGAACTGTTGGTGGGCCTCCTCAAACCTGACCACAACAATTTTTCCTTAAAACAGCCATTCAAGTCATTCACACTTCAGAAACATATAAAAAATCATCATGACCCATTTCAAAACCTGAAACCTATAGGTTTCAAACAGTCTATGATATGCACTCTATGTCTGAGCTTCCCTTGTGTTTTTAATGTTCAAAACGTGTATTCATTTAATAAACTGCACCTATTATTATACTATACAATATTTGAACTATATATTAGCTTTGATTTTTTCACTTCAGACTACTTTTGTGACACTTTTTCTCATACTTGCAAAGGTGGACGTCTAGTATAACTGTGTGTACATATTACAGAAAATACAATTTCCCCTGACCCTCTCAGTTGGTTGACCTCACCTGTCCTTGTCTTTGCCCTCCACGTCCAGTAGAACTCCAGTGCTGACCACCTGAGCGAAGTTGTCTGTCATCTGCTCCAGGTACATCTGTATGATGTGTGAGATGCTGGGTCCATCCTCCTCTCCCTCGTGTCGAGCATAGAGACGAGCTGCACGGAAAGGTCATAAATAAGTCCTGGCAACTACAGGCACATTAAGTCCTAGTGACTATTGTCTTCAGTTTGGTCACGTGACAAAGGTTCATGGGTCAGTATTCCTGACAAAGGTTTCAAATTTTCTCAGTATACACAAACACTTCGAAAGAAGTAGTCACTGCCAATGTCATTTTCTGTTTGGTCACATAACAAGTGTGGGTAGTTCAGTATTCCATCAAGACCAAAGCATTTACTGTAAATTTAGATGATTGTGTGTACCCCTAGCAGATTACAAAAGATCTGCATAGTAGGTAATAATAGGAATGATTTTGAATGAAAGAAATACAGAACTATTCAAGGAGACTAAATGATATTATCTTATGAATAAACAATATAACATCTGTGTCCATAATATCACCAGGGTCCATAATATCGCCACCTTGAGAAAAAGTGTGCTTAAAGATATTTTTACTGCAACATACCCTAGGCATGTACATTTGAGGTGTGAAGGAGTGCATACCAAAAATATGTTGCAGTAAAAATATCTTTAAGCACACTGTTTCTCAACGTGGCGATATTATGGACCCTGGTGATATTATTGACACAGATGTTAAATGTATAAATGCAAATCAAATAAACTTTATATAATATTTTCCTGTATGGAGTATTTCTTACCCAGATGATGAGCGGCTTGTTTAGACACAGCTCTAGACTGTGTGTTTAGTTCATGGATCTCGTCAGCAGCGTTGAGAGACATGGCCTCACTAGCCTCGTGTCCGTGCCCGGGGGAGTCCACGTTATTCAGCGCCATTCTGGAGCCGGGCATGCTCATTGGCTCTTCCTCCTCCAACACAGGCATCATCCCATGGGCGCTGGGCACCATGAGGGTCTTCATGGGGGATGGAGGGTTCTCAGGGGGTCCTGGGATGTAAGGATATGGATTTTTAGACGTTTGTAACTGCTTCAACATTCAAATTATTTTCATTTGCAAAGGAGGGTCTGTGTTGTGACTTGCACATATCAAAGGATACATTATTCCCAAATGAACTGAAAGTAAATACTTTTCATGGATACTTTTCATAGATGCACCAGCTTATTATTTTGCATTTTTGTGTCTAGCTTAGGCTCACCCATGGGGTCTGGAGGGGGTTTTGCTACTGATATAGCATCTGCATTGCTCTCTCTGTCATCTTCATCTTCCCCTATCAGGTCTTCTCTTCTTGGACGTGGCAGGCCACGACACTTCTCCTTCAGACTAAAAAAAAAACAACATAACTCATGACAACTGTAAGAAAATACAAACAAAACAGGTTTTTGTCACTGAGTTGTTATAAATGCACCTTGTGACGCAAACAGTGAAATAATTTCAAAGAAACTACTTTCCTCAACCATTATATGTTTTTTAGCGTGTTTCTTGCAAACCCAGGTACTATTCTGACCAGGGGTATATTCCTGCCTGCTACACTGGTACTGGTAAATCATGCTAAGGTTACAAACAGACACAGTTGCCTGACCTGTGGAACTGTTTGAGAGTATCGATGACTTCCAGAAACTGTCTGAGCCTCTGGCAGAATGTGTCCAGGTGCTGAAGGATGGTGTCTTCATCAGTGAAGGAGATCCCATGGGGGCCCTCATCTAAACACAGGGGAAGAAGTAAAACAGAAACTTCATGTTGATCTAATTATTATGTGTTGTGTGTTTTTTGGACTAGATAGTAGTAGCTTAGAAGGTTAGACATTCAGGAACATTTAACTTAATACAAAATAAATCAAGTAACTGGATGCAAAATTCTCCGAAGAGTTAAATGTTTCAGATAACTTCCACTATCTTCCATCAGTAACTGAGACCAAGTCTAAAGACCTAATAATAATGTATTTGCCATTGGCTACATATACATTTGTAACATCAAGAAGCAGAACTTCAGTCAGAAGCTCTGAGGAAGGTGTCTGATAGACACCGAAGCGTCAGCAAGGTAAACTATCTTGGTTGTGTAAAAGAAAACTCCTGTATCTAATATTTATGTTATTTGGGGATATGTGCCCTTACCGGAGCTGGATGTAACTGATGGTGCCTTCTTGGAGGAGACGCTGGGCTGCAGGTTGGACATGCGGCTGCGAGACGGACCCCCGATGGAGCGGCGGCCCACCTGGGAGTGGGAGCGGTGAGAGTGCAGCGAACTCATGGACGGAAAGTGTGACAGGGCGTGGGTTCCTCCCAGGCCATCTCTGTGTTAGGAACAAACAAGAAGTTGGTATTATTAAATATACAGTCTGTTGCCGTGTCCAACCGCATTTTGGAAAGAAACAAAAAGCATGAGCAAAGTATAGAAAGATCCGAATCCCTGATTGTGCATAAGAAAATCCCTATATCCAGCAAAGAGAAGGTTTCACACCAACGTTTGCAATTCTAGTAAAAGAAAGGTTTCACACCAAAGTTTACAATCAACTTCATCAGGTAGAAATGACCCCATTGTGACACAATTGGATTAGTAACCAGATTTTTGCCATTCTTCTCATAGAAATCATTTTCTTGTGCATTAAGCAAAAAACTAACTAACTAACAATCTGTACCTGATACTTCTGAGCGAGTCCTTGTAGTGAGAGTACAGGGTCAGACACACGTTCAGTCTCTCACACAGCTTCTCATCATCAGGTACAATCAGCCCCGAGTCTTTGGCTCCTTTCTTCTTCTTTGCACCTCCTGAAAACAACAGCAGACAGATGTTGTTTTAATATTTTGTATGTCAGGGTAGATATTGCCATCTGGCAGAAATGCTGATAACTCTATTGACAAAGATTGTGATCAGAATGCTGACTAGGAATGTGTTAGCTATAGGATGGTCTCCCATTTAGAAAGAGTTTCAAGTCAATCTATATGGTCTAAAGTGGCACAAATCAAAATCGAATTCAGATGTTCAATAATCTCAAAGCAGATCTTCTGGTGGCTGCAAAAGCAGTATCAAGTTGTCCAGGCAGTATCCATTTGCCAGAGAGTATCCAATACATCATATAGAGTGGTGTATTGGATACAGCTTGGAGATTTGGTGTTTAACTTTAAGACCGTACCATGAGGAGAAGTGATATGGCCTGGCCCCTCCTGTACTTCTGTGTGTACTTTCTCCCACAACAGGTCCTCATGTTCATGTGGCTGGGCCTCTGCTCGGATGTAATCCTTACACACATGCACCAGCTGGTTTGTCACCTGAGGAATAAATTCACACATAGTAAGGCCACAATGATTTATTTCATAGGTTACAATATTCATAAACTAAGGTAAATACGAAATAAGAGGTCACGACGAAAATACAGGGCTGGGAGGAAAACTAGCCTCTAACCATATTCATTCCCTGAAATTATGTGTATATATATACAGAGAGATATGGAGACTGCATATAGGAAATGCAGATTGCATACACTGAATGCAAGTTGCAGGTATTGAATGCAGATTGTATACAATGAATGGAGCTTGCATATGTAAATGCAAAGTGCATATACTCCATGCAAATTGCATATACATGTACCTGTAAGCAGACTGCATATATTGAATACAAAATATATATTATATTGTATTACTCTGAAGTGAAATCTCTTTCTAAGTTAAGAACGTGTTTGGGTCTATACAATAGGGTCCAGGTTTATACAATACACAGGTCTTATTACATGTTATTTAATGATTCATGTGTGATATGCCACCAGAATTTTAAATAGCTGCCTGTCCCACATGTCACAATTCCAATACAGTAAGAAAAATCCAATGAAGCGTAATATCACAGGTCTGTACTGACCTTACTGAAGAGCAGTCCCAGGTACCCACTGCGTGCGTAGAACCTGGAGATGGAGTCCATCTGTCTCACACTGCTGGTCAGCCCGGGCAGCGCCACGTTCAGGACAGTAACAGGTGTGCTGTCATGGTACAGCTGCTCCAGGTGCTTACGGACAGACTCCAGATACTTCACCTTGTCTTTGGTTTCATTCGCTGCGTCAGTGATACTGGGGACAAGAAGAGTTTGGTTTAATGCATTGTTTAGCCATTAAGCAAAAAGTCTATTTAGTAAATGAATACATTTCTAGAGTTTAGAAGCAGATTGGACTGTAAGATTATTGTGATACAAACAAATATTAGATATTGTTTAATAGATAAAAGTCAATCAACAAATGAAGTAAGCAAGTTAGCTAAAATATCAAATTTTAAAACACCAAAAGATGTACAGTGGTTTTTTTTTACAAGTACTGGATAAAAGGGTCTATTTGCCATAGAATGTGTAACTGTAACAGTAATCCTTAAAACTGACCATGCGTCGATGGTCTTCCACTTCTTGAGCAGCTTGGACTTGGCTGTGATAAGGATGCCGATGACGTTTTTGCAGTCTTTGCTCTTGAGTTGTTCCGTGATGTTGTTCAGCGTCCTTTGTCGCCTACGCCATCTTTCCAACTCCGTCAGTGGACCTGCGTTCATATCCATCAATCTGTGGGAACAGACCACAGAGAGAAATTTGTCAACAAACCCAAAATATTAAATGTCTTTGTACATGTACACCACCCATCAACTTACAAAGAAAATACAGCACAGTACTAGTCCTTAGGTACTATCGCAAGCAATATCAAACCAAATATGCTTATATATGCTTGAATTTTGAATTCTTTTAGCTTTGATGACACTTACATTGTACATGCACAGAATGTTGCTATATCTAATACATGTATCATTGAACATTTAGTCTAAAGCCTCTTTTGTGGCTTTTTCAGTAGTTGGATTAAATTTTGGAACAGAAATATAAATTGCAAACTTTATGATTATTCCCTGTGGAAATGTTTGAACCAAATCTTCAGTTATTATTTTTTTTATCGGCTATTTCACAATCAGGTGTACCCATTTTTTTCCAGCATGTTACCAGAGGATAGCAAAATCTACATAACTTATTACTGTTTTAGACTTTTATTTCCAAAGAGCTGGTGCAAGATGGAACACAACAAAAAAAGAATTTTGAAAATTGGTTAATATTTGGGAAAAATATTGACCAAAACGTGGTCCAAAATTGGGCGTTTTTGAGCGTTACCGGGGACCATTGAATTTTTACTAATTATATATATATTATAAAAATATATTGTATCTGCTGTTCATCATTTTAACATCAGTGTATCATACCTCTCCTCAGCAGTCCCGTCTGCCAGGATACTGTCTATGGTCAGGATCCAGTCAGACACCAGGGTCTCGTACTCTCCCACGATCGTCTCGTCAAACGCAGCGGCTCGATACTGCTTGAAGTCGCTGCTCACCAAGATCTCAGGTTTCTTCAACAACTGAAAAGTAATTTAAGACTGTTATTTACAGCTCCCTATGTTGTGCAGTGATATATGTTATCTACATGTAGGTGGAGCCTAAATAAAATGAATATTAAAGTAAAGTTTAAACTTTTTTAGCCTATTTTCTTTCTTTTTTTTTCCAAAAAAATAATAATCACAGCAATATCAAATATAAGTCAATACAAAGCAATAATTCAAACCTTGCATACCAAGATGTTACAGTTAAACTTGATAAATAACCGCAATGTAACAGGTGTTTATTTTTGTGGCACGCTCTTGTTGTTTTGTTGTTCTTTTCAGTAAAACCGTGGGGAGGGGGGCATTCTAACCAACAACAAAAAAAGAACGTTACCTGTTGCGTCGCTGAAGTTGAGGCTCCGTATTCAGACAAAACCCCGAGATATTTCTCCAAGTTGTGGACACACTGTGACGCCTGCTCGTCGCTACACTGTCCCCAGTCTTTCTGAGCCCGCAAAACCGGCAAGAAGACGTGGGACAACAGAAGAGTCAAATTTTCCGCCGCGCTTTGCTTCAACTCCCCGCAGAAAATATCTCTCTCCATCCGTACGGGGTCAACTTCTTTGTTGGTGTTCAGTCGAAGGAAGTACAAGATCAGGGTGTTTTCTACACTGACCTTTAGATTAGCCAGAGAAGTCGTGATGAATAAATCGCGAGTAGACAGCGTCCCTTGTTGTGGTTTGTCGCAACAGCAGAATATCTTGGCCGGGCCATTTGGGTTTAGGAACTGGTTGATGAGTTCCAGAGTTCGAGGTTCGCAAAGAAAATCCTCCAGTAGGGTGGGATTGTCGAAGCCACCGATGTGGAAACTTTCCTGGATCTTCGTAGCGATCCACCAGTGCCTCTCGTCCATGGTGATCTGTGGTGGACGGGCGGGAAGGGAGGGGAAAACTTGTCTAAACTTCACATCTTCGCGTCAAGAACTTTGAAGGAGGCCGCCATTTTGTTTGGGTTGTCATGAACAACCGGGGGCTCCCTAAGGGGTCTACTGTAGGTTTCTAAAACACCTTATATGGCCAACTGCTACTGGATATCTTCCATTTTAAGTAATTAATAGGCAACTGAAGTGATGACAAGTAGGAGATATATAACAATTACTGTTCATTGTGTATATAATGGGTCAGTTTGTCTCGTATAAATGTTAAATAAGTAACACGAGAACCCCCATTTAGTCCTCTATTCACCTGTCCAATCCGAGCGGGGCTATTTGATTTAGCTCTATAGAGGTGAAATATGGCCCCGGGGACCGTCCCAGAAAAGTCGGGGTTGCAATTGGGATGTTATTGAGAAGTTCATTTCATTTCATTTCATTTATTGGTGATGCCAAACAACGCATTACAAGTGGGAGCCAGGCAGCCAAAGGCTGGTGGCGGCTGCCACTGGTACATACAACACAACACAGGACAAGTCAGTACAATATACAGGACCTAACAACAAGTTACGAATATCAAAATAGCAAAACATATCAATGCATTATACAATATCAAAGACACAACATCATCAAATTAATAAAGTAATCATAATAATATCTATAATCAAAAGTGGAAAGGAAAGATGGAACGGTTGGAAAGTCAGAAAAGTTAAAAGGTTGTTTAAAAGTTAGTAATCTGATGAGAGGTGGTTCCTGCATTTGGCCTTGAAAATTCTAACTGTGGCGGACCCTGTGTGCTGTGGTGTCGTTTAAAAAAGGGTTACGACAACACGTTTTTTTTCATGGCAAATTGTTTTATAACACTTTATGTTTTTATAACACGTCGCGCAACACTTCATACTTAGTATGTGTTGTGTGAAGTGGATCAGTTAACTACATGTGTAGTAACGTTATATCATAAACAAGAAAATTAACGTTATTTACAACACATATAACGTTAACCATGTCCTTGACGTAGGGTTATAAACTTTCATACTCCCAGACTTCAAAAAGAATGTCCTTGATTGTGTTTAACAATGTTATGACTCAGTGGCTTTGTCATGTTTAACCGTTTATTCCAATTCCTTCTACATAGTTTGACTAGTTCTGGCAACTTCTTTCTAATGCCGCTGATTTCGCTGAAGAAGAGTGATAGATGTCACTCGATCACGAAACATCCAGAAATAGCCTTTGTATTCTGTCCAGTAGTAGAGATTAAACTTTGTCTATGCATGGGTCTATGCATCCTGTGTGTTTTCTTCCTATGCCTGGCAATCTAAGAAGGTACTAAGACAGCGTGCAATGTAAATTACGGCACTATTACATTGAGCGGCTGTTTTCCTCCGGAAAATTATTACAAATCACAAGTCATAAACATTACATGACACCAAGGAGCTTCTTGAGACAATTCATGACATTCAAATGGGAAAACTCCAGTCAGTAAACAACAAAAGGTGCCATATACGGACTGTAATACAAGAAAGGTTCTGACTACGTTCAATCTTTTTTTTTTTCTAATGTAACGGTTAACCCGTTAACGGCTACGTCATACATGAGACAATTTATGTTGTTGCATGAAGCATTCCATTGGACGAGGCCAAACCATTCATCGGAGCTTCGGAGAGAAACTCGTCATGTTTTTTTGACCGACTGTCCCAATTTTCTGACACAGAGATTTCGCCCCCACAGCCAATTCGTCCCTACGTCTGTGACCGGGCCCTCACGGGCGTTTCCTGTAGTCGATACAGCCCCGACAGTCACAGTGATTTGTGGTCCTATCACACCAGTTGTGGGGCGAGCAGCATGGGTGACTGCTGTCGGGGTTGCATTCAGCCGGGTTGCCATCCTTCGTGAGGAAGCCAGGTCCACACTGCAAGTCATCGCGCCACTTCTTACGAGCTGTTTGAGAAAAAACAAAGACGTAAAACATTGACAGATCCCTACATTCAAGCACGGACTACTGATAACAGTTACAGAATGCAGATACTGATATAACGATTGTCCCAAGAATCATATACTAGTATTTCCTTACGTTTTAAAGCAGCAAACAGGGCGTCTGATTTGCCTTGCAGGATCTTGACGCTTGAGTCCAGCTTCAGGTGCTCCGAATTCAGTTGACTGATTGACAGCTTTATGTCGGACAGCTTAGCAGCTGTCTTCTCCTCTGACTGGCTGACTGACAGCTTTATGTCGGACAGCTTAGATGCTGTCTTCTCCTCCAACTGGCTGACTGACAGCTTTATGTCGGACAGCTTAGCAGCTGTCTTCTCCTCCAACTGGCTGACTGACAGCTTTATGCTGGACATGTTAGCAGCTGGTTCCTCCTCTAACTGGTTGACTGACAGCTTCAGGCCCAACACTGTCACCACTGTATCAAAACAATTCAACATCCCATCATTTTATACTTTACAAAGAAAATCTACGACTACACAAACGACTCTGTCCTGCGTTAATGGAGGTTAGACATTAAAGTCAACAATATTCGAACATTTCAAACTCTATTAGGCCACACCGATTTAATTTTATGGATGACATCCGCGCGCGCATTGATTTTCGCCCGATCTCAAAAAAAAAAAAAGATCACGTATTCCGAGGCTCTGGCCTGGCTTTAGGCCTGGGTAGTGCATGGTGGTGATAACTCTGGTTGACGGCAGCCAGGCTACCGAAGCTCCAAGACTCAAGAACTCATGTACATACGTATACGTACAGCAGTGTCGATTCATATATTCCGCAAAAATCCAGCATGTGTCGGCCTGTCGTATACGTCGCTATGTAATGCGCCAAATTCACAATACCAGGTTTGTATTCCTGTGGTTTTGTAGCATTTTTATTTTTGGCCGGATTTTTATTTTTTCGCCCGCGCGCACTAGTTTGGGGGTCTTCAGAGGATGTCATCCATAAAATTAAATCGGTGTGGCCTTACTAGTACTGGATGATTGGACATAGCGATACAGATAGATTACTTCCAGACGCTTCGAGTGTCACTAAATGAAGAACTGATATCCAGTACTTGAGTTGGGTTTGTCTTTGACTCTATACCTGAAACGTCACCAAAAAAGATGATGAGCATACTAAGAAATTCATCTATGGCAGAATCGAAGCACTCACCCAGAAAGATAACCACCCCGAGCAGACAGCAGTTCAGCACCAGGGACAGCACGGGGATGGTCTTCTTCACGGCGCTGGTCCAGACTCGGGACTGACCGGGGTTTCTCATGCCGACCCCTGGGATGTAGCCTGTGGCAGCGTCATCGGTAGAGGCTTCTGTGGACAATGCAGGTGCGAAGCCAGAGACCGTAGATTTGTTGTTACATGCAAAACTATAACATGCAGATACTGGTATTCTTTTCGTGGTGAGAAAACGCTAAACTGGATTTTGTTCTTCTAAGGTGTGCCTGAGGCTAAATTACGTGACATCTCTGTATAGGTTTTATCGGAATGATATAGTGTGATACTAGTACTAGTATGTTAGTGAAATGTCATTCAAAGCTACTATCATCTCTCAGTTGTTTTTAGCATGCAAAATGTACCCTACCTGCTTGTTCTGGATTTTCCACAGTCAAGTTCACCACCCCCGGTGTTGCCGTATCGTTGTTCGCAACTGAGGCGGTCTTAGTGGCCGCTAACCCCGAGGGGGTGACCGGGCAGGCCTCGCTGTATGTATTTTCAGCCATAACAACAATTCCCGTCTTCGTTCTCACTCGCACCAAGGTGGTTTGTCTTCGAATGAAACGTATTCCTCGCTGATAGACTGTTTCTATATGTTTTCTTTCTGACGTCCACTTTAATTGTCTGAGAGGTAACATTATTTTATTCTTTTTATCGTCATGAGAACCTCAAATCAGTCTGTGCGTGCTGCTTTTCATTGACATGATGAGGAAAGAGATAAAGGGCAGACAAACTATTGAAAAAGATAAATTTCTAGCTTGAAAACATTTTAAACATTTGATAAAGAAATTCAAAGCTTTTCAAACGGGAGAGAAGCAATGGCATATGGACAAAGTGTAACTTTCAATACGTTGGTTATAGAGGAAGTTGGCTCTCAGTATGACAACAAAGTACATCGTTCTAAGAAACCATCACAAGCGTCTCAGTATCTGGCAGGTATAGCCGAGGATTGCATACTTCCAAGAGGTACCAAATCTCGGATTTCTTGTATGTGCGTGCACACCCGACACATATTTCAGCCTGCGATCGAGTTTCAAACGTAAAGCCAAAGACTGAGTGTGGTTAAAGGTTAGCCATGACGCCGTGTTTTAGAGCACGTGCCTCGGGTGAATATCGGTCAAAGCTCGCTAGACCGTGAACATTAGCCTGTAGCAGCTACTGGGGGCCTTAAATATTTTGGCGACACCTCAGGGGGAGCCTAGTGGTACAGTAGTGTGTGCAGTTTGCGAGAATTCTAGGAATTCTACAGGAATTTCATCCACAGGTATGGAATGTCTACAGGAATGTCTCACAGCTCTGTGATCTTGCTGACACACATCGATCTATGCCCACAGTCTATAGCTATATACTTAATGAAATCCCTGGAAACCCTTGGGAAAATCTTTCTGGCCGCTTTCTACTTTCTATTCAGCCTGCAAATGAGTCTGGTGGAGACTAACAACACATAACGTTCTAAACGTTCAGACTCCCAGACTTCCAATAAACATTGTATTGTGTCAACTAAAACGGATTTAGCGATGTTATGACTCAGCGACTTTGTCATGTTTAACCATATTTTATTCCAATTCCGTATACATAATGTTGACTACTTCTGGCAACTTCCTTCCAGTGCCGCTGAAGCAGAGTGATAGATGTCACACTCGATCGCGAAACGTCCGAAAGTAAATTTTGCATTTTGTCCAGTAGTAGAGTTTAATATACACATGGGTATTATCATCTGTATCATCAACTGTGTTTTCTTAGTTAAAAATTACTCAGAACCTATGTCTGGCGATCTAAGAGGGAAGTCAGGCAGCGTGAAATGTAAATATATATGAGGACACGTTCATTGAATGGCTGTTTCCTAAACGCGCCATAAACGGACGACTGTAATACAAGAAAGGTAGAGCTACCTTGAATAAGCTATTTGGATCAATGAGTTAAGAGACTCTTTCTACACAACCAAGTCTTTTATTCAGCCGACGTTTCGGTGACCGCCTGTCACCTTCCCCAGGGCAATTCTAAACCGGTTCAAAGTGCAGTGCAATGTGAGAGATCGAGAGAGAGAGATCGAACTTCATGCTACAACAAATTCACAAAACATGATAATGATTTTTGTACCGTGACTACCATTTTGGCAGACGTTTTACATTATTCATATCAGAGCAGAGGTAACGGTTCTGGCTACGTGCAATCTTTTTTCCGGTTTACTCTTTAACGGCTACATACGTGAGACAAATCATACTGGTGTATGAAGCATTTCTATTGGTCCAGCCAATAATTAAAGCTTTGGTGAGAAACTCGTCACGTTTTTTGACCGGCGGCCCCGTTTTTGTGACAGCGGACAGAGATTTCGCCCCCACATCGAATTCGTCCCTACATCTGTGACAAGACCCTTACGGGCGTTTCCTGTAGTCAATACAGCCCGGACAGTCACAGTGTTCCGGGGTCTTGTCACACCAGTTGTGGGGCGAGCAGCATGGGTGACTGCTGTCGGGGTTGCATTCAGCCGGGTAGGCGCCTTCCGCATGGACGCCAAGTCCACACTGTAAATCATTGCGCCACTTCTTACGAGCTGTTTGAGAAAAAAAAAGTAAAACATTGACAGATCCCGATATTCAAGCACTGACTACTGCTACAGACTACAGATACTGATATCACGATTGTCCCGATGATTACATGCTTACGTTTTAAAGCAGCGTCAGCAAGTATGGCGTCTGGTTTCTCGTGTAGATTCTTGTCGCTTGGCTCCAGCTTCAGGTCCTTCAGTTGGCCGCTTGACAGTTTTATGCCGGACATGTTAGGAGCTGTCTTCTCCTCTAACTGGCTGACTGACAGCTTCAGGCCCAACACTGTCACCACTGTATCAAAACGATTCAACATCATGTTATAGATAACAAAACGAAATTATAAATGATGCAACAGAATTTGGCCCCTGCTCCTGAGGCGCCACAAAAACAGGATGGTGAAACTTTAGGTCTACAATATAGCGTAGACTACAAAGGAGTAAGAAGATTTGTATACAATCTCCTTGCTAAGAGAGCATCACCCTAGGAGAGTACAATCGCAGCGCTCACCCAGAAAGATAACCACCCCGAGCAGACAGCAGTTCAGCACTAGGGACAGCACGGGGATGGTCTTCTTCACGGCGCTGGTCCAGACTCGGGACTGACCGGGGTTTCTCATGCCGACCCCTGGAGTGTAACCAGTGGTAGCGTCATCGGTAGAGGCTTCTGTAGACAATGCAGGTGCGAAGACAGAGAACTTAGATTTGTTGTTACATGCAGAACTAAAAAAGATACTGGTACTATTTTCATGGTGAGGATTTTGTTCTTCTTAGGTGTGCCTGAGACCAAATTACGTGACATTTCTGTATAACATGTAGACACTGTGTGTGTGTGTGTGTGTGTGTGTGTGTGTGTGTGTGTGTGTGTGTGTGTGTGTGTGTGTGTGTGTGTGTGTGTGTGTGTGTGTGTGTGTGTGTGTGTGTGTGTGATATAGTCTTTTGATAATGACTGACAGACTCAAAGCTACTATCATCTCTCAGTTGTTTTTAGCATGTAAAATATACCCTACCTGTTTGTCCTGTATTTTCTACAGACAGGTTTACCACCGTTGGCGGTACCGTATCGCCGTTCAGAACCGAGGCGGTCTTACTAACCGCTAATCCCAAGGGGGTGACCGGGCAGGCCTCGCTGTATATATTTTCAGCCATGACAACAATTCCCGTCTTTGTTCTCACTCGCACTAAAGACAAGTGGTTTGTCTTCCAATGAAACGTATTCCTCGCTTCTATATTTCTTCCGAAAGTCTTCCGCCCACTCTAATTGTCTGAGTGGTACCTTATCTAAAATTACATGATTTTATTCATCACATTATCGTCACGTTAGCAAACGTCAGTCATATTTTTGTTTGAACCATTTTCTTTATTCATGAGAACCTCAAATCAGTCTGCGTGTGCCGATTTTCATCGACGTTATAAGGAAAGAGCTTAAAGGGTAGACTATATAAAAAAAAAAGATTCATGGTATGTTGGTATGTGCAACGCCCGACACAAATTACAGCCGGCGATCGAGATTCAAACGTAAAGCAAAAGTAGTGGGGTCGTGTGGCGTAGCGGTAGCGTGTTCGGCTTAGGACCAAGAGGTCCCGGGTTCGAACCCTACCCATGTTACCGATCTTGTGCCCTTGGAAAAGGCACTTAACACGACTTTCCTCAGTTCACTCAGGTGGAAATGAGTACCTAGCTTCCGTTAGGGACGTCCCCCGGATAGGACGTTAAATGGAGGTCCCGTGTTTGGGGAGAGCCACCGTACCCACACGCACGTTAAAGAACCCACCGCACTTATCGAAAAGACTAGAGAACCTTCCCGGTGTGAGTGGTTCAAACCTTACAGTCCGGTCTTTCACAGCCTGTACTTACATGTACAAAACTGGTGTGTTACGCCTAAAGGCGGTTTACCGGTTATATATGCGAAACAAACAAACAAAAAACACTTAGTGTGGTCAAAGGTCAGCCATGACGCCGTGCTTTAGAACAGGTGCCTCGGCTGAATGTCGGTCAAAGTTCGCTTGAACATTAACCTGTAACAGCAATGGCGGCGTTAAACGTCTTTGAAAATGTTCTGGGTTTTACCCTCACAAATTTGTTGGCTGCCATGGCCCTTCTTATTTTCATTACTTTAGCTATAGCAGCGGTTTATCTCTGGAAGGAAACCCGCTTCCAGGAGAAGGCTTTGGCCCCCTTCCCGTGTCCGGAGAGACACTGGCTACAGGGAACAATGGACTTAAAGAGGGTAAGTTAAGTACACAGTCCGTACATAGTTACCTAACATTCAAGCAATGTAAGGATATGGATCACCTTTTTAGTGTTGTTGCAACATTTAGTACGCAACATTTAGTACGCCTTTGCTGTATTGAACACCGACAGCTTGACATACCAAACAGAGTACTCCCGTGGCCTCGATAAAGTCGCGAATAAGTTGCATGTAGATTGCTGCTTATTGATTTTCTCCACTCACAATAGCCGACCTCTTCTCTCCCTCAGATCACGAGGCATCCAGAGTACGTCCTGGAGTTCATGACTGAACAGACTCAGCGCTTCCCGAAATGTTTCCAACAGTGGATAGGACCGTTTCGGGGGGTGCTGATGATAGTCCATCCGGAAGTTGCCAAAGAGGTTCTGAAGACAATAGAGCCGAAAGGCCGGGTGTACGAGTACCTTCGACCATGGCTAGGTAAGTAGACCTAAGAGGTTCATCTGTGTTGCCACAGTTAATGACGTTACTAGATAACATTGTCAGAAGGATTTGAATTAATTTGAAGGGTGGCGATACCAACTTCCAACCACTAGCGCTCACATCACGAACACTTCCGGAAGTGACGTATTCTGGCCAATCAGTCTTATGGTACGAGGTCAAATCATTCTTCGAGGTGCTATACCTACGTTGGACGGGGTAAGGATCATTAGCGATTGAGTTACATAAATTGAACGATCGCGTGATATTGTGACTTGTTAATGGCCATGGTTCACGGCAATGTATGGACGCATTATATGTCTAAAGACTCGTCCAAATTATTCTCACTACTGTACATGTACAACAATAGCTTGTTCTACATACATCTCAAAATAACATGTAATATAATTGTCCTCCTCCCCCCACCCCTCCCCCACGACAGGTGACGGCCTGCTCCTCAGTAGAGATGAGAAATGGAGGCGGAACCGACGACTGCTGACTCCGGCATTCCACTTTGAAATCCTGCGGCCCTACGTCAAAATATATAACCAAGCAACGGATGTGTTCATGGTAACATGTGGCTATTTTATGTACAATGCACTAGCCATTTAGAACTGATGTGAATTTTGTCATGTTTCCAATATACTAGGTTGGATGATATACTGATGATTATACATGTACATTCCTCCCCTAGGAAAAGATGTCAAGTTTCGCCATGAAAGATGAAGCAGTGGAGATCACCAAACACCTGAGTTTGCTGACATTGGACATCATCCTTCAGTGTGCGTTCTCCCACAACATCGAGTGTCAGCGTGTTGGGTACAAATCACCTTGTTTCTGCCTCATTACAAAGGAATGAAATATTGTTGTTGACTTGTCTGTGTATCTGCTTTTCTATGTGTGTCTACATCTTCTTTTAAGTATTCCATCTCTCTTCAGCAGTGTTTCCAAAGGTGTTGAACAAATGGATGTTTTTCAGGGACAAGAATCCGTACGTCGCTGCAGTGTACGCCATGTCACAACTGCTCATGTTACGTGCAAGGTAATAAAGCTTACTTACTTCACAAAGGTGTAGCCTGACTCATTCAATATAGCAGCCCTTCCACTGTTAGGGCCACTAGAACTTGTAAACATTGCAGAAACGATTAATTTCTTAAAATTTACTTGAATATTCTATCGTGAAATTAATTCATTGTCTTTATATTTCATAGGAGCCCATGGATGCACCTATGGCCGATGTATCGACTGACACCCGAAGGTCGGGAGTTCGTTAAACTGTACAACCTTGTCCACCAACAGGCTGGGGACATCATCAAAGCAAGAAGAGAAGTTCTGGTAGGTGATATGCAGAAGTGACGGTTTATGTTTATCATTTTCCATGACAGAAACAGACAGACTCAGCGAGACAGAGGGAAAGACAAGGAGACAGAGGGAGAGAGAGAGAGAGAGAGAGAGACGATTAAAGAGAGAAACAGATACACAGTTTGGCAGAGAGAGACAGAGAAAGAATATGAGGCAGATTCGTAGAGAGATAGTTATAGAGGCAGACAATAGAAAGGTACAATAAAAGCGCTTAACTTCACTCACTTTATGTTGTGGTAAAGAAGATGTACAACTGTTGTTTACGTACATAGGACAAAGAGGGAAGAGAAAAGATAGGTCGGGGGTCTCGCTATCTGGATTTTTTGGACATCCTACTGACTGCACGGGACCCGGATGGAGAAGGGCTGACAGATGACGAAATCAGGGCAGAGGTGGACACTTTCCTGTTCGAAGGTAAACATGGTACATTGAAACACTATAATGCTATATGATACCAATGTTAATGGCCTACGGTGTACGGTGGTAACGCTTCGCTCACTCGGTGGCTTATTCCGTGGCTATAGTTCACTAGCCAGGCGTTATGTCACCGTAAACACGTAGAGGCGGGTCATTATAAATTGATTGATCTTTCAATATTATACTACCGCTAGCTGTTTTAAGCCCACAGGTTTCTTTCTTTCGGAAATGTGTCACAGACATGCATGGTGTATTTATGATACATTTATTTCCTTGAAGGCCATGACACGACAGCCAGCGGCATTTCTTGGAGTCTGTATTGTCTGGCTAAACATCCGGAACACCAAGAGCGTGTGAGAGAGGAGGTGGACGCGGTTATGGCGGGAAAAGACGAACTGACATGGTAATGAAATTACTGGTGTAGTATTTGTTAGCAATTGTTTAGGATTTGCTGGAAGGACTTTAGAAAAAAGTTTATATGCAAAATCTAGTTAAAATTTTTCTATTGGTGTAGACATAAGAAAAATGTGATGTCCTGCCGTATTCTTTGACCCCAGGCAAGACATCTCCAAACTGAAGTACTTGACGATGTGCATCAAGGAAGCCATGCGTCTGTACCCTCCTGTTCCTATCGTGGGACGCAAGATCACGCGAGAGTTCGCGTTCATGGGACATCGGCTGCCGGCAGGAGCTGAACTGAACGTGAACGTGTGGTGTCTGCACCACAATCCGGCTGTGTGGGGCGAGGACTTCATGGTGAGAGCAGCACACTGAAGCTTTACAAGAAGTAAAACCACGGAAACTACGTTTCACAGAACCAATTTTGCTGTAAGCCTTATGCCTCAAACGTTGCAATTCAATGCATACCGGGTAGCTTACGGGATTATGTTTCCTTCACATCCGAGACCCAGGCCGATTGGTAGTTCGAATCAAAACCAATCAGGGGCCAATTGAACAAAAATGCCGGTAAACCCCCCATTAGGGCATTGGTTGGGAAATTGACTGTAGCAAGCCATACCTGACTTCAGAGCCCGGTTGTGGCCTATCTCGATTTAAATACTTGTACTAAGTACTAAGCGGAACACTGAACTACACGCACTTGGAAATAAGAAAAGAGTAATTTATATATATAATAGAAATGATATTATCTAACGGTATTAGTCAAACACGTGTTGACGTGTTGAAGATAATCGGCTTCACACCCACTTGTTTGTTGCAGGACTACAAACCGGATAGGTTTTTATCCGAGAACATGAAGAACATGGATCCCTATGCCTTCATACCGTTCTCAGCTGGACCCAGGTTAGTCTTTAAATTGATTATGATCCCAACAACGTGTTATGTAGTCAAGTGTCATTGGTGTTACAATAGCTTTGATTATGCCTTTATGAAACAATTTGTAATTGATTCTGATTTTTAACTCCATAAATGCTTCCAAAAATTGGCTTAATGCTCTATTGTAGAAAATCGACACTCAAACATGCAATAATTGCTTCATTCTTCATGGCACCTCTACTGAATTTTACAGGAACTGTATCGGCCAGAACTTCGCCCTGAATGAAGAGAAAGTGGTGATTGCCAGGATATTACACAAGTATGTCGGTATACATCATCATACTATTGCCTTTTGAGACTGCTGTACATTTTGATTGATTCACTTTTTTGGACTGAGAAACAATGAATATTTGTTCTCTATCACTCCACCTACCTCATCAGGTTCAAGGTCGAGCTCGTTCCCGATCACCACGTGGCTCCAGTAGTGGAGCTTGTGACCAGAGCAGTCAACGGCATCAAGGTCAAATTCATCCCGAGGGACTAGTGCACACTTCCGAGTACAAATAATCTGTACCATGCTTTGTTTTCACAGTGTTTATAAATCCTATAAAAAGATAGATGTCCTTTTGTTTTTAACGTAAAAGTGTGTAACGCATGAAAAGTAATTTTACCAAAATAAACACTGTCCTGAGAATAGGGTTCCATTTCAGATATTGAAAAGTTCTTAAAATTCTATATCAGCTACTGGTGCCTTGTATTACATCTTGTCAGCACGCCACTTCAGTTGTGTTCTCTTGTTGTTGTTTGTTCCTGCGAGTGAAGACAGTGCATGACGTCATCCAAAGATCAACAGAAGTAACAAACGTGATACAGACAAAGGCAAGAAGAAAAAGTATCGAACGTTGATAATTTTCTTTTGTCGTTAGCAAGCACATTATTTGTAATCTGTTTTCTCACCAAGGGTCCGGCCACATATATTGTATAATCGTAAACTATATGGGCATTCTTGTAATAGTTACGGTGTCCTCGAAAATTCAGCTGTTTTATTCCCCTCTCCCCATACCTGTAATATGCCAGGAATACTATGCTGAGGGTGAACAAAGCTGCAGTCGGCAGAAGAACCAATATGGCGACTTTATCTGCTCCAAACCCGTCCCCTTCCGATAGAGAGTATCTCATTGGACCATATAGTCTTTTTATGTCAGCATTTTCTGTAAGAGGTGATAGAAAACTATGTCACAATAGTATGTGGCATTTTACCTATAGTGTTGTATATCTTTTTGGTAGACACATAAAACACTAGTTATAGTAAGGCTGAAAATGACCAAAATAACATCAAACAATAGATTGTTATAATGTTTAACACTCACCTGAATTTAATGTCGACGCCCTGACATTAACAGCATTGCTGTAGTGAACTCCGTTATGAGACCTGATCTGAAATATCGCATAGCGTTAAAGCATCGTTAAAGTATGATTTTTTATTTGAATAGATAAATATAAGTATAAATTTATGTTGTCTTGGTGTGCTAGAAAAATATCATTAATTACAATTACTACAATGCACGTTGAATTCCCCATTCAAACAATATTGTAAACTCATCACTTACATATATCTCGTATCTTGTATTTGGTTGGAGGTTTCCGAACACGTGACTGTTGTGGGCGTGGTTTGGTACCCTAAGGGTAGCCAATGACGTCATCTCTCCTGTGATGACGACTTGCTTCAAGGTGATGACGTAACCACCCACTGGGCCGTTCCATCTAGCGGGCCCCTCCCAGGTCAGGCGCAGTTGTCGGGAAGACATCGTCCATATTATGACGTTTGTAGGAGGAAGTGGGTCTGAAAAGATTTTATAATTAGCAACAATTCTCCATAAATGATGATAGCATAACTTTTTGTCAAATAAAATATTCCAACGGAATCCCAGGTCCAGCACAATGCCTTCCCAAAATATTTTTATTGAAAGTCAAGTTAAGGGTTGCGCTGCAAGTTGAGTATACTCATATACCTTTCTTTTACTTGATTTACTACATTTGTTTCACATCAGATACTATATATAGCTAGTATACTGATTTCACCTGCTTCTCTTGTTCTTGTCCGCACGGGGTCGCTCCTGTTGAACTCCTGCACATCGCTGAGAACAGCCACCCAGAAAGTGTACTCTGTGAACGGTTCCAGCCCGGTCACTGTGTACTGTTGTTCCCGGGATCCAATCACAACTCTCGTCTCTTCTCCCGCTAGACTTGATGGCTTATAGTAGATGACGTAGGATCGTATTTCCTATATGAAAAGATAAAATATATAGAAAGATATGATTTCTTCACTACATACCAAAAGTCCATAGCAATCATAAGAATATGTTGCAATCCTTGGCTTCAAATATCTCCATATCAATTTTACTACAGTGTATTTCCTGTTGGCCTTTGCGTTCTATCCATCTACTGAGTCTGGCCTTCTGTTCATTCGTCATCCTGCCCGTCGATCTATCACCCACCCTCGTGCTATCAACCTACACTGTCGACATCTGGGCAAACAGATAACCAAACCCAGAGTTCAGTCACCCAATTAAAACAATACTTCCACACAGGCAAGTAATACTTGTAAATAGTAGTATGACATGCTCATGGACATGGTGTATGTAGTGTAATCGTCCCTACCTCCTGTGTTAGTGTTTCCGGCAGGGTCCAGTCTAGTCTGACGGCTGCAGACGACACTGGTTCAACATGGACTCTACAGGGGATGACAGCTGCAACATGGAAACAGGCAGGGTTAATGTGGGCAGGGTTAATGTGAGAAGGATAAATCGACAAAACACAAAGTCATATTTTGGGGGAACGACGCGTGTTTTAATGTCGTCCGTACACGATGAGCATAAACTTTAAAAACATGTTAAAGGAGAGAATTGATACAACCCCGCCTCAAACCAAAATACCCGCATATGAACCATATTTACGGACACGAAATATCTTCAAGTTGTTGTTTTTACTTCATATTTTTCTCAAAATATATCTAAATACGTGTTTCCACTCTTCCTTACACTCTTGTCCCTTCTTTAGTTACGTCCTTATGAGAGAGTGTGTGTAAGCGTGAGTAGAGTAGGGTTGAAGAGTTGTACTGTTGTGAACGCTCTGCTGAAATGTCAACAAACCCGACAGGGCTGACTGGGCTTACCGGAGAGCGAGGACAAGGACGAAGTGTTGGTTACACGTCTGTGGACTAATCCTTTGCAAGACTTTGAGAAAAAAATTTGGTGTTCAAAAGATGTCGAGGAGGTTAAACCAACTCATTAAAAATACTGAGTAAACTGAAAACGTCATTTACTGCGTGTGTATTTTCTGTGAACGTTTGAACACCTTGTCCTGTACTGTTTTGTTTGTATGGTTTCTCGCGTCTACGGTATGTTAAGGTCGCAGAAGATATGATTTTACATGAGAAGAGTTAAATGTTTATCAACTTTATCAGATATAGATCAACTTTTAATCCATCGTTGCTGTCAGCTTCAAAGTTCAAACCTTTCCAAACAAATAAACAGTGCTAAAATACTTTTCGTCATTGACCGTATCATATCATGGCACACCATCACTACCTAGCAAGCCGAAAATACACGACACGGTATTCGGTAAGCTCCGCCAGAGTGTGACGTCACGTTGTAGTTGGCCAAAAAAGCCCGCGAAGGCCAGGAAAAAAACACAAAACAAAGGAGCACTGCTCTGTATCCTGTCGCCACAACACAATACGTATCCCATATGTACCGTCCTCTTTTTCAACCCCCTTATCCTCGTGGAAAAAAGTAAGCGCGTCGTCCTGAGAGTCACTCGAGCCACAGACTTGGTGACAAGGTCTAACAGACAAAACAAAGCCGCAGAGAACCTGACACCTTACCCCGTAACACAGCACGGTACGTGATTGTTTAAATGCGCCGTGAAGTCCTATTTGAATCAATGATGCGCGTCCGCAAAAATAGGGTTCTATTGTGTCAAATGGAGTAGGGACGTTTGCGTTTAGATCCACCTTATACAGTCGTATATTTGAACAAAAAATATCCTAACGCTAAGTCAGCTAAATCTAGAAGGAAACTGAACAATACAATACAATGCCACCATTTCTACTATTATACCTGCTACTACTGTCATAACACTGTTATCAATGTGGAAAAGGCAATGTGTGTAGCAAGGAGAGGTTGAAGATTTAATAGTTAACCTCCTTACCTGCAGCAAGACAAACGTTAAAAACTTTTCTGTATGCAAAATTTAAGAAGGCTTTAGTGTCACCTTGACAGACACGCATGAGTCGCGTCAGAAAACAACACGTACAAAGACTTCTGCTATAAGTAGTAAGTCAAACTATGCTGACACATACATGTTGTAATACATGAACGTGTGTACTTACCTGACTTGGTGACTGTCGCCAGGAAAACCAAAATGATGACAAATCTCATGAACAGCCATATGAAATTATCTTCCATGGCTTAAGAACTCCCCTTAGTGCTCTAGCTACAAGACTCACAACTGGTAGTACACTACCTAGCCTTTGTGCATTGAGAAAGGGTTAGACTAAACCATTCACTTCAGGAGGGGGTGACGAGTCGGTGACGTAATGGTGATATGCTAAACCTGGTAATTCTATCTATGATCTTATATTATCAGCACTGAATGGCGGTTCTATATCAGACAGTAATACTGGGGTATCTCATGTCAACCACTGTTAATTGTAGACTATACCAGTGTGGAAAAAAAGGAACAAGATACTAGCTGATTTCATTCTGTTCTTTATGAAAGATGGAATTAGTCTAGCGAAGGAGTCCTTTGTCCAGCTGAAGACATGCCTTATGGGGGGGGGGCATAATTTTCAGGGGATCTACGTACTAGTAGATCCGTTTCATATATTGTTTTAGTTAAATATGGACACGGCAAACCATGGGTTTGTTGAAAGGGCGTTAAGAACTAGGGAATGTGGTGTTCAGCACCAAGGACAGGACAGGTAGTGAATTGGGACTGGCAACATCGTTCTTATATACAGACTTGGCCTTGAAAATGGAAACAGTAACAGAAAAATGTAGTTGAAAAATAGGAATTACTACCATTGGTATTATTTTTCATACCTCTTGAAAGTGGGCTTATATTCTAGCACCAGCATTAAACAAAAATGATCTTTGCTACACAGTATTTAACAAACACACTATGCAAGATTTGTGGTATCCTTTATTTATTTATTTTCAACTTTTGCAATTCCAAAATGTACACACGTACATGTACAGGGGCGCATAATTTCCCAACCATTTTCATACATGTATACACATCTACATTGTACATTAATATAGCGCTGTTCCAGTAAATTTTGTTACTCTAGGACATCTTATTACATACCACCCTGCAACAGCTTGCAAGAGGAAGAACTAAGCTAACAGAGCGCTGAAGTGACATCTACTGTTCTTTGTTTCTATTACCATTGCTCTACTTGGATGCTGTTCTTGCTCAGTTGTTCTGCATATTCCGAGATATGGAAAATCTAGTTTAATATAAACACCTTTTTTTCTTTTCTCTTGCCAGCTGTTACAGGGATTTGGAAACACAGATACAAAATTCTTGGCAAGCACGTAATGTACATGTGAAGCTTATACTTAATATTTCTCACTTGCCGTACGACTACTTGTATCACATCCCCTCCCCAACTTAACTTGGCAACCTCCCACAGATTATCAAAGAATATATTTACAAACACTTATGGCATATGCTGTGGACTATATTCATTTTGTTTGGTTGACAACAGCTATAAACCACAATGAACACTCCCATATTCAATACATACAATACATATTCATAACACTGTTTTATGCTGAGTGGATTCTGCACATATGTTAAATGCATGTAACATTATGACACTGTCTAAAAATCTCCAGAAGAAAAATTACGACATTGGAATGATGATGCATCGATCAGTATAAAACCCAAGAATGTTAACTGCTGCAAGCATGGGTAGGTGTTACATTGACTGAAGCACTCTTCATACAAAGAAACCCCTCACATCTCTTGCCCCCTAGGTTTACAATTGATACATGCATCACCTATGCATACATATAACTGCACTACTATAGAGGTACTAATATTTGATTGGTTGATTCTGGTTCAAATTGTGTATAGAAACGCAAGTAGCCCACTCTCTTACTACTCACTTGTGTTTAAAACAAGTAAAAACCATTTCACCAAGGCACTCATGTCTTTCAGTCATTTATAGTGTCACCGCACTTTAGTGGAACTAACCAGAATACTAGTATTTGCTATCAAAATAGATTTTGCACAGGTGGGTGAAAACTATCCAACCTTGGACCAACCAAACCGAAGCCTATCATGAGCCAACCAAACCGAAGCCTATCATGAGCCAAATAATAAACATAAGTCATTGCACAATATAATGTGGTGGGGGCTAACATAAAATGCTTTTTTTTACCTCCATTTAATAACAGATTTTCCTAGCATGTAGAAATTATTACCCTTTTTTCTTTCTATGGGTTCCTATTTGTTTACCATGGACAGTACAAATGTACACATAGACATCAAAATACAAAAGCTTAAGAAGCAATTTGTACTGCAAATTGTCCAGCTCTTACTGTCTACACATGTCTATTCGCATGTTTGTGTGATCTGCAAATACTGAATCATATGTACAAAAAGTTGGCATGACATCTGATGATTGTGGCCATAAATAAATTTTTTTCCATAAAAACTTGTTTTGGCGAGTCCCAAGAAACCAGGAAAATGGGAACATACGGAAAAATAAGCATCTTCCTAATTTGCAGCTTTTAGCTTTTACCAGATCTACCTCCGAAGTTCATCTGAATGGTATGACCTGCAGATAAAGAATACTTAGATTGTGGTTCTGGGAGGGTCCATGTTGCAGGGGAGGGGAGTTGGCTGAAGTCTATGACTTCCAGATATGTTGTTGCAGCTTTCCCAGCCTATGCCATGTAGATAAACATGTTGATGTTGTCTTCGTCTCTCCTCATGTATTTGTGTTCGATCAGCCACTCAATCTGTTCCTTAATCATCTTCTTGGAGGGGATGAACATGTTCTTAAGGATCTCCACTAGCTCTGTCTGCAGCTGGGCGTTGGAGATACGCTTTCTCATCTTCATGATCTTCACTATAGCCTCCTGTGGAAGAAAAAAAGTCACAGATAAGAAGGTCAGCCAATTTTTTTCTAAAACTTTCTGCTCAGGAATGTAACAAAAACAACGGAAGGGAGGAAGTAGAAATTGTGCACAGGGAAGGGGATAACCTTTGATAACCTATTATGGGACCTTTGACCTAACTTCCTGTCAGTGTCCTTGATGTTCAAGCATGTGGAAATAACTACAGAAACACAGGCAAACACACTGACACATTGGAAACAAAACCTCCATCCACGGAGGTAGCAAGACCACTGTGTCCGCTACAGAGAAGAGCTGTATGTGCACATGTGCCCCTTACCTGTGTCCTGAGTATCCTGAGCTGTATGATGCCTTCATTGTCTTCCTCCCGTGTTCTCTCAGTGGACAGCTGCAGTCTGCCAATCAGGTTGATCTTTCCTCTCTTCTGGAGTTTGCCATTTTTACTGTGATCAAACAAAATATTATGTAAAAGTACATACACGTGCATGACTCAAGACAAAGATATGTTAAACTACGAAAGTGTCTGACCTTTTGACCTGTTATTCTGCCTGTCAATCTTCCTCTCACATGCTTTCAACCAAACTGTCCAGATAAACATACACACAAACCTACATGTACATGAACCCTTATAAAACAGTACTTCCATACCCAGAAGTAAATAGAGCAAACTTAGCAACTACAAAGTGTAGTACATTATGAAAATGTATATTTACATGAGGCCAAACTCCTGGTTGACCCAGAAGACTGTCCCTTCCTGGAAGTCCTTGGGTGACTGAGCCTCAGGTTCATACACCAGGACCTGTCTCTTAATCTTGGGGAAGGCCACTAAAGACTGGAAAAACAATGAAAACAGTTCATGAAGTATTCAACATCAGACATACATGTACATGCATTAAACATAACATCAAGTACTGGTACAGAGGTTTAGGGTACTTGTACTTAAAAGTTGCTGAATAGAAATCTCTTTTATACGCATGCCAAGTGTTTTATCAAGCCGACATTTCAGTAACCATCTGTCACCTTCCTCCGTGCAATTCTAACTGGTTCACATTGCACAGCACAGGTGTCCCGGCTTAAAGTATATACGCAGTTACAGTACCTACAATGTGGTCCGAAACCTACAGGAATGTAAGGTGGTTCTAGCACTCACCCATAGAGTTCTCCTGAGCTCTGTATCGGGAAGCTCCGTGGCTAACCTCAGGTTCTCCAGCGGTATTCTCTCGTTAGGCCTCTGGTTCCACGAAAACAACACCGCCATCTGGAAGGTCGTGACCTCCAGGTCGTACTGACCCACTTTGTTTTTGAAGGTTATCTGAGGAAAAAAAGGTCAAAGTAACTGAATGATTTGAATAGTACAGAGCACTGCATTGGAATATGTAGCATCATGGGTATTTCTTTTTTTAACCTTTATTTAACCTTGAAAACTGTACAGCCTTCACTGCTTCTCAATTCAAGGGATACATGCTGGCTAATCAATAAGAATGGCAAAGGTGTAAAATTTGTACAAGTAAAAACGAGAGAACAACAGAGGTTACGACTTGTGTGCATCACAGTAAAGGTTACCCACAATGCCGTTGGACATGAGATGATGCCACTGCAGTTTCCTGCCGCTGTGAGTCTTCCTGTAGTACTCCTCCACCTCCGGGATGTAGTCCTCCAGCTCCATGGGCAGCGACACAAATACTCGCTCCGAACTACGCGCCCAGGCACCCGCGTTTAGTACCTTGATATTTACACAATCTGGGGAAGGAAACGACAAAACATGACTGATGACAACATCTCTCTCTTTGTCAGTCTCAAAAGACCATGACATTAAGTGCACAAAATAGGATAGTTCCTTTCCAAATTGAATTTGAGCTCAAATTCAAAATACAAGTAACAACATGTAAAACTTCCCTAAATGTTGTGACCAAAAGACTTCACTTTCAATTGTCAGCTCTGCCCCTGAGGCATCACCAAATTAGTAACAGTTTACCATGTATCATGCGACATACCTGCTATAGAACCATGCCCCTTGTCCCGAATGGCTTCCTTAAACTGACTGTTCAGGTCTTCGCTGACTTTGATGTCTTGGAACATCCTGGCCAGTTTGTTGACATAGTCAGCCGGCATGCCTACTTCCTGTAAACAGGTAAACACAAAATATTCAGTGATGCTGAGACTTTTTTAAATCCTAATATGACTTGAGAATACACTAAATGATTTGGAATATCAACAGCAAAAACAACAAAACTCAATACTAAGACATAGCCACACCCAGTTGCCATAGCGATATGTAAATGAGCCTCACCCTGAGCCACTCCACCATGTTTTCTTCCTTCTCGCTGTCAGCGGAACTGTCTAGGATGAGCCTGCGGGTCAGGTGGGCCTTGTGGTACCTCATAAACACATCCTTGTTCTGCACGTACTTCAGCACTAGTAACTACAATGCAAACAAAACAAAACGTCACGAACAAAATCATGTCAATCAAACATTCATATCATACCACAGCGGTAATCAAGATATAATTAAGATTTCTGAACTGATGGATTAAATTCTGGGGAGAAAAATTCACTGAGGTTGGTTTCCATCATGCTTTTCTTTTGGATATGTACACCACCTAGTAATTCATAGGAAAACTGCATGAGATACTGTACATCACTCATTCCTCAAATAATCATCACTTATGAAGTAAAATTAATATTTCAGAACAGATAAATTGTATGAAAGACAACTTGATTATACCAGATTACTTACCACATCTTTAAGTCTGGCATCTATTTCATCAGATGTGAGTTTCTTGCTGAGAGGAGTCTTTCTCAGCAGCATGTCGCAGTAGTTGGCTAACAACTCCGGACATTTGGATTCTGGCTGAGTCTTTGCTACACTGTGGGGATCAGAACACCATGCAAGTTGATATTTCAGTATCTTACTTCTTTTATATATTCTAAGCAAATATTCAAATTTAATGCCAATCCATGCTCTATCGACAGATGCCAGATTATTTGGCAAGAAAGTGATCGGAGTTGCAGACTGTAGATCGAACAGAATCAGAAAAATACCAGGCTAACTATAACATTTTATGTTTAATCTGTAATGAATTCCACTTACCCCTTTTGTTTAGAAGGAAGCTCTAACCTAAATACAGTTGTGTCGTTCACTACATGCTTGTAAGCCTGCAAAATACAGATCAGGAACAAAAAAATTGTTCAAAGATCAACTATTAAGCATATCGTACATTCCTAGCTGATCTCTGGCTCTCCTACGAAAACTGACAAGCATATACTGGTAGCAGTAAACTGAGGACAGAAAATGAAATGACCTTTTCTAGAACCTTTGACCTAACTTCCTGTCAAGTACATGTACTCCCTAAAGTGCCCAGCATATGGAAATGGACCGAATCACAAGCAAACATACAAACAGACCCGTCAAAAAAAAAAGCCAAAGGTAACCCCTATTTCTTTACTGTAAAATCTGCTCACCTTGTCCCTGGATGTAAGGAATCTAGGGTCGTCGCTGAAGGCTTTCTTGACTAGCATACTAAAGATGTTAAACAGCGACAGCAGCTGTTCAACATACTTCTCAGAATCCTGTAAAATAAAGACACAAAGAAACTTTTAAAGATAATCTTATAAAAATTCTCAACAAGGTGATAATTGAAACAGTTCATATTTGCATGGGAAAGGGAATGGAGTGAAATATGCTGCGTTTGCTCCCAAATGTGTCCCTACAAGTTCTACCTGGTACTTACAGAAGTGATAGTCTCTGCAGCAGCCACCATGTCGGCCAGGCCCTGGTTCTTGATATGCTCCTCCAGGTCCCTCAACATGGGGTTGATGCCGTCTGGCACCCGGTCTAACAGCTGGAACATTAGCAGCAGCTCTGCACAGGCAGGGCAAAGGTCATCGTCAGATAAGCCAATCTGATTGGTCAACAGTACATTTTGAAATTTTGAAATGAAACATCAATCACATACTCAACTAGTGACTGCTTTTGGATGCTTTCTTTCTAACTTAAGAATTGATACTAAAAATATGCATTCAGCTAATGATAAATAATGATCAACAATGCAGACATGTACACAACATAAAACCATTGCAAATATTTGAAGATTACTATATTTTTTGGTACTCACTGTCTGTTTCATTTCTCTTGATCATAACTGAGCACTCGGCAAGGATGGTTTCCTTGAAGGCAGTTACTAGTACGTGAACACAGCACTCTGTAAGCTGGGGGGGGGGGAGAGAACACAACAAGACATGAACAGTCATGACGCATTTAGAATTCCATAGGTCACCTTACTGCAAAAGCACTCAACTACTCCTTAAAATGTAATCAAAAATGAAGTTGCATACAAACAGACATTTCTGAAATACAATGTATCATATTCTTTACTCCACCAATGATATACTAGTAATTTTGAAAATACAGGAAACTGTTCTTATGCTTCAGATAAAGCTACATTTCCAAGTATAAACATTCTCCGTTTTTTTCTTGAGTGCTATGACCTGCTCACCTGCAGTTTGTAATGAAAGTGGTAGGTGTCATTTGTGACAGGGTCCCTTATAATTCATATGGGACAAATTATTGTAAAGGAAAAATTGCAATTATCTTTATGCTGGAGCAGTTGTTTTGTTTTTGCAGAAAAGTGACATATCACATATTTCATACGTCAAGTAACGGCACAAACATTTAAGGACAGATTTCCGTGATGCATTGATTATTATGGTGAGTTTGCGATTAGGGGCGTGAAAACAAAACGTGAGCTACATGTATGTGCGTCAGACAGCGTCTACATGCAAAAAGGCCTTACGGATCCCCTGTTTAAGCCACTCGCCCCTAAAGAACTGACCTGAAACTGCTGGCTTGCTACCTGTCCTATATGGAGGCTTTTCTGAAATATAAAACCATGCAACTGAAAAAGCTCTCACTCAAGCACTGTGCCAGCAATTTCATTTCATGCAGACAAGACAGCTTCTCTGAAAGCTCATCTGATTGACGAGCATTTCTCGTCAAGTTGTTAAAACATTTAGGCTGTGTAGCAACAAGCAAATGCATATGGAAGGTCGTACCATGTTGCAAGGCTGGTGGGGGTGGGAGGGAAGGTAAAAAAGAGGTTGGGTTTTAACTTGTTAAGACATTCAACAATGAACACAAGTGACAGGGTTAGTAAGGGTAATGCATTTGGGATGTTACATGTATATGTATATAGACATGTTTACATTTAGACAAGTCTACCTACAAAACAAAAAACTTCAGAAACTTAAATTTGATCAACCATACCTCTGTTACTACTTAATCAGTTGTTAGTATCATTAGTCACTAATTTGTACACTTCCAAATTGGTGTGAACAATTTGTTTCAACAATTCTTGAAGAGGTTAACAAAAAAAAGGGAGTTTTTTTCCACAAATCTTACCTGGTTTCTAACCAGATGCAGCTCAGAAGGATTCATTAGCTATGCTAATTTATGCATTTGCATACCTTTTGCACAGAGTCACACCCTTTCCTGGTTTCCAGGTATCTCATGGCTCGTTGTTCTTCCTCCTTTAGTTTCATATCAGCCTTAAGGATGAAAACAGAAATTCTGTCAAATATCAACTACAATTTTCATAAAATCATCAGTAAATCAGTATTGTATGATTTAAGTTCAGGACAAAGAAAGAAGAAAGAAACGTACATATTTCATGTAGTTCTGGACCCCGTTGTCAGCCAGGTACTGTGGTGCCTGTGCCTTGTAGAAGGCCTCCGTTGCCTCTATGTAGGCTGCCTCGAAGTTTTCCTTGTATATCTTTAGCTTGTCCTCAGGATCTGAGCATAGGTTCACTGAAAATACAGAAAACAAAAGATCGTAAAGTCTTGGTAAAAATTTTGGAACTTATCATACGCAGAAGCGATATTTTTAGTGTTATGATTTCGCAGTGAAGAAGCACTGCAAAAGTAAAACTACCACAAATATTACAAGATACACAGTACAGTAATTTCTACAGTGAAAAGGACCCCACCCCTTTGCTAACCCCTTTCCCCGTGCACCTACCATATGATTCCCTAACCCCGATGACCAGTTGTGAGTCGAAGGCCTCGCCCATCCTCTCCGAGTGTACCAGCTTCATTGCGCTGTCCTGGAGTCGCTGTTTGATGTTCGAGAAGATGCTCTGATTCCAGCTGTCCAACATAAGCTGTGGTAAACAACAACATGTCAACAATGTTTCCCCAGTAAACAAAACAAAGTGGATAGTTTTGCTACTTGTATGTCATTTTGTATCTGGTAATAAACATTTGGCATCCTGTAGCTTTTTGTAATGCTTGCACAACTGTGTGGCTATAGAAATAGAGATGGGTACTGACATATACACTACATGATACAGTTTACGGTTTTATTAAGAAAATCAGCCTCACAGCATGAGATACATATACAACAAGCTGAATTGCACTGATTTGTACACTTGTATGTAGAAAAACATCAACTTACATACAAAAAAGAAAACTCAAGCAACGCTAAACAAAATGCCTAACTATGGACACAGAAAGTAACAAGAACGTCCTAAAAGTAAAACAGTCATATTGGATATGATGTGGGACTGACTAACAAATTTCACATATACATGTGTATTTGCAGTGTCATAAATTTGTTTAGTTTTACAGACCTTCCTAACAATACTGTCCTCCGGGCTGTTCTTTTTCTGCACACTACTGACGGTCTTGCCAGCAAGGGAGGTCTCCAGCTGGCCGAACGGCTTGGGGAGGTACGAACACTGCGTGAAGAACTTCCTCCACTCCGCTATGTACGCCTTCAGCAAGGCTGTGTCGTCCTGATGGGTCAAAGTGCGCTGGAAAAAAAGAACAAAAATTCATGAAACCATGGCTTATAGTTCTGAACAACTGGAAAAATGGGACTAGAATATTACACTAATATAATAGATGAACACTTTTTGTTGTCTTGAAGAATGGTAAATATCTACAAATGTAAGTACATGTATTTGTAAAGTGTGTTATGATCCCTTCAGATCTTGTTTACAATACCACCAGCAAATTCTCAAGGTAACAGTCTAGCTATAATGTAAATATGAAGTTCATATTAGACTGTAATGTGTTCAACACATTACTTATATATAACCATCTACCATGATATTGCAAAAAAAAAAGAGAATATTCATGTTTCTTAGGGGAAAATTTAGAGCTGTGATTTAACTTTTGAAACTGTACATTGTCTTGAAATATTTATGTCTAACCAAATGTTATTTTTCTCTAGTCTTTCTTAACACCACAACAAGATATCCAAGATCAGGACCCCGATTCTATGGTATCCCTCCCTGACCACACCCCGGCCACACCCCTACCACGCCCACCTGCTGCGCTTGTTTGATGAACTCCAGGATGTCGTCCTGTAGGGCCTTGTGAACCTTCCCTGGTCCCTTGTCATCCCACAGACACACTGAGTGTACATCCCTGGACAAACAAAAACAAACAAACAAATAATCAAACACGTCTCATAACATCACAAAAAATGTATATGTTCCTCTTTAATGTATAATGTCATCATTCCTCAAGCAATTTATAGTGATTAAAAACAATACAGTAATTCTTCCAGTTCTCTAATCCAAGTTGTTAAGGCATTACAACTGACGACTGAACTTTCAAAAATCTTTTGTTACCAATCATGTCAACCTTTTACATGCTAAGAAACGAGTTCTGCCACTTATTTCCAACACAAAACATTAATCTAAAGAATAAAGATGACCCATACACTAACAGTTAAACAGGTATAGACTAAGTTGAGGGTTAATATAAAGTGATGTCTGCACCAGAACAAGTCCTGCCACTCAGCCCTGGTGACTGGCTCCTGACGTAACAGCTTCAGCACAGTGGGCCGCATGCTGTCCCACTTGTCTTCAAACTGAAGGCTGCCTTTATCCTGAAGAACACCATGATGACAATGTTAGATTTATATATTTTCTTCTCCAGAGCAGAAGGTTGGTTAGTGGCAGTTGAAGCTGATCCTGGCTGTCAATCATGATTAATAATTCAACCAATAAGAGAGTAGCTGCATGCCCATCATATTCATCCATTTCCAGGTCTTTGTCTTGCAGTTCCATAGCTATGGATGGGCAGAGCTACACCATATATGTTGAAATTTTCGCAGTGGTCTCTGTTTTGCAGTTGATACAGTGCACAATTTATGCATTTTCATGGTGACTATGCTTTAAAAACATCATGTTGGACATATTTAATTTTTAACTATTTTTTTCCCTTGTTTCTTTGATCATTTCCCTTTTCTAAACAAATGGTTATTGTTTCCATTCCAGATACAAGATCAACTTTTAAACTCCCATGTACGGTTCAAAGCTTAAGCATGAGTCTAGAATTCCCTCTTCTCCTGTTACTGTAAACAATGCTGTGAGTAACAGTGTGTTTAGTTTACAGGGCAAGGCTTGCCAATCTCCTACTACAAACATCTAGACTAGAAGCACATACCTGGCACATGGCCAATAGAAAATGTATACAATTTGTTCATCTACCTTTTTCTTCACATGGGTAGGTTCTAAACATAATTTAGTTCATATTTCCAAGATAACATTGTAAGTGTATTTGTCACACACATATGATGGACTGATTCAATTTCAATATTGTTAACGTTAAATGTTTTGTATGTAATTACGTTATCTACCTATCTTTTTTATGAGAACAAAAATAATTTAGCATTAATGGCTTTCATAAAATGCGCAGAAAAATGACAATATAATCATTTGTCATAGTGAAGCACTTTTGGTGAAACATGACTGAAAATTTAAAGTTTGGGAAAGAGATTGGACTGTTTTTATTACGACACAACAATTTCATACTTTCGAGCAAGTTGCGTTATCATGGCTGAAGAAATTGAAAGATCGATCGCCAGTTCTTTTTTATCTGCAAAATTATGTTATCTTCTTTCAAAATGACATGATTTCATAAATTTTGCCGTGGCTTTGTAAGATTTGAGATTATATATGATTACATTACATTATATATACTTTTCACTCTAGTATCTGCGTCAGACATAAATGAAGTATGGGGAAATCACTCGAAAAAATCACAGCATATGCGGTACCCCAAGATACTTTCACCAGAAAAACAGCAATCGTTGGTCGTAAGAGAAAACTAGAGGGACAACATCTGAAACGATACGTTTTCCTGAAAATTGTGGCTGATCAGTTAACAAAACTTTAGAAGAAACGAGCAGTGAGTAGACAAAAATGTCAGAAATATTTGAGCTGTGCTAAATTTACCTTCAACATTGGCGCCGCCATCTTGAATTTGTGGCCTCGGCAAGTCTCGTGAATTGCGAGATTACAGCATTTTCAACATTTTCTGCGATTTTCAACCTTTTAATCATTGATTTAGTAAACATGGCAGCAAATGAAATATATGTGACATTTAAGACCATATGAGCTACATATTAGGTGAAGTTTACTCATGTTTTTGATCAACGAGATTTGGATATGGTCATGTGCCTTCACTACATTTTCCTTCCAAAATGGCGGCAGAGGACCAGAAAGCACATGGAGGGATCCCTCAAATGCGATTTGTGGTGAGTTTGCGCGTTTCTTCCAACAATGTAGCGTCTGGAATTCTCAGGACAAACTCTAGGAAAATTTTGATGTACGATTTTGTGGACTGTTTGCCTTAGTTAAGTTGCTGCGTGCAGTTAAAGTGAGCTTTTCGCACCCCACCCCTGTCTCTCTCTCAACTTCTGCCTGACAATGTGTGACATGCATGTAAAAGCGTGTATACATGTTGTATCATACACTCTTGTGCTTTGGTTTGGTGTCAAGAGACTGAAATGACGTTGATTCTGTAGCTCTTTTGGTACGTGTTGGAAAAGTGGAAGCTTCCAACTAAAACAAATGACATGTTCTATCAGAATTGAATTCTGAACACTTAGTGGATCTGTAACGTTACAACTGTGGGTAGAAGAAAAATTATGAACATGGTAATGTGGAGGGTTTGAAAGTTGTAAATTGTAAAAAAAAAAACTTGCAGTGGATTGTGGCAGCAGTTTTTACATAGTGCAGTACACAAACACACAGTGACACACATCACACTATAAGTTATAACAAATATGGTTGTTTGAACCATGATGCTTTTGACAGTGGATTGACAGGAAGATGACCCATCATGCACCAGAGTGGGCAGTATATGGAGGAATTCAGGAAGTGGTTACATGATTACATTACATTATACAATCCCCTCCACAGTTCCAATGCATTAACGAAAACCCCAAACACTTTGCAGAAGTCTGAAATCTCCAATTCTTGTTGCCGTATATACAGGAAGATGTGGATGCTTACATGAAGGAACCGGAGCATGAAAATGCAGAGAAAGTCCTCCGTAAGCTGGATGAGCAGTATCAGAAATACAAGTTCATGGAGTTCAACTTACAGCAGAAGAAGAACAGGTAATTAATGCAAGTTCAAAATTATAAAAAAAAATTATTACACATTAAAAATATTTTTGGAATGACGTATAGAAAAAAAAAGAAGAGAGAAGAGAAAAAATAACAATGTCCTTTTCCTTTTTTAGGCATCCAGATTGTTTTTCCCTGATTTTTGTTATACCATTCTTTTGCAGGTTGAAGGGGCAAATCCCAGAAATTAAGACAACATTAGATATAATTCAGCACATGCAAAGCAGAAAGGTATGTGATTATCAGAGTTTCTGACGTTTCAGAGTCTGACGTTTTCAAAATCATATCCAGTTGCTTGAGTAACTGCTTTTTGGCATACCAATGTCTTTCTGAAAAAAGTGAAGACACATGGTATAAAAAAATGCAATAAATGTCAATTTTAGTTACTTTGCTTTGTCTCACTGATTTTGAAAATGTTTATCCAATGGTGCTGTGCAGGGTTCCAGTGAGCCAATGGAGACCAGTTTTATGATGTCAGACAATCTGTATGCAAAGGCAACCGTCCCTCCAACAGACAAGGTCTGCCTTTGGCTGGGGGTACGTACCATATTTGGTCATCTTGGTATCACCTTATAAGGACACATGAATTGCAACTCCACACAGCTGATACATTTGTAGGGGTAACATGTTGTTAAGTGTAATATATATTTTAACTATCTGCTGCCACATCATACACCTGTGAAGCTGGTGTGTTACAACTTACAGCTATATTATATACTATATGGATGCAGATTCAAATCTACAATGTATGATGTTACCATCCACAGGCCAATGTCATGTTGGAGTACAGCGTGGATGATGCTGCTGCTCTGCTGGCCAAAAACCACAGCGCAGCCACCTCAAGTATGACTCAAGTGGAGAAAGACTTGGAGTTCTTAAGGAACCAGTTGACTACCACAGAAGTCAGTATCCTTTTAACGAAAAAGATAAAAGATCTGCTTGCATTTTGCTTAAGGTACAGGTATGTCACTGGGAAATGTAGCATGCATTACCAGAAATTGTTGTATTACATGTACTATTTATATTATTTGTTTCAGAATACTTTGGTCTGCTGCCGTGTGTATGGTTTTTGTCTTGCCAACAATTTAGGTTTGTGCCTTAACCAACCACCCACCCAGACATGGCCAGAGTTTTCAACTGGGACGTCAGAAGACGACAGGCAGCGAAACTACCTTAACCCTTCTCATAATAGTTACAGTTACATGAACTGCAGCACCCCACCCTTCCAAAGCTAACTGATAATAAGCAGGCCCCTAACTTGTAAACAGTTTTTGTCTGGACTGTGCTTGATACATGTCCAGACATGGTTTATGTCTTAGGGGCCTTTAATTTTGACATATTACCCAAAGTTCATCACACTGCGCATGTACAGTTCACACTGTGAACTGGCTTATTTGCCTCTCCAAGAATTAAGTTTCTGTGTGCTCTGCCACCTTTGTTTTTGTCACCAAAGATAGGTATTGATTTGGTTTGTTTCGACCACATGTCACCAAGTGCCTGAGTGTAGCACATCCTGTGTATGCTATTTTTTTTCAGTGTGGGTTCATGTTCTAACCTCTCTGCAGAGTTAGCCATGTAAGTATGCACATGATGGAATAGAGATTTATTCCCACATCATTTAGATTGAACAAAGAAGACAAAAAAACAGATCTCGCTTGCTATTTCCTAGCTTGCTATTTCTAAGGATTGCTTTGTGTTCGCCTTCAAAAATGAAAACATTAGGTTAGAAATACCGATAGCAATTTAAGGTAATGGTGTGTGTAAAATAAGTAATGGCAGAAATCTGGGTGTATGTACTTAACAATGCATAGTTATGACTGTATGCATCATGTTTTTTTGTGTTCATTGGTGATTGGTTGTGCAACATGAAACAGCAAATATATTGAATTTCTGTTCCTTTCTTTATTTTTGACTGATAGTCTTTAAGTGTGTACAAATGCCATGTATACATTTGTATATATATATTTTTTTCTACCTTTATTGTTGTGTTTGCCACGTTTTCTTGATAATAATGTTGACTATAATCTCATGATTATACATGTATACATGTATGCATGATACATCTGACAACAGCACTCTTGGAATTTTTGTTAAATGGTTTCTTTGTTAAAATCTTTCACAACAATAGAGTATCCACATACATGTATGTGTAACTTCCAAACATACCAAATCCCACTGCAGGGCAAAAATACCCAAATGACACGATACAAGTATGTGCAAGAGTCTCATTTCAATGCTATTTTGTGCGGGTCTTCCGGAACTTTCCGTCCACGTGACAGGCACTCGTCAAGCCACCTGGTGCTCACAACAGCTGCCTCTGTACAGTCGGCCGCCACCTGCTGCAGCACCTGTTTAGGGATGATAATGAATTCGGCAGCTGTCAGAATAGACACGGTGCAGCAGTGAAACATAAGGAACACAACTTGAAATCAAGAAGCCACATTTTTCAAAGATGTACGCCTCTGCAGGAATTGTTTGGGCATCAAGTAATAAATGTGTGTGTTGGAAGCTGAAGAAAATCGTATGGTGCTGTGTCCTTATATTTTTGATGTGATATTACTGCACATGACATTCAACTGTAATGGGCCTCCTTTATAGTCCTGTCCCTAATCCTAACCCAACTTTTCAGTCAGTACTAAAGGTTGAAAGTAAGTCTAAATTACTAGTTTTTAAATTACTGAAATTCTGCATTGTTTTACATATATGTAGTGCACAGGTTCCCACCTGATCATCACTGCTCCATGAACCTACCACCACATGGGTTGTCTCTTCTGTAGGGTACTCACAAACATCTCCGTCATAAGTGACAATGGTTAAGGATACAAAAATGGGAACTAGCTCTTTATTATTATACTGTAATTCAAACATCCTCATTTTGTGGGTGGGTTGTCAAAAATTTGGCCAATGTTAGACACTGATGGCAGGGGAAATTTGGCATTTTTAAGGGTATCAGGTACTTGATAATCTTTCCAATGAGATGACTCATCAAATTTGAATTTTCAAACTTTTTGTGATGATTGTAGTTAAGAACAACCTGAAGCGGGATGCTGGGTTCAGAAACATGGGACGAGTGGAGAAGAAGAACCCACTGTCTCCCATGTTGACATCCTCTTATGTCCCTGTTCAGAAGTGTTACATGTAATTCTTACATTTCACACAAAAGGATATGCCACAAGGTATCTTGTGTACTTCTTCCTTTGTTCATCGGTGACATCATGTAAGAACACCACCACACCCTGCATAAAATTTGGCAGTGAGTTCCCTGCAGTGGTATGGGACACAGGAGTACTTGTAGTCTGTTGAGAGGTGGAGGCACTGGCTCCAGTAGTCTTGGCCACAGCTTGCTTCTTGTTCTTCCGAGGGTAGTAGTAGCTACACCAAGGTCAAGGTTATAATGTACAGGCAGGTATACATGTATTACTCAAGTGTTATAAAAACTAAACAAAAACAACATTTTACCCGTAGACAAGCCCGTCCCTTCACAGTGCAAGCCTTGGGTTACTTATCTGTTCAGCTTTTCACAGCAAAAAATTGAAAAGATTTTTGCTAACCACCTATCTGGTACTGCCCTGCATTTTCTGCATGTTCAGTCAGAGGGCACTTACAGTCAATGTAGTGAAGTGCCTTCTCTTATCCCTTAGCCTTTTTACGTTCAGGCTAGACACATAGTGGATTAACAACCCACTAACCCTACAGCTTAAAAATGGCTTCACATTCACCTTTACTTCATATGGTGAACACAAAAGATACATGTATGTGGGTATCCCCCTGGAGGAGAGGTGTTTCCTGATCAGTCTCTCTGTGCCGTACCAGTTGAACCCAGGGGTGTTGTACCCTATTCTGGGCAGGTGGACACTGGCTACATGGAAATACACGGAGAAAAAACAAAGTTTGCCTCTATGTTGTTATACAATGAAACACAGGCTAGGATTAGGATGAGAAGAAAGATTGGATTAAGGTATCCCCATGTGCATGTACTCAATCCCCCAAAGAAACACATTGTACCTTCTAAGAGGAGTGGCTATTGTGGCTATCCATACTGTATAAAAGTTATGACTTCATTTTAGTTACAACATTTAAATTTTGAAAAAATGTGCTGTAGCAATTAGATTACCTGCCTTGAGGTGTTCATGGTAACATAAACTACTGACCATGCAAAGTGAACAAGGTGGTTTATGATGATGGTCATGTACATTGTAAGTCGCTGGTCAGGCCTGAGACAGACACAACGAAAGCAAGATTTCCTCTAACTGTTCAAGAGACGGACCTTTCATTCTCCTTGCTGCTGTGCAGATCCTGACCAGTCCCTGATTCAGGGCTGACAGTTTGATCCCTGAGAGCTTGTTGTTTCTGTCCCGGTCCTGGGCCACTATCAGGGCTACCTGTGTCCCAAACAAAACACAAGGACAACACACACACGTTAGATCACATTTAAACACAGACAAAATAGTGAAGAGATCAAAATGTCACAGTAAAAATCATTCATTTTAGCGGGGACTTAATTTCGCAGGAGGGAAAATTATGTTTTTGCAGTGCCTAAATTTGCAGTAGAAACAAAACAGTTAAGTACAGAAATCAGGAGACAAAATGTACCCCGGTATATCTGAGGTGTCATCGTGACTTTGCTGTCACTGTGAAAATCATGAAAATGAAATCACTCACTGCAAATATTTCAATATTTGCATTGTGTTGAATTCTTCATTGTACCAAGTTCAAAAGTTGACAAAACTGCAGAAAAAGAAGAACTTACCATGTCACTGCCCTTGGTTCTACTTTCTCTGTCATCCACAGCAATCAGGTGGGCATCTCCAAGAGCAAGATCTGTCATGAAGGAAAGTCACAAACTGTTTTATCTTTATAGCCAGTTACATTCCATACTTTGCACAACTCATTTTCACCTGAGCTGAGTGTGGATGTACAAATGTAAGTGCCTTTCCCAAGGCCACAACACTGGGGTATGCTCGGGATTCGAACCTAGAACCTTTAGATTTCGAGTGAATAATCCCCCAACCACAAGAAATCTATAAACGTTTCAGAATCTGTAGTAACTGTAGTTGTTGTTTCACACACCTTTCATTTTTCCAGCTAACTGGTACTGCATCTCAGGCTGGGAGGACCTGGCTGACAGGGCAGAGAACAGACCGCCCTGGCCCCACGACCCGGAGTCATCTGTAAACAAACATGATACATCAACAACAACAAGAAATCAAGCCCTAAGTTCACTCCATAATTAACATATGTAGATTTGTTTGTTTCTCGCTGATTCCATTGTATCCTTATGCATTTTCCCACTTGTTTTCATAACGCAACTGACGTGCATATACGTGTAGTAGGAAATTGAATTCCTGACAGGAAGTGAGATAACCTTTTCTGGGACCTTTGACATAACTTCCTGTCAGTGTCCCCAACATGCCAAGTAAATAACTGCATGTGTATTATTCGCAAAAGAACATGAAGACTTGATTTGGTAAGATTTCAGCTGAAGAAACTGACCAACACAGTGCACAATGATGGCGTCCTGGTCCCCTGTACACTGAGGATGGGTGACGTCTCCCATCACGTAGTTAATGGCCCTCCTGTCAACATCCTCCTCTTCATCATCATCATCTGTTATCATGGTAACCTCATCATCACTCTCCTCCTCGTCTGTTTCCATGGCGATATTGCAGGTGGTGTAGCCATGTGACTTCCACTTTGCTTCTCTGTTATAAATGGGAGTACTAGTGAGTCAACAGTTAAGAAATGTCAACAGTAACACCTAAAGCCATCAAAGCTGCAGTTGCCTTTTCAAATCAATGGTAATGCCAAGTACAAAACTGAATGTAGCCCCACCTTCTCTCTTTCTGCTTTTGTGCTCGTCTCACATCTTCTTCCTCCTTTAGCTTGGCTCTCTTGGCAGCTGTTTCCTGTCTCTGGTGGGAACAGGACATCCAAATGATACAGAAATAAATCAAATATATCTCCAAAGGAAAACAAGAACAACAAATCAAAGATTTCACACCTCTTGTTGTGAAATTTTTGTTTTATTAATTATTGAGAATTTCTCACTGATTCTGAGCAATTTTCTGTGTCTCTTCCTCCCAGCCTGCAGGGAGACCAATATGACCTCAAATTTGACCTTGCTTCCTCCCAACCTAGGGGAGACCATTTTGACCTCCAACTTGACCTTCCTGTCAGTCCTACCTTTTTCTTCCGTTCCTCCAGCTCCTCTGGGGTCAGCTGTTTCCTCTTCCGTGTGGGGAGGTCAGCCAGACTGACCAAGGGAGCCTGGATATTACAAGGAAATAACACATCAAGTACATGTAAATTTGAAAACTACTAATATGATTTAAGAAAATTAGTTTTAAAAGACACCTGATGTTGTGGTGGAAAGGTCGCCACAAAGTAAAACTGTTGTAAATATTTTAAGAACAATATCATCCAACCAAATTATAGTTACCTTTTTCTTTCTGAGCCTTCTTTCATCTGACAGTGTGTCCTCCTCTATAGAAGCCTCCACTGTTGAGGAAACAACACAAAACTTAAACACTTGCAAGATGGGAACAACAGACGATAAACTGAATAGTATAGAAGTATTTCGAGGACTTTGACAATGAAAGGGCAAAGAAAAGTTACAGTGCCGATGATCATACCTGCTATAAGAGTCTCAAACGCCTTTAGATCGTCAGCACTTGGTTCCTTGGAGTAGTCCTTTCCTTCAAACACATACATGTTGTTGGCTGTGGGCAGAAAATTGACACAAGGTAAGCAGTTGTGTTTCCACTACTGACAGCATCCAACAGTCAGTGATTGTCTCCCTGCCATTGTCAAACACTGCATTGGCAGGGGAATTTTTGGAACAGAATCAAGATTTCAGACCTCCATGTTGTATTTTGAGTTGAGAATTCTCACTGATTCTCTGCATATCCCACAACCAGACCATTTTGACCTCCAATTGTCCTTCCTGTCAGTCTGTGGTTTCCCCTCACCTCCTGTGATACTACTGCATTCATTGCCATTCAAATAACTACAAACACACAAGCAAGCTAACACACAAAAAGCCATTAAAACTGCCTTTCATTGATGAATTCTTGTTGAATTTTGAGTTAAGAAAATAAACAAATACACAGAGGTAAAAAAAAAGGAGGTAAAAAATGTTTGGTCATAAATTACCAGTTTCCTCCTCTTCTGGATCCCCCTCCTCCTCCTGGTCCTGTGATGCAGGAGTGACTTCCTCAACCCAGTTACCACGGTGACTGGCTCCCAGCATGGCCTCCAGGTCTGCATTATCCAGACTCTCCAGGCTCTCATCAGTCTCAAACAGTTTATCCAGTCCAAACTTCAGGATGTCAGAAAGCTGAAGCAGGAGAACAATAATCAGGCCACACCCATTTATTTCGGATCCTTGGTTGAAAGTATAGCAAGCTGACATTGTAAAACAGAGGGCAGGGAGGAAAATTTGAATACATCTATGTAGTACACTAAGATGTTTACCTGTGCACCACTGTCTGCTATAGAGTTCAAGCCGGAGAGCTGGCCTCCCTCGATCACACTGTTTGTCAACTTCAACTTGGCCTCTGCCCTCTTCAGAATGATCTCTTCTACTGTGCTGCCACCAATCAGGCGTATGATCTTCACAGGCCTGCAAAGAAATACAGAACAATAGTTTGAACAAAAACATGAATAAGAAGAGTGTAATTGGGTTTACTAATGATGAATTACAAAATATAATGTCACGTACTTCTGAAAAAGAAGACAACTGTCACCTGACCTGGTCTGACCAATCCTGTGAGCCCTAGCAGCAGCCTGTAAGTCGTTCTGTGGGTTGAAGTCACTGTCCATGAAGATGACAGTGTCGGCTGAGGCCAGGTTTAACCCCTGTCCACCTAAGGAAGGGCAGTTGTAACACATAAAAGCCTCAAAAAAGCTGCATCTTGACAAACAAAAACTTAAAGTTTTTTTATTCATTATGAGTACATAGTAGTGTCACAATACATACATTACAAAGGCTAAAAATACCACAAATCTTGTCGATGAAATAATGTTCATGGTGGTCTTGCAGTTTTTGTGGTGACCAGTATCTACCAAGTATATGTATTTCTGTAAGCATTGTAAAGAATGAGCATCACTCTTCCTACCTGCCCTTGTGCTGAGGAGAAATACAAACACATCGTCTTGTTGGTTGAAGTTCTGTATGGCGAGATATCTCTCCTCCCCTCTCACAGACCCATCCAGTCTCTCATAGCTGTAACCTGGTGGTGGGAACAAAATATTGCTGATTACTAAAGAAGTTAATTCTGCATAATCATGAAGTCAGGTCGACTCTCTATTAGCTATGGGGTTTGGCAGAATGTACATATAGGAGGACTAAAGTAATTTTTACCTCTGAAGCCAAGATAGTCCTGAAGGATGTCCAGAACTCTTGTCATCTGGGAGAACACCAACACTTTGTGGCTTCTGGAATAGGAAAATACACGCATGTTTTATGCTAGAGTGTCCAGATGGTGTTGTCCATAGTGCTGAAATGCCATCCTGGCAAATAACAATGCTGTTGTAATGTATAAATTGCTTTCAAGAAACAATATAATGTAGCTAAAATGTTTTTCTGTCTCCTCAGCATCATTTAAAATCAATATTTTTCATACCAAATGAACATTTAACTACATGTACTAAAACATTTACTATGGTAGTAACAGTGTCTTTACTTTTTCTTGAGGTAGGAGAGGAGCTGGTCTAGCAGAAAGAGTTTCCCACTCGCTTCAATCAGGTGTTCTCCTAGTACATATGGTTCTGGTTCAACACCTGAAATGCAAAATCACTAAAAGTCAACTCATTTATGTAACATATTTAGATGTTATTAAAAAATAGTGATGAAGGCTTGTAAAATGGGCCACCTTATCTTAAATTAAAATCAAGTTATTACTCTTTGTTTTGAAGTTATCAACTCATTTCTGTAAGTTGATGTATTTCGGAATACAGATAAGGAACACAATGTGCATAAATGGCAGACCGTACCATCAAACAGGTAGGGGTGGTTGACACACTTTCTTAACTGCATCAAGATATTCATCAGGCGAGTTTTGGTAGGACCTGGACCAACCGTCTGAAAGGCGTCTGAAAAAAGAAATACAAAAAAATTACACTTAAGCTTCAAATAGACACATTCATGTAAATGTTTTAAATTCAATTATGCAATGGTAGATATTTGTAAGCTTTTATCAGAAAAATAATAGCCCCTCTTTTGGATTCTACACACAAGACAAAACAATTTTATTGAGTCAGACTTTTTAAATATTGAAATGTTTGAGGGGCCTTACTTTTGCAACTTTGTTAGTGAATGCTCCACCACAAATTCATGACACTACAAACTACACTGTGACAGCCTCCTTTCCCCATTTACAACAAAATTAAGTCCCCACAAAAATAATCAAATTTCCAGTACCTAAGTCCTTCATTAGGATAGCCTTGTAGTACTTCTTCTGCAGACTTGTCAGGCCATGGTACAGGACCACCTGTGAAAAATAGCAGGGCAAAATACTGTAGATGAACATTTTGGCAATGAATTCTAAATAAAAACATGAAGGACACAAAGAAACATTGCCTTCCTTTGAGGACAACAACAATGAGACATCCTTCATGAGCCTAGCTCCTACTTTTAAGAGAAGGAGGAGGGAAATGTATTGACTTGTCTCTACCAGACAAGTGACTGGACATAGCACACACACTTTTTCACAAACTTGAAGAGTTGATATCTAGAAGTACATGATGACATGCAAAATGCCTAGAGTTCTAAAGGAAAGACTTATAATGTACACATATTTATCTATGACACAACAAGGATGACAGGTCAAGCTAACACGAACTGACCTCTGACTTCTTTGGCAGGTCCTTGATGACCTCTGACTTGACCCTCCTCAGTAAGAATGGCTGCAGCAGTGTATGGAGCTCCTGTCTCACACCTGTGTTTCAGATCATAATATCAAACTCTGGTAAGAGACAGCCATTGTAACATACAGTAACAAACACTTGGAAGAAATTAACACCTAAAAGTGGAGAAAAATTCAGACAACATTTGACCACTTACTAGAGCTGTCATTGTCCACTGCACTGTATCTGTCTACAAAGTCTTCCCCGTAATGTTGCTTGAAGAGGGAGGGGGCCACAAAATGTAGAAGTGAGAAGAGCTCCTCCATGTTGTTCTGAACCGGAGTTCCAGTCAGCAACAGATGGTAGTGGATGGTGAACTGGACAGGGTGTAACGTTAATGTTGTTGGAGAGAATAATCTGCTGCATTTTGTTAAATGTTGTTAAACTATTTTTTTTACATGATGTTGCTTGACAGAAGTTTTCTAAGCCTTAATCTATGATATAGGACTGAATAATCTGCTGTTGTTTTACAGAAAATAATGTAGTTTCGGCAGAATTTTTTTTTCTGTGATTTTCAGTGATCTGCTAAATGTGTTGTTTGTTTCGAGTTGCATGACAGAATAATCTGCTATGTTTTCTATAGTATTAACACTCTGCCAATTATCCTATGACTAATACAAATGTTGTGGAAAAAACTTTCTAAGTTAGCAGAGAGATGGTTAACCAAGTGTTGTCTTACCTCCTTGAGAGTCTGATGAAGAAGAGAGTTCTGATTTTTCAGTCTGTGAGCCTCGTCCACTACAAGAGCCTGCCACTCAAACCTACAAAACAACAAGAATGGGTGGGATGAATGTTCCTGACACTACAATCATCATGGTATATCATCATAATTATATATTTCATCACAGCCAATTTGTTTTAACTCTGACTTCCTTACGAAGCTAAGCCTTTTGGACACACAACATGCATTGCAAGTATTTCTAATGACAAACTAAGTATAACACACAATTTATACACACACACACAAACACACACTCACTCACACATAAACACACACCACACACAAATGATTTAGACATGAGCTTTTTTTCAAGTACAAAAAATGTACAGTATGGTGAGCACTTACCTTCTGAGAAATGATTCATCCTTCAGGCAAATCTGGAATTTGGAAAGACAGCCAAAAGTTTCTGAATCACTTGATCTATAATTGGGTCCTAGATTTACAACTTTGACAAACTAAAACAACATAAACTTAAGAAAAATGCATATTCCATTCATAACAAAAACATCAAATCATTCATTTTACCTCATACGTAGACAGCATGACATGGAAGTCCCTGTGTCTACGGAGAGAGTGTCGAACCTCCTCTCTCTTTTCCTTGTGTCCCACATACACTACTACTTCCAAACCTGGAGAAAACCTGAGAAATATAGTCATATTATCAGTTACTGACCATAAAAGTGGATGTACAAGGATTTTGTTCTTGAGTATGTTTGTGTGTGTGTCCATAGTTATTTGTGCACACTAGAGTCACAGGAAGCAAAGAGGAAGTGGACCAACACATGCCATTTCCAAATATAAAGCCTGTACTTGTTCATAGCAATTTTCAAACATATCTTCTTAAAGACTTAACTACATAACTTCAGTACCTCTTGAGTTCTTCTTGCCAGTTCCTGAGAACTGAGAGGGGACAGAGGATCAGGAATGGACCGCTCACATCCAGACTTCCATGGAGAAATGTCAGGAAGGCAATGGTCTGGGGAGATAAAAAGGGAAAACATATTCTGCTAGGTCACAGACATCTGTATCCACCATCCTAAGAAAATGCATCCAAAGAGATCTCCAATGCAATGTCTCACAGATACATGAATAGAATGGATAAAAAAATCTCCAAGCAGAAGTTGGGAGGTTTTAAGAAATTTTTCAACAGTTTAGAGTTTTTTCTGAGAAGTAGGGTGTAAGGAAATACTCGACTGTCCAAAAAAACATTGCTACTATCTATTTTTGCCTTCCAATATCTGCTTGGAGATTATCTGAGATAGAAGGTCCCACCTGACAAGTCTTCCCAAGGCCCATCTCGTCTCCTAGGATACAGCCATGGTTTCTATGGTAACGCTCGATAAGCCAGTTCACCCCATCTAACTGATATGGACGGAGAGTGATGTCTGAAAAAAACACCATCATCAAATATGATCACATATGGCAAAAAAGTTCCATGTAGATGCTCACTGTCATTCCAAGCAGGATACTCATCATCGTGCACATTTTGGACTGTACGGATGATTCGAAATGATCAGGCTATTTCTAAACCTGCTTTCTGACACCACTATCAATCTGAAGGCCCTTGGTAGCCGCGGCGACTGTTGCAGGGCTTCTCTTGCTTGCAGTCTTTTACATTAATGTAAAAGACTGCAAGCAAGAGAAGCCTTGCAACAGTCGCAGCGGCTAGGGCCTTGGTTTTATAAACATCATAACAAGTGTGTGATTCTGAACTTTTCATGATACCGGTAGTTCTCACCTTTGAGTCCCGAATTTTCCAACTCCACCGCAGTCACGGCTGTGAACCCGGTATCCTGGTCATTCAGCCGGTTGATCTTGCTCTGAAGTCTGTCCATGAGTTCTGTACACCGCTAAACACCACTGTCCTGCAAGCTTGTACGACGTAGTGAGTAATATTTCTAGCGAGAATCGACTTTTGATAAAAGGCGCGCGGGCGTGTTTCTACTTGTTAGTGTGACCTTTCAACTCAGAATATTACACTCGACAAATAGGGGTGGCACAATTTGATAATAAATATAGTTTTTGCACGGTATTACTATTAGGGAACAAACTACAATCGAGAATACGGCTTTTATACTACAAAGAAATTGAATTTTTAATCTATTTTGATTGCATTCATTTTGATAGAAGATTATAATTTTGAACCGTACTTTGGAATTTCCCAACGTATGACGTCACTTCTCAGCGCGGGCCATTCAAACACGTATCTCCAATGAAATCAGATGTTGGGGAAGAAAGTCGTAATATTTTCTCATTTTCTGACTACTCCAACCACCATGTAGATATTAGAATAGAGAATTGTTTTCTTGGATGGAATGTCCCATTTCACTGACCAGAAAATGTGTTTGTTTTAACTATAACAAGTTAAAGCTGACCTTCTAAATGTTCAAATTTTCATGGTTTTATTCTCGGTTTTATTCATTCTTCCGCGGACTCATGACACTTCAAATATGCGTTTCCAACGCACTACTGTACTATTAGAATTTTTCAACGGCCACCTTGTAAAACACCGCGAAAACTTCAGTTTACAAGCTATTAATAGTAGAAATATGGCAGTAAAACAATCAACATACAAGTATAGCAAGGAAAACAAAAAGTGTCATCAGTAGTTAATGATAATTACATTTATTCCCATTGTTAAAAGTATTTACAAGTGAAATAAGATGAATTTCTTCAAGATCATATTGTTACATTCTGCCAAGGAGGTTAAATTCTAACCTCGTTGATTCTACCATCTTTGTGATGTATTTCATTTACTTGTAATAATTTGATGTTGAAGACACATCAAATGTAAGCTATGCCTGTTTAGGGCAAGCTAAGCTTCTGGGGTCTGACCGGAAGAACAGCTGCTAGAAAAGAGATGTACATTGTAGCTGGGCTTTATATACACCACCAGTATAATTGTTCTTCATTACATTTATCAAAGAAGATACATTCGTGGCCATAGTTACGTTGTTTGTGATCAAAGAAGTGGTGATGTAATCTGACATGTTTGTTTACTATTGATGTCATGGATTTATGGATAGTTTGCTGTTCACGGATTGGATAACTGACTGATTCAATCTTCCTCACGCTGTGCTGTGAAATGAACTGTGGTGCCGCAGTTGTGATGAATAGCTCGCTGTTCATGATTGGGTAGCTGACTATTCATGATGGTGGTGCAACGGGCTATATTCTGACTGTTCCTAGTGGTGGTGGTGCAATTTGAAGGGCAGCTGGCTATTCGTGATTCGGCCCCCCTGAAGTCAGGTGCTAGCTGTGATAAAACGTGTTGACTATCATTGGTGGTATGACTTGACCGACAGTTGGCTGTTCGCGACCCGACCCCCTGACATGGAGCTGTTATATGACGTGTTCACTATTGGTGGTGTAAGTGAATGGACAGCTGGCTGTTCATGACCTAAACCCCCCTGAAGTACTGCTGTTACTGCTGTTATATGACGTGTTCACTATTGGCGGTGTAAACTGACGGACAGCCAGCTGTTCATGACCTAAACCCCCTGAAGTACTGCTGTTACTGCTGTTATATGACGTGTTCACTATCGGTGGTGTAAATTGACGGACAGCCAGCTATTCATGACCCAACCCCCCGAAGCGGTGCTGTTATATGACGTGTTCACTATTGGCGGTGTAAACTGATGGACAGCTGGCTGTTCATGACCCAAACCCCCTGAAGCGGTGCTGTGATAAAATGTGTTGACTATGGGCGGTGTAAGTGGATGGATAGTTTGTTGTTTCCCACATGCGGCGTTCACTGTCGGCGGCGAAATAACCCAGTGATGATCCATGACCATGCTGTCGGCCAGGCAACGGTTTCGGCACAACTTGTACTTCAGTTCGAGTCGGACCAGGAAGGCGATGAACGCAACAGTTATGAGCAGGCTGACTACACTGATGATGACTGCTGAAACTTGTGGGCTTCTAATCTCGATGGAAGGAAGAGTACTATTGTCTGTGCTGGTTTGTATAGTCCCGGTTATCGTCATTGTTAGGTTGTTTTTATTCTCTGCGTTTACGTTCATTCCATATGTGACAATAGAAACGTCATTTTCAGAGCCTTGGTTTCTCGCGTCATCCGTTGTCACGGTAGTTATTGAAGCAGCTGTTGTAAGGTTGGGAGCTCTAGTTGTAGTTTCACAATCCGTCAGCTTGCTAGCCACTTCTGAAAAGAAGGCATTTTGAATTCCCGGCAGATTTGGAGTGGTGCAATAGAGCTTTGACCTTTCTTCGTTGGCAACGAGAAAGCAGGCAGAACACGACGAACAGCAAGTCTCCCACCCTCCCGCACACGCTTCTAAACACTTTATCTTGGCAATAAGCCAGTACATGTCACAGTCACAGTGATAGGCAAGTCCGTAGAGGAGCACCTTCGTCACCTGTGGCCACCCCACTTCGTATGGAGAAAACGATGTGAGTGGGTTAGAGGACAAATCTACGAACTTCAGCTTAGGAAGATGGTCGATCACAGCGTCCAGCTTCACGTGTTGAATCCGATTCATCGACAAAAGGAGCGTTGTTAAAGACGGCAGATTTCTTAAAGACATCCAGGACATGGAACTTATAGAGTTCCTACTCAGGTCCAAGACTTCCACTTTGGGCAACATAGGCAAGTCCTTTACGCTTCTGATGAAATTGTAAGCAAAACTGAGTCGGCCCGCGGCGTTCCACGGTATGTCAGTGGGTAACGCCGTAAGACCCATATAATGACAAAATACTGACTTGTACCGTAGGCTGGTCAAGATTTTAACTGAACAATTGGATGGCAGGCCGTAAGATACTGGCCAATGAAATCCGAAGATAATAAGCAAAATCAGTCCACTTACATTCATGTTTATCCCTCTCTGGCAAGCGGTATTGAAAGAGAAATCGCGATGCCACAACCGTCTTCAGTGTCTGAAAGTTCACGAGTGTACGTACACTATTGATAAACCATGTCCAACCAACCTTCCACCAAAACCCCATGTATTATGGCTCAGGAGCGCTGTGGTGCCACGGTATGCAACTATAGCTGTGGACCCTGCTCCTGCCGATCCCCCGACTGCTCTGAAACATAAACTCTGTTGTTGTATTTTTATTCAACAGAGGATTCATACATAAATACATTTCTCTTGTCGCGAGAAACGTGGAATTAATACATATGCAACACAGATACATGTCTTATAACGTAGACCTACGACATGGGGTTTCAATAACATTTACCGTTGAATAACTATTTGTTTTGACTATTGAATTTCACCATCCATGCTATTCTTCTGTTATCACGATCCTAATATACTACATGTTCAAAATTAAATTTCACTGGAAATCAAAAGAAAGCAAGCTAAGCTTGTCCCATTTGTTTTACACTAAGGTTCAGTCCATTAGAAGGAGGCAATGTCCCAGACGCATATACGAGGATAGTACGTTGGAAAAGCGACCTTTGACGTCATCGAACTTCAGCGTGACGCTCAAAATCAGTCTGAGTAAAAGGTGTTGGAACCTTTTGTGGATTGGTTTTCTGATTAGCGTACGTGCCACAGTGCACCTAACTGTTCAACCGAAGAAAAAACAATTTCATGTTCACAAATCTTTTTAGGCAGAGATGGATCGGTTTTTTATTACCGTAAATGCTGAAATACACGTTATAGAAACTGTTCCATCCCAAAAACCGGTCTGGACTGGTTTCGTGTAATATCGTTTGAAGTGAAAATATGGCACGTTAGTTTCGCGACCTACTCACATACATTGTAAGTCGCCGTTTTGATACCAACTCATGAATGAATATGAGATCAGACGGAAATCAGTCTGAGCAGTAGTGAAGAAAACAAGAACTTTGGGGATTGCTTTTCTGATTACCGTACGTGCTGCAATGCAATAACTGTTCCAGCTGAAACTCACTCACTCAATTAGAAGGAGGCAATGTCCCAGACGCTTATACGAGGATAGTGCGTTGGAAAAGCGACCTTTGACGTCATCGAACTTCAACGTGACGCTCAAAATCAGTCTGAGTAAAAGGTGTTGGAACCTTTTGTGGATTGGTTTTCTGATTAGCGTACGTGCCACAGTGCACGTAACTGTTCAACCGAGGAAAAACAGACCTTCAACTTCATGCCCAAAAATCAGTCTAGGCAGAGATGGAATGTTTTTTTTATTACCGTAAATGCTGACATACACGTTATAGAAACTGTTCCATCCCAAAACCCGGTCTGGACTGGTTTCGTGTAATATCGTTTGTGCGTTTAAACAGTTTCAACTCACCTGCTCATTCTAACGCCCTGTATTTTCTTCACACTCTATGATATGATTATCTTTCGTCATGTTTGACACCCAAACCAGGAAACTGCCTGACAATTCTTAATGTTTCTGTTAACACATGCCATGTATAATGTATAACTGTATAAATATATGGCCGATGATGGAACCAGTATGGCACCTGTGAATTATTTGCAAATACCATAAATACTCCTCATTAATGTACATGTACTGATCATGGACACTAGAGACATGCAGAATTACATGTTTATTTCATCATTCATGTAACGTATATGTGGAAACATAAGGATCCTTTTATATGATAGCAATGCTCATAACAAAATAGATTCATGTACAACGTATTACAGACTGTTCTTCTTGGAATTGTCATATACAGTACTCAAAGTTCCCTACTAGATTGACAATATCCATAAAAGACATGGTACCAATATTATAATAATATATCATAACATCAAGCATGATATGAACTGTACAGTCACAGTTCTAATGAATTTTAAGTCTTAGATTATGTTGAACCACAAAAATATTGATAGATGGATGCTAAAAATATACAGCAACTTTTTCTAAACATGTTGCATTACAACCTATAATACCAAGTATGGTACAGTGGACTGAAAAGACCCTGGTCTTCTATTGTTAAAAAAAAATGCACAATCTTGATGTTCTGTCACAATTTGCCAGGGAAAATATCCATCTTTTCTTCCTCCTGCTCTTCTTGTCCATCCTCCTTCATGTATCTTTCCTGTACCTGAGCTGATGTGGCAGTGTTAAGGACCATCTTAAAAACACAGCAAGTACACACAAACAGGTGACAAGGTGGTCTTATGGTCTGGGTTCTTGATTTACAATCTAAAGGTTCTGGGTTCGAAGCCCAAACAAAGAATGAAACAAGAAAAAAGGATATTTGAAGTACTCATAGTCTGCTCCCATAGCTGATGACATCATGGCCTGTAAGGTGCGGTCCTCCCCCTCCCCCCAGTGGTAGCCAATGGCACGATCCGCTGCCTTCATCATTTCTCTCATACTGTCCTTATCCTGTGTGAAGAAAGCATGTGTTAACCTTCAGCCTGCTACGGTAGTTTTGGGCACAGGGAGAAGGCTTAGGGAGAAGGGGGATGTTAAGGTAGATTCCACTGACATGGTCCATGGATAAGAAAAATAATCCACCACTTAGTAAGTATTGCGAATCAATTCAGTGCTTAACCTTTCAAAGAAATCAAGCTACAGGACTATGTTGTACATTGGTAATAAGTTAGAATTAGTAGTATATTGTATAAATGTAGTAAGTGTGAAAAAATTGCTTTTTATATGTTATTCAACAATGTCAGTGTTGTCTGGGCTTCATACTATATACACACCTCAACATTCAATGGAACGAATGACACCAGGCTGTAGTCTTCTACAACACCTACAATAGCCTCATTCAACTTCTTGTATTTGGCCAGAAATGGATCACCCTCTAGGTGTCCAAACAGGTACTGCAGGTCCAAAACATCAGTGTAGAAGTCAAGGTTAAAATCTACAGAACAAAGACAAACACAAATTCAAGATCAAGAAATACATGTTCTATATACCATGACAATGACATAGCAAGCACATGAGAAGATATTGTAGATTTGTTTTTTTTTTTGGTGTGGATTTAATTTCCTGGTAGAAGTGCAAAGGAGGTTCTGAGTGTTTTGAGTTCGAAACAAAACTGTAGCACAAAAGCACATTTATTCCCAGTGTCAGGATTTCACAGTAGAGAGGCGCTGCACAACTTGCAAAAATCAAACCACTGTATTTCAACAGTATCATTATAGCATGTTTTGTGAAACACATGTACAGCTATTTCTTTGCAGACTATACAGATGTCTTACTGGATCCATGGAATATATTACTTAACACTGCTCTCACCTAGTTTGCCGAACTTTTCCACCAGGTCAATTTTGGACAGCACATTGACGTGTGGCAACTCCATCTGGACCATGGTGGCCAGACTGGTCAGCAGGATGGACACAAACTTGGACGGGTCACTGCAGTAGTGAGAGTCCACCAGATGGACAGACACTAACTGTGGGAGGGAGAAAACACATCTTTTTGTTAAAAATTTGAAGACAACAGAAAAGCTTAGTAGATGCACTCACAGTTACTAGTAACGGTAAATGCAAAGTATACTAAATCCCTTTGCAATTTGCATAGTAATCTGTTTTTGAGTGGCGAATGTTATTTTGTATAAGATTATAATTGAAGGGCCTTAGGCCTTCATTTTCTACATTGACATGCAGTGATGATGATGATGACGAGATCTTAGGACAATTAGTACATGGATCTCTACTAAAGGTTAAGTACATGTTTGAGTTAAGTACCCACCCTAAAGTCCCACTTCTGTAGTTGTGCCACAATGTTCCTGACAGAGTTGTGGTGTGTGTACAGCTCCACCTGTCCTGGACAGTCAAACAGGAAGTACCGATCCTTCTGTTTCTCTAACAAGTCCTGCAGCCAGTCCAAATTCTTCTCCAAAAACTCCATACAGTATATCAAACCGCCGTTTGGTCCTAGTCTCAGTTTTTCCATCACGTCTTCCAGGGTTATGAGACTCTGCATGTTTACGGTGCATTCGTACGGTAAAGTGTCGTTGGCGGGGTCCAGGTTGACGATGGTGACTTTGCGCCCGAGACCGGTCAGAAACTCGTGCATGGCCCGGCAGTAGGTTGTCTTTCCCGAACCAGGCGGACCGATGACCACTTGTCCGAATGGCATGATGATGATGTTTCAGTGATGTCAAGTGTTGAGCTATCTAGTAAATGTGCCTATCCTGGAGGCAATGAGAATAGAATTGGTAAGTTACAACTCTTGAAGGAAAATGAAAGTACAGAAGTGTTATGACTATGAGGCATATAAAATATAACCTCCTTGATGAAAGCAAGGAGAAAGATAGTTAAAATTCCATACAGTATGCAACAATTATCATTGATTTTTCGGAAAATTGAATAGTTTCATTATATTCTTCAATGTTTGTAAATTAAGCACGTTTTGCATTGACAAAAATCTCGACAACTACGTCAAGTCGCACATCACACATATGCACATGAAACAACTGCCCCCCTCCCACAAATTATACGTCGCTTTCAACTTAGAATGTGAACGCTTGGAATCACTAAATCGTACAGAAACAAACCACAAAGCATATGAATACTATCCTATACCTTTTACAATATCGTACTTGTCACGTCAGGCTAATGTCAGCGTTCAGTAGGTCTTTTTCTCAAACAGGTCTGTGGAAAGGGAAACAAAAATTTCCAGCCGCCGCCATCTTGGCAGTATGTCTACTCACATTGCGCATTGATTTGTACACGAACAGTCATTGTATCATTCTAAAACATCAGTATTGAAGCTATAAACAGTTGCATTTTATAACAATTTTTTATTGTAACGTTTTTGTATCCGCTTTATGTAAGACTAACTCTTTGGTTTGCATTTTAGACTCTGACCTCGGCGTTTCTTGTTCTCGGCGGAGATAGAAATAGTTGACCTTTGTTTGTTGTTCGGCTAAAGTTCCCGCGCGAGGGTTCAAAATTATATTTTTAGGTCAGCTCGAATCAGACGACATTTATCCGTTAGACGGCCGTGACAGCACCTCAAGGTAGGTCGTCTGTACATCTTAGATATACTTTAGGTTACATGTGTACTTGCATGTATGGATTTGATAATCTGTGGCGTTGTTTGCAGTTTTGGTGGAGTGCAAAATTATGGAAGTATAACTTAGGGGGAGGGGGGCAATGTCAAAATTATATTGTAGATTCAATAACTTTGCGGTGCCATAGAATTCGAGTTAACAGTTGGAACAAAAGAAGTAATTCAATGGGAAACGCACCGTGAACTTAAAAATACGTGCACATTATCAGTGTCATGGAATATGTGGAATATGTGTTTGCAATTGTGACTTACTTGGATGTGTGGCATAATTACAATGTAATTTACATGTATGTAAATTTATTAGATGCAGGAGGTTGGACAGGTGAACAGCTGGCTCCAGTCCCAACATGTGCTGGTCAGTCAGGAGTGGCTGGAGGCCTGTCTGGATTGGATACACCAGGAAAACCAGGTATTCCTCATCTGAATCTGTTATATACCAGGAGGCCCTGTAACACTACAGTCATTATAAGAATTGCATTCTTGGGACAGCTGTAACTGTTGTACAAAATTCATCTGTCTTGTGACAGTCATTCATAGAAAATATTGTTAAATCCTTAAGAATGGTCAGTGTTGTCATACTTATAACTTTGCAACAAAAAATCCCAAACCAGAAAGTTGTATTTTTCGTAATTTGTGAATATTATGATTTTCCAGGGCGCTAACCTGCCCCGAGCCCAGCTGAACCAGATGGTGTATGAACAGTGGCTTCAGGCTGACCTACAGGTCGTTGCCCCCGGCTGCCTCCCACAAGGCATTGCACAGGAGCAGAAAACTGTCCTGAATGGCAAATTTGCTCTGCAGGTAAGTAAGATAGGCAGCACAAACTGGATATGATCTTCCTGGGATCCAGTAACTCAAGCAAGAATGCACAAGAAACAAACAGTATTGTTATTACATTGTTTTTAGTACATGTACAAATGTATTTTAACCTTTGGGGACCAACAATTAATCTTTAGTTTAGCTACTTATTTTCCTTCTTTTAATACCTCCTCTGCTAGATAAACTCCATGATAGACGTGAGTGTTCCAGCCTACACACAGTTACAGAAGCTGAGAGGAAGGGAGAACGCCAACGACGCTGTAACTGCAGAGACACAGGCAACTCAAAAGGTAAGGTTAGACTTGGGATGAATAAGATTCTTAGTTAAAAGGCTAAATTTTAATGGCAAAACATAAAGGATTGCCCCTTCTGTCATAATAACTCATATGTCACTTGCTTTTATTCATTTTTAAATTAAAAATGAATTAAAATTGCTTCTCCACAGATTTTTCTTTTGTATCCTATGAAATTGAAATCAATTTATCTGAGAAAGTTGTCAATTTTTTTCACAAAATATTTCATAAAGTTCCATGTCATCTTGCTACTTTGAGTGTTAATTGCCAATCCAATGCACATGTAGGTTGTTTAAGCCCTGTTGTAGCTGTATTTCCTAACACAGTTGCTGTTTTGTGATTTCTTAAAATTGGATTTTGCAGCCATGGGAGCAGAAGCCGACCCGTATGCTGATGTTGCAGCTCACTGATGGACAGCAAAACCTGCAGGGCATGGAGTATCAGCCAATCAGAGATCTAGCAGTGGACATGGCACCTGGCACAAAGGTCAGTACCAGCCAATCAGTGCCTCGAAATTTGCATAGAACCAAGCCAGTAACAGCCAATGAAGAAGCTGACTGTGGACATGTGTTGTTGTGCAAATGTGACAGCCAATCAGAATACTTTGGACAAGATCAGCCAATCAGCAGCCATTATAAAAGTTAATTGGTACCAATCAGATTTTCAGGTTGTAAAGTGATCACCAGAGCATCATTCACACCCCAAAATGTCTGTATAGTATACAAAATACATGTATGATTTTTTTTAATGTCAGATATTAGTGTCTGGTCCAGTGCAGTGCAGGCTGGGAGTTCTGCTGCTGGATGGAAGGAATGTAAAAGTCTTGGGAGGAGAGGTGGAGGAATTGGCCGAGGAGAATAGGATGGAGAATGTCTTACTCAAAGCTGTGTAAGTCCAGAAAAAAATCATTAAACTCTTCACTGAATGCAAACTATATCTAAATGAGAAAATGTCAACAACAGGCAAGAAATGATGGTATGACCCCCTAGCAGCTTCATTTCAAACTGCAAGTTTTAAATATTAAGAAATAACTGACACAGCAGGAAAATGTCAAATATCATATTGTTTTAGTTCTGAACAAGGTGCTGCAGACCCAACACTAGTGCAGCAACAGCAGCAGATACAACAGGAGTACAGACAGTCAACAGCCAACAACACTAGAAATACAGCAAGTACCAGGCAACAGAACAACCAAGGCAGGCAACAGAACAATCAAGGCAGGCAACAGAACAACCAAGGCAGGCAGCCTGGATGGCAAGGTAGGGGTATGTTTAATAACGCAGGTTTCATATCTGTATTTTCCCAACAGAGTTTTAAGAATGCTACATGGATTGATATGACTGGCTTGGTTATTTGCAGGAAATGCAGATTTTGGACAGGGCAATAGTACAGAAACAAAAGCTAACAAGAAGACCACACAGCCACCAGTGACATTCACAGGTCAGTTTTGTGCAACATGTTCTCTACAGAAGATTATATAAAGCAGTTTTACAGCCCAATGCACAACCTGGGTAGATTCCAGGTTGTCTATTGTTCCCTGTAGCTTCCAGCTACTGTCTTGAAATAATAAACATAATTTCTACTGGAATACACATATAAGTGTACCACATAATTACACACAAGGTGCCAGAAAGCTTGGTATACTTTCCTCTTTGTCGCATAAAGTTTGCTGGTTACTTTGAAAATTAGGATACTTTTTTTTATCATCCAGATGATTTTGAAGATGATGACTTCTTGGACAATATGGACCTTGGGGAACTGGACATGTTGGAAAATCAGGAAATGCAAGAAACAAAACCACCAAAAACACTGCAGAATCCACCAGTCGTGCAGCAGAGGCAAAATATGAATAAACAACAAAACAATGCAAGAAGTCTTCAACAAAACAATGCAATAAGTTTTCCAAAAGCTGTGAAAACAGAGCAAACCGATCCTTTTGAAAGAGGGGTGATGCAGAGGAGCAGTGACAATTTTTCTACCAGGAACCCCCCTGCTGCACAAAGTGGTCACAACCATCAGGGAGGTAGAGACGAGTTCAAATATGAACCAGAATGGGATGAACCATTTGATATAGAGGGGGTTGAAGAGAGTGAAGAAAGAAAAGAAAGACTTGACACCAGTTCCAGACAAGTTAAACAAGAGAACTCCACCTCTAGTACATTGAACCGATCCGCCGTGTTCCAAATTGATGATGAACCTGACTGGGACGATCCATTACTGATGGAGGGGATGGCAGGCAACATGAGCGCCATCGACAATGATGTATGGGATGATCCATTTGATGAGGAGGGAGATCAGCATATGGTGCAACAAGGGACAAGTAAAGATGCAGGAAAAGTGGAAGAAAGGAGGGATTTCACAGTGCCAAAGAGAGGGCCCTTTGAAAACAAAGCATCTTTTGAAGACAGAAGTAAACCAGTTCAGTCTGTAGAGATCTCTTTACCAACTGTGAAGCCAAGTTTGAGGCCTCCAACTGTCCAGCAGAAGAGCGAAAGTCAAGACATCAAGGTAAAAAGAGAGCCTAACATCAACCAAGCTTCAAACTTGCACGGTATGAGTGACGCTGCAGTTCCTTTCCCAGGAGCAAGAGGGGGCTTGTCCACACAGAAGCTTGTGCAGACAGTAACACCTTTCAGCAGGGAACAGCCCTCAGAGATGAAGAAAAGGAGGCTTGATACAGGTGAAATAAAGATCAGCATTTAAACATATGTAATAGTTTAAGAAGAATTGATTTGTAGCTTGTCAATTTGTAGCGTTATCAAAGCCCAGATATGATGATGATGACATGTACATGTACATTGTATGTATAGCTGACATTCACCTTTTGTGAAGACCAAAATTTTAGACAAATTACTTTTTATCCTATTAAGACCTTTAGTTAGGTTGTGATACTTACATGTGTGCTGTTTCTCCCTCAGGTGTGGACTTGGACACCCCGCCCTTTACTTACCTGTCCAAGGTGCTGTCTACTCTTCCTGTCAGCAACAGGACTGTGGTCACGGTTAAGGTAAATGCCATTTATTATCACATGTAGAGTTCTGATATATTCTTGTAAACTTCATGAAAACCAAAAACACTTCCCAGTTCCCAGATGCAAAAGATTTCTTGTTATGTTTACCAAAGGAAAACATATTGTCTTCTTCTTCTGTTCCAAACAAATAAGGTCAATGACCTAAACCAGGCGTCTGTCGCCATAGCAACTAGTGTTGGGTTACATCATGTTGCAATTTCAGAGCAGGAGGGATTTAGACTCCTGTCACCATATAATATTAAAGTGTTGGAGTAAGAAATAACAGAGCAGACCATATGCGAAGGTAAACATTTGCTTTCTAGTTGATCTTTTTGTTCCCTCTTAGGCTTTCATCCTCACCCTGACGTCCAAGCTGGAGAAAACGAGTGAGTGGAAGATGTCAGCCATGATCAACGATGGCTCGACCTGCGTGGAAGTGGACTTGGGAGATGAGGTGGTTACCATGATGATTTAACAGTACTTCAGTTGTTCAAATTCAGCAAATTTAATTAGATTAACCGCCACCAGAAATTAAGGACTAGAAGTATGATTTGTAAGGTGGGAAGGTAACATAAGAAGGGTACAAATTTTGTACAAAGGTATATCTTCTGAATTATAGTTATTATGGTTGAATGTGGTATTTTATTGTCATTGGTGGCATAAGCACTTTAACATTAGTGTAAGTAAGAGATAGTATTTGACACAGGATTTGCTTTTTGCCTTAAGGTTCTGGCCAAGTTGATTGGATTCACAGTACCAGAGCTGAAGGTATGGTATCCATGCTTCTCTTTACTGTAGATTTTTAGATATTTGCATTCTATTTAGCATTTCGAGTGCAATGACCTCTCACTGTAAACTTGTTCTCTCAAAATTGCAGTCAATTAATCTGCATAATATTTCTTTGTGATGACAGAACTTAGTTGTCAGATCCAAGACAGATCCAGCCATCAAGAAGAGGATCAAAGAGGTACTGTCTCTGGATATTTGCACTAAAAACCAGTTTTGTGTGAAGTCTTTAATACAGTATAGAACAGATCTAGTGCAAGCTGTATAAGGTTATTAGCAAATGATTTGATTGTACTTCCTAGTTGTAAAAATCAGTTTGAATGTCATTCAGCACCAGGAAAAGGGATGACAAAATCAGGGTGAATGTCATTCAGCACCAAGAACAGGGATGAAAAATCAGGGTGAATGTCATTCAGCACCAAGGACAGGGATGAAAAATCAGGGTGAATGTCATTCAGCACCAAGGACAGGGATGAAAAATCAGGGTGAATGTCATTCAGCACCAAGGACAGGGATGAAAAGTGTGAATGTCGTTCAACACCAGGAACAGATGTTTAAAAATCATTGTTTCATGCATGTCCATTCCTAGCCAATCTCCTCATGATCTTTGTCATACATCATCAACTTATTTGCTAACCTTTTGTTAACCCCCTCTCCCTTCAGGGTCTTGAAGGGTGCCAGAGGAAGTTGATTGACCTCTCCTGTCTGATGGAGGTGGAGGTCAGCCCCACCCTGGTCAAACCTAAGGTCATCGCCCTGTCAGACATTAACCCCACTGTTGTCAGACAGCTTCAAGAACGAGTAGACAGAAATGCTATACAATGAATAGTAAAATGAAATACAAGGCAGATTTTTAATAACAAGCTAACATTTAATTCCATGATGAATTTACAAGTAAGGAATTTCTTTGGAATATGTCCACAAATTAAAGGCTAGCACATTTTTAAAGAAACATTACATAGTGGGTTTTAATGTAAAGTCATGAAATGGACAGAAGTGTGCTGACATAGGTAACAATTCTGCCTACCACAAATGTTACTGAGAGGCTCTTTGCACATAGCGTTACACCAATATGGTATAGATGAATTTTGCTGTGTATATATGAAACTTACTGAACATGTTGTATTAATAACATTGTTAAGAAATGATTACATTCAGATTAGTAGTAAGAAATCAGTTTATTTTATTGAAAAAGTTTTTTGTTGTTCACTGGAGGTATGGAAGGTCATGTAAATAAATGATGTAGTTTACAAAATACATGTATTACAACTGCTTTCTACAAAATTTCAAACCATCACTAAATAAGTGTATGACAATTTAGCTTAGTCCAAAAGTACTGGGACCTTTGCTATTGACTTATAACATGATAACTTGTTATTGTGTTGATTTGATTTTAGAAATGAAAGACACATACTGCAACCTTGAAGCGAAATTATCGTCCATATAGCCCAGCTTGGAAGATAAACACAGGTCACTTACAATGGCATTATCCTGTACAGCAAGCAAGTTCCAATGAAATAAAACTAAAAACGTATATTCCATATTCTATATATAGAGCCAAACTATGGACCTCTGCTTCATCTGTAGTGAGTATAGTTCATAATACAAATATAAGTGATCTCCTTTCTGTAGTCATAAAGATCACTCCATGCAGTACCCAAGTTGTTACGTGAGTCACAATGTCACAATGCGCTGTACCCTCACCATAGATACTTCGCTTCATATTTGGTGACCGTTCATGGTAGCTGATTGCCTCTATGCAGTCATCAGATATCACAAATGATGTGTTAAGCTAAAGAGATTATTTCCTCTGGCGCATACAGCTAATATTGTGGGTCCTGGTTCTAATTACTCAGGTTTTCCCTCATCTCATTTTCGAGTTCAGAATAAATGATAGCTTTTCCATAATCGCCAAGTTCTCTCCATGCAACGCATAGGTTGTTATACATATCGGCAATGTCAGGATGTGCAGTGTCCTCACCATAGATAGACTGCATCATCCGTTTTGACTGTTCAAAGTAGCTGATCGCCTTTCTGTGATCACCAAGGTTGCTCCAGGCGGTACCCAGGTTGCTGAGTGTATTGGCAATACCAGGATGTTCCTCACCATAGATACTCCTCTCCATCTGTAGTGACTGTTCATAGTAGCTGATCGCCTTTCTGTAATCACCAAGGTCATCCCAAGTGACACCCAAGTTGTTAAGTGAGCTCGCAATGTCAGG